TGCCTCGTTGGCGGCGTCTCCCGCGCGTAAACGACGCTGTGCCCTGCCTCCTCCTTTCCTCGTGTTTGTTCGGAGAAAGAGGACGGGGCCCTTGTCCTCTTTCTTCATATTTACCGACCGTGCGCCTAATGTTTGTAAGAAAAAGCAGAGGTAGCTGTCGCCGAGTCAGGGTGCAAACAATGATAGAACAAGTAAACATGGAAGGTAGGGGTGTGCGAGTACTGCCTCAAATCGAACAGCGCAGTGTCACCCCTTGCTTTCAGCACTGCTAAAAGCTAGGGGTGACACTGTGTGTCGTGGTGCACCCCTGTACCGTAAAAGACCATCAATGATGTAGCGTTAGTTTTAGTAGATTGTTCTGGTCCCCCCGGTAATGATACGATGCATGCACAAAGGCGGCGGCGGCGGTGTATCGGGTATCGTTATGGGAGTCATCGGAACGATCTACTAAAACTCTTCTCACACCTTTAATGGAAAGTATTTTGGACCGAAGGATCGGAAGGATAGTTTGAACGTAAACGTTCATCCAGAAATCTTTCCTGTTATGTTAAAAGAACGCACGTCCACATACGAATAAACCGTCTCGACGGCCGCAGCAGAGCCAGTAAAACATGCAGTCAACAAATTGGCGTCCCACCAAGAAGTGTACAGGGGAAGACTTAGAAGCATGGGCGCTTAGTAACTACTTGAGTGTTCGAAAAGACCCGCTTGTGGCACTCAAAGCATCGAGGGAAGGCACTAGGAGAAGGAAAGATGCGGGGACCTCGACAGAGAGGGAGTGGCATCAAAGGTCAGGCGGAATGCGCAGCCCCCGTAATTTAATTTCTCGGGCTCCGTTTTCTGGACAGTGCCAAATGCAAGATGTAGGGATAATAAGCAAAAAGGCCCTCACTTGTTCTGCCCTCCCCCCTCAGAACCGGTTGAGCGGAAGCTGCCGCAATCTCGGCCATTGCCTTTGCTAGACCTGTCATCAGCAGCTCTTGACATGGCATGCCTGGCTCTCTTGGCTGCCATGTCACTCAATCTGGGGAGGGGGTATTTTTGGGCAGTGCCTGCATTCCAGCGGCCCCCCTGGACAGGAGGGGAGGGCATGGCCCAGGTAGTTTCTGGGAGCTTCCTCCAAGCTCTCTTTTTATTTTTTGACGTTGTGGTCCGGGGGGCTCGCTGCTTGCCTAGTTCAAGTTGCATTGTTTCTTCCTACACTCGCATATTTAAACACCACTTAATTTTTTTTTTTTTTTATTTGGAAAATGGGCATTTTGAGTGGCCTTGAGATAAATCAGTTGTTTTTGGGATGGCTGCACAGAAGGGACAGTTGAGCCGACATTCTACCAGCTGCAACCATAAACATAGAGGTGCACTTTTTTTTTTTTTTTTACAGAATTTAGGCTAGTGTTGGGTGCTTTTACCTGTACCAGAGTTCAGATTGAAATGCTCTTAGTTGATTTTTAACTGTGTAATCACAAAAAAAAAAAAAGATTTTGCGTCTGCAATTTTTAAGTTTCAAGGAAGTGTCTGCAGCCTGCCAATTTTGGTAAGATGAAAAAGTGGTGTTTCCTATGAATGGGCTGGGTGGGGTCTGTGAATTTGTGGATGACCTGCACAGTCAAAAGTATCGTTGCAATCTCTGTGGCAGATTTAGCGGTCAGTGTCGCATCACAGGTAGGATTTAGTCCTTATCATCACTGAGTGCCGAAAGCAGCAAGTTTGATGGTGTTGCTGCTTAGAAGGTGAGAGGGCTTGTGGCACATTATTCACACACCTTCAAATTACTTGTTCTCAGCTGCATACATTTTTCCAGCTCCAGAAACGGCAATCTTAGATCACTTCCCTTATAAATTCTGTTATCAATGTTCCTTTTGATGCTGCACTACGGAGGCTGGTTCAAAACTGTATCTGACTTCGAGCGCTGGTGGTACAAACGCAAGAGGAAATTTTTCTGAAATAGCACTATAAAAGCAAGTGTGGTGGTAACCTCACCTTGGAAAATCCTGTGTCAAAGGGAGTGAAAAGAAAAAACGCAGGCTGTTTGGAAATTTTTGTCCCGTAGCTGTTGGCTAGCAGATAAAGCTTTGCAGCTTACTTTCACTCATTTTTAAGGAAGAACAAGACATGCAAATATTCTTGATTTTATTGTACTTTATTGCGGGGTTCCGCTCCAACTTCGACCCCTAGCAGCGATACATGACTTCTTTTATCCCCTATCTTGCTATACTGTACAGTGATGCAGGGCCGTACCCAGAAAAAAATTTCGGGGGGGGGTTTTAGGGGACAACGGCGGCCATTTTGAAAATGTCTATTGTCTTATTTTCGCCTATGAATCATGTGCATCGGTGGCATATAATGGAGAGTTATAGCAAACCGGAGAACCGGTCCCGGTTTGGTACTTGGTCGCCGACCGGCGCCACTGCGCGTGTGCAGAGGTGGAGATTCAAATCGGCTGGCTGCAAGTGCACCGACCAGGGCCGTACGCAGAAAAAAAATTTCGGGGGGGGGGGGGGTCAGAACCCCCTAACCCCTCCCCCCCCTGGTTACGGCCCTGCAGTGATGTGATTGCTGTGCACGAAAGTGCTTACCCTGCTGCATTTTACCAAAATGCGGGTCATGTGTGCCAATGCTGCGCCAAAAGCTCATTTCATTTTATCAAAACAGAAATGAATAGTTCAATCGTTGCTACACTGTCGGATGGTTACGGTAAGCTGGCACGAGTATTCAACACCGGCCTATCGCTCTGAATAACGTGCGATATGATATGATCTTCTGTAAAATAGTTTGTTGTTGGGCGAGTTGGTGAACGTTTGGATTCATGGTTTTGCGCAAAAAAGACGGACAGAAGAGTGCTGTGCCATGTTCGTATCGAACATGGCACAGCACCCGGAAGTTTCGGGGTATTTCTCATTGTTCGTGGTCTGTTCGGGCGGTTTAATTGGCCCTGTTGAGTGCGCTTCTCGCAGCACACTGGTGCACTACAGAGAAGTTGTGCCCCTGGAGTTATTGTGTGCATGTGGCTTCTCCGCAGCGCAGCCCTGTGCTGAGGAGTAATACGGTCTTTTGGGGTGAATGTAGAATAATATTGTGGTTAGTTTATAATTATATGAAAGCTTGCAATATTCTGACAAGTTGCATGCAGTGTTTGTCAAAGTCATTATTATTCTTTTTTTTTTTTTTTTCAAATTTGAGATATATGAAAAATTTTGTTGAACTTGGGTTTTGGGAAAGGGTTGACAAATCACAGTGATTAGGTGTAGAACTTTCTGTGGCAATCGAAAGAGAGGAGGGAAGCGCGTGCACAGCAGTTGGTGCACCCTCTCCCCTAGCATTGACTGCATTGCTACAGAAAGCTGACCGCAAGTATAGGTTTATTTTTTATCTTTAGTTAAAACCTCTAACTAGGCCCCCAACTGTTTATGGGCACAGTCAATAAAGATACAGTGTAGCCATACTCCGTTTCACCTACTTGACACAGAGAATTTTTAGTGCGAAATAGAACGGACTTTGCTATTGATATTTAACGAATTCATTAGTGCCCATGATCTAAGCACTTTGAGGAAACTACTCACTTCAAATGAAATAATATTTTGTGTTTGTTCCTTGAAAAAATATGCTTGTGTCATCCGCATACATTATTATCTAGGCTCTATGTAAAATATTTCTGATGTTGTTAATATGCATAGGTTGAATAAAATAGGTCCTAACACACTTCCTTGTGGTACACCTGCCTTTTAGTTGTTTTAAACCAGAGAAATGTCCATTGATGTGAATGCTCTGAAAATGATAGCTCAAACAGCTTCTTATTAACGCCGCCGCATTTTTACGAGTGCCATAATTGTAAAGTTTACTCATTAGTGTGCCATGATTTAACAAATCAAAGGCTTTTTGGAAAGTCAAAAAAATCCTACTGTTAGTTTTTTTTTTTTTTTTTTTTTAATTTTCAGAACTTTTTTTTTTTTATGTTTAGCAGTGCAAGTTCAGTTGATCACACTTTTCTGAATCCAAATTGAGAATCTGTAACAACTGAAAATATTTCACAAAACTGGTCTAATCAAAAAGGTATCAGTTTTTGTAAACCCTTAGAAGATATCGGAAGTACAGAAACCGGTCTATAATTTGATAAATCATTTTTATCTCCAGATTTATAAAGTAATTTGCTATTTGCATTTCTTTTAGGAAAAATACCCTGTGGTAATGATAGATTAAACAAATGGGTTAAAATATTGCAATTGTTGCCATCACATATTTAACGGGTTTTATTTGAATGCCATCAATATCGCAACTTTTACCATTGTTACTGTTACAATACACAGAGCTGACCTCATCAACATCCGTAGGACAAAAGAAGATACTTTTATTAATATATCTCGACACATACACCAGTGCGTTATTCACTCAACTGTGGTCATTATCAACTAAGTTGATAAAATAATCATTAAATTTGTTGGCTAGTTCAGCTCCTCCAAATTCTTGTCCGTTTATTTTTAGTGTTTAAGTTCTAGAAGAGGCTGACGTTTTCTCTAAAATCGAGTTTAGTTACTTACATATACTGGCACCGGTACTTAAATTGCTGAACACGTGAAAGTAATAGGTAGATTTAGCTTGCCTAAGTAAATTTGTTATCTCATTACTACATTTCTTTAGAATGTTGTAGTATTTCTGAATTTTTTGTACTAACATATTGCTTAAAAAGTCTATTTCTGGTGTTTATTTTCTTTAGAATTTCGGCTGTCTTCCAGGGTTTGCGAGATCCTTTTTAAGCATCCGCATTTGAGCACGATGGACTGTTTTACGACCGATTATGACTGCTTACGACGAGGTGGCTGCTATGGTGGCTGAGATACACTGCAATAAAAACCAAGGAGTCTTAACACGGCCGTTCACTCTCAAGTCTGTGCAAACGTCTAAACCAGCCTTAATTAAGGTTGCCGATTTACCACCTTGGGTTCTTCCTAGACTAACAGGTGAAAGGGACTGCCTGAACTGAGCCATCTTCCCTTTCTTCTCAGGACACATGTTTGCGGCCCACAAAGAGGACGCCCAAGGACTATGGGCAGGACAAGGAGCCACCCATCAATGGACTCTCCAGGACACCCGGTGAGCTCTTTTCCGGACTGGTTGCACTCGGCACATAGTTTCCGAGAATAAAACGTTGCTTGCTCAGACTCCCGAAAGATGTGGAGTGTGGCGAATGATAGAGTGGCTGAATATGTTTTCGCTATATGCCTTTGTTGCCAAAAGGTTGTAGACAACCAATTTTAACATAATTTAGAGCGTCGGCCCGTCAACAACGATTGGACAGATGCCAACAAATGGAGTGCATTGGTATTTCATAGTTACTGTGCAGTGACCAGTGATCAACTTCGATAAGGTTTGTTCTTTAAAACAAAAAAGAAAACAAAAATTGCAGGGGTGTAGTGATAAAACTTTGTTGATCTAATCCAGTGGCAAGGCACTGCTATACAAGATATTTGAAGGTAGTGCCAGCTCAAGTTGCTAAATTTTGGAGGTCTTGCCAATAAGTTCTTGTCCACTTTTCTGCAAAACAAATACTTCTTATTTGGTGTGCTTTTGCCTGCTCTGTAGTATCAGACATACTCAGCTGGTATATATTCCATCCCCTCCTATCCTACCCCAAAATTGGGATTCATTGATTCCAAATCAAATGATCCCGAAACTCGGTGACGAAGCAGTTCCTGTGACAGACACACACGTATTGCCCACTTTGTTCAAGTTTTGCAAATCCCAATAAAACTTCAGTGAGGTTGCAGGCATCATAATCCAGCTGTGATTAAGGACAGTGTTCCTAATGCAGGCTACTTCTGAGTAAGTCAAGTCGTGTCTAAAACTTAAAATATTTCCACACAATCCAACTCGAACCAGCCAATACATTGTGTAGAACTTTCTATAGAGATCAGAAGGTTAGAAAACCGATGGCCGCAGCCCCAATCCAGGGGCTTTTCATTGTGTCCCCCCAACCTAGCCTTTGTGCCCAGTCTGGATCATCATGTCCCCCAAAGCTGGTATGAGGAGCTTCTTCTCTATTTACTTGGCAAGACACTGGAGAAGAGGAGTTTGTAGCTCAGGTTTTAAAGGAATGGATCTGTGGTTCACCTATATGTGAGCAGCTTGTTACGACTGCCGCTTATCTTTCGACGAGTAGATGAGTAAAAAGGCAGTTAGCGAAAACACTCCTTTGTTACTGTTTCATCATAGACCCTTTCAATAGTTAGATCTTCTGGTGCCAGCCTTAAAGGGATGATAGAACAATTTTTTACTTTCAATAAATACAGCTTAGAATTATTCCTTGACATTTATGACCTATGAAACACATATTGCCTTTTTTTGTTTTCTCTATGCAATGGCAGTCGCAAAAAAAATCAGAAAAATTAACAACTCGCAGGCAAAAAAAGTGGCCACATGATTTGGAGCCGATCATATGTCACCAATACTTTTAACAAAGTCACGCGTTGGGGTTGGCAGAGCACAGGGCACGCGCTGAGTTCCACACATTGTTTTAAGGTTCGGCTATTCCCGCCATCCCAGCGATTGGGCACGAGCCACTACCCGAATGCGTGTCGACGCATTAATTGTCACAAACCAAAATCGGAATGCCTATGCAGTCTTCATGTCCACTGTATGATCAACTTTTAAAGGGACACTGGCACCCCCCAAGATTTATTTTTTATTTTTCGTTGGGTAATCTTTTTGCTTATGCGGTAAAGCAAGGAGGAGTAATTTGTCTGCTGTGCTTTCATTAGAAGCATTGTCAAAAATTGCACATATAACGCTTTTTTTTGTTTTAATCTTATTTCTAATAAAATATCAGTTAAGGGTGGTGATGTGGGTTAGTTGGTTCATACTGACGAAAAGGCAAACAGCGCACAGTAAACGGGGACTAAAGGAAGTTCAAACAGGACAAGCGCTCTCCTGTTTGCACTTCCTTTAGTCCCCGTTTACTGTGCGCTGTTTTCCTTTTCGTCAATATTTTGCTACAGCGTCACATATTTTTAATAGAGTAAAAAAACGCAACTGCTCGAAACTAAAACCAAAATTGGACTCTGGAGAAATAAGAAATATAGAGCAGCATGTTGCCGGAAATCACGTGGCTGTGCGTTTTTTTTTTTTTTTTTTTTAATCAACATATTTGCAGTTTTTTAGAAGCCACAAAAATAGGTACCACATTTTGTTTCTATTTTTAATATTGAGTGTGTATTTTCGATGACCCACGACTTTGATTACTTTTGGTGGTTTTGTCTAAACCATAGAGAATGACACGTGACCATGTAGAAGAGAGTGAGCGTGACTCAAACCGGCCATTTCTCGGTCTACGGTTTTCGCGCAGAAAGAAAACGAATTTCGAGCCGAAAATTGTGTTCTGGGTAGTGGGGCTCTCATATGTCATGTACGAATAAAAACCTCGGCGAGCATAAATACCCTGCGAGTGTCCCTTTAAATATTGTCACTGCGAGGATCGCAAAGCTTGATGATGCACTCCTGGGGATCGCATTGTTGTCATTGTCTCCACAGCTCCATCATCAAATTTTGTGAAGGAGAGACTGAAAGAGAAGGTCGGCTTTTATCCTTGGAATTTCACCGCGACGAAAACGCTTTTTGGTCAGTGGCGTTGTGTTCAAGTATTCTTGGGTCTCACTAGTGTTGGTAAGCTAGTGTAAAGTGAGAAATGCTCGTACTTAATATCGTTGCACAGCCAAGGGGCCCCTGAAAGATTTTTTTTTAACAATATAATAAAAACACATATCAAAAAAAAATTTTATGCGAAAAAAAAAAATGTTTTTAGAGCAATATTGATGGCGAGAGATTTCTTTGAAATTTTGTGTGAAGTCTATGACGTCATGGAATGGTCATCCGCTCTTTCAAACTAAACGAGATGGTCACTTGCCTTTTCCACTTTTACGTGAAGGTGAAGCTCATCCATGCCTCCTCCATTCGCCCGAAATGCTGAGAGAGAAAACAAGTGGAAAGGGGGGGGGGGGGAGGTGACTACTGACTAAATCGTGTCTCGTGCTGTCAATATTGCTCTAAAAAATCTTTTTTTCGCTTAAAATTAATTTTTGACAACCATGTCCCAACAAGACTGTTAAAAAAAAACATTTTTTTTTTCAGGAACCCTTTAAGGGCTCTAATATTTCTGCACTAATGGCACTGTTTGCAGAACAGGATCACCTAACTTGAAATTCCCTCGACTTTGTGAATCAAATGCGACATACAAAGACCAACGTTTAGATACAATTACCCACTGTCTTCTTTCTGCTTTTGAAGGCATTCACTTTTCCTGATGTTGAGAAGCTATGTGGTGCTGCCATTAGAGCATCGGGTTTGGCTCTAGACAGGATGCATGGGGTGACTTTTAACAAGTGTCTATAGACCTATGGCTAAATTACCCAAGAATCGAGGATAATGCAGGGATTGGTGTTCCACCCGCCACATGTGCTCGCCGCAGAGTAGCAACTTTTCTAAAGCAAATACCTAAAAGCAATTGCATCTTGCACGCGCGGTCGGCAACACTTTATTGGGGTTATTTACTTCGAATCTTTTATACGGGGAAGGTGTGCGCATGTGGCGCGTGGAACACCAATCCCTGCATTCTCCTTGATGCTTGGGTAATTTAGCAAGAGGTCTATAGGAACTATTCACTGGCAGCCATAGTTGTATGCGCGACTGCTGAGCGTGTGGTGATGTCGAGCTTCTGTAGCTCTTTTGCAACATGCAATCCACACCATCAAGATTGCCGGTCTATAGGAACTATTCACTGGCAGCCATAGTTGTATGCGCGACTGCTGAGCGTGTGGTGATGTCGAGCTTCTGTAGCTCTTTTGCAACATGCAATCCACACCATCAAGATTGCCGGTCGTAAAAGCCTATTAATCTGAGCTCGTTCTGAGCGTGTGCTTTTAACAGAGCCCTCAAATATGGCATCCAGGGAATACCCCCATTCTGGATATGAGAGTATAGCCGTTACGACTGGGCCAAACAACCTCTCTTCAGAGTAGCGCTAATGCAGAGCCGTATATGTAGAGAGTTTGGCCATTCGTTGGGAAGTATAGGAGGCAAATGAGGAGGGCGCCATTGGCTGAAAGCGGGCGGGCTGGGCATGTTTTAGGGCGTCTTCACAAATTTGAATGTGGCCAACCAGAAGCCTGAAATGATACCCTGGCAGTGGTCGCGAGAAACAAATTGAATAAGTGCATCAGAGTAACTCATGGTGGCTGAAAATGTGCATGTGGTCTTTCAATTGCGGTCATTTAAAGTCATGGTGGAAGAGTGCGACTAGCAGTATGATTGACATAATCCGTACGCCAGGCGCCGAGGGACAGGAATCAGGCGTCCGAGTGGTCACACTCTGTCAGGGTGAAAACGGAGTTGAGCGGCACATTCGTTTCTTACACCTTTCTGCATGATCATGATCGAAACATCACGTGCACTGTAGTTTCAACCATGAAGAATAACTACTTTTCACTCCTCTGCGCTCCATCAAACCATATACCAACATATACCTATGATTAAAACTGTTTCTCGCTACCACTGCTAGGGGATTCTTTTCGGCTTCTGGTGGCCAAGAGAGCATGTTAAGCCCTCTTTCTGCGTCTGGTGCACGCCCTGGCTCTGCCCGCGTCTCCCATTGACCAGACTCTCTCTATACACGGCTCTGCACTAATGATGTGGATCCATTAAATCCACCTTGTTATTTGCATAAGTTGTCTTGATTAGTCTAACTGGAGCATGTGATATTTATTTTTGGCCCTGAAAATTTGACGAATATTTATTTTCTGCCGCCGGCTGCCATTGCATTTAAATGCACCTGGTCAAAGCAGTAACTTACAGACCCATGCGGAGCTTTGCTATCAGTCTTGAGGCAGTAAGAACCTTTGGACCTTCCCAGGAAGCGTGACTAGCAGTCTGCACATTTCGCGAGGGCAACATTTCACGAGCTTGGGATTCCACGAAAAGGGGAGATCCTGACGAAACGACACGAAGACGTCAACCGCGTTGCCGCCAGCGAGCCCGAGGCAGTAAGCGACAGGAGTGGAGGTGGCATCCCAGGGTGACCGTTTTGGCTGTGGGAGCTCTGCCAGACAGGCACTGAGTCACTTGGCAGAGACAGAGCCGCCCAGAGAAAAGAGAAAAATTTGTCCGAGCTCGCGAGACACCACGCTCGGCTGTCCTGAGGGGACTCTTGAGCGGCACGACCAAACGAGCGTTTGTTTGGACGTGGCGGGGAGATGGCCGCTTCTGCTTCCTCGGCGCTTCCCTGGACAGGTCGGCCTTCGGGGAGACCCGTCTATTTATACCCGGCGCCCGGTCAGCCTTCGTCGAGTCCCACATGGTCACTGGCGGCGTGAGATCTGCCGGGTATTCCACTCCTTTTCCCCTTTCGCCGGATTAGTGGTGGAAGTCGACGCGTTGGCAAGTATCTCAGAAATTCTAGGATCTGCACTAGCGCTCATGCCCGGCCGGGACTCTATGGAAGTGTGCCAGGGTATGGAATGTTAACCCCTCCCTGGGGAGCTCTCGTGTCCGAGTAACAACGGGACTTCCTTGCTTTCATGCTCTTCAAGAAGCCCCCACAAATTCATGTAGGTAGCACATTTCCTCGCGCACGTTTAGTATATAGGACGATCTGTCATGGGAAGCTAAAACCTACCGTACCTTGAGCACGTGTTGAAATGCAATCCAGATTTCCTTGGCAAAAGCCGTCGCCCGACTGTCTTCCTCTCTTACACACGCCGAAGGGATGGATTTGTGCGCATGTATGACGTGAGGATGTTACTCTGCAGGCAAACTGACGATGAAGGCACTGCGCAAGGGAAGCCAGGACGGCGTGCCCCTCTGGGAACGGTCCATCCTGGAGGCCAGCGTAGGGTCCTCCTCGTCAGTGCGCTCCGACAGCCCTGTGGGGGCCCTGCCGAGAGGGGGTCCCCTCGCCTCGCACCCAGACTTTCCTCCGAGCGAGCCCCCTCCTCCTCCGCCCCCGCCGAGGGGCATCCACACCAACCACTCGCTGCTCAAGCAGACCCGGGCCCCCTCCTCGGTCGGGGGCTACAGCAGCAACTCGTCTAGTTCGGCCCCCGCCAAGGGCTCGAGCCCAGTGCCCCAGGGACTTCTGGGCGGCCGCCTGCTCTACCCGGGGGCCGCGCCCCCACCCCCGTACCCGGCCAGCCTCTCCTCTGCACCCTCGTATGCGGCCTCCTCGAGCTCGGGGGGCCGCCAGAGCCCCGCCAACACGGTCAGCAGCAGCAGCGAGTACTCGGTGCCCTCCGGCCAGAAGCGGACGCCTCCCCCCGCCTACACGCCGCCCCCCCTGCCCCAGTCGCCGCAACCCCCCGGCGGCCCCGCGCCCCCCCGGCCGTTGCCGCTGCAGGCGTGGTCGGCCCGGCAGGCCAAGTCCCAGTCGCCGGTCATCATGCAGTCCGTGAAGAGCACGCAGGTGCAGAAGCCCGTGCTGCAGACGGCCATCGCACCCACCGCACCCATGGCGCAGACCCCCTACGGCTTTCCTCCATCCCCCGCGCCGAGTCCTGCGCAGGCCTTCTCGGTGGCGTCGTCACGTCCCCACGAGCCCCCCCCGTACCCGAGCCAGGTGACGCCCTCGCAGTGCTACCCCGTGGCGCCGACGGGGGTTGCCCAGCCCCCCTCGTATGCCCTGCACCAGCACCAGAATGGGGCCAGCCTTCCCCCGCCGCCGTACGCAGCGCTCCTGCAAGGCAGGCAGGAGCCCCCCGCAGTCGTGCCCACGACGGAGCCCCCCAGCTACGCCTCTTCGGTGGTGGCGCTAGCCGTGCAGCGGGCCGCCGGGCTTGGCAAGCAGCCCGCGCCGGTCCACTCCAACGCGCCGTCGGCCGGTGGCCGGCTTGCGGTCGCGACCACCGCCGCCACGACATCGGACCTTGTGACGACGGTGGCGAGCATCTGCTCGTCGCAGGTGTCTGCCCTCCAGGGCATCGCGAGTGCGGGGCCGCGCAAGGCGTCGCCCGTGGCCACGGACACGGCCAGCTCGGCCTCGCGTTCGGAGTCGCCAGTGTCGTTTGTGTCGGTGACGTCGGCCTCCTCGCCTTCGACGCAGTCGGACTCCACACACGACTCCGGCCGGGGAAAGACGACCCACCAGTCTCCGATCCCTGTGCGGCGAGCGTGGCCTAAGGAGAAGGAGGAGGAGCGGCGTGCTTCCAAGGTGGGTGTTCGGCACAACTTTGAGAGGCTCTAGCTTCCGTAGCAACCCAAACAAAGATATTAGAAACAGGCTGTCTTGTTTGAAAAATGCACGACTAGCGGAGAAAAGTTTTCCTTCTTTAGCTTGTAACTTAATTTCTGCTTGGTGAGTCAAGAATGAAGCTGGGAAGTGAGGCAAGACCTAAACATTGCTGGTGTTACTCTGGAATCCCTGGTAACATCCGCCTCATTGCAGTGAGTTGCTTTATGGAATAAAAGGGGTATATCGGTGAGCCATTTGCCATTTAGTGTATTTTTTCTGTAGACTATAAAAAGCTCATTTGTCGACCTTCAGAATTCCTACATAAAGGTAATTTGGCCAAACAGCCATAGCCATGGAAAATTTGAACGCATTACTTCTTGATACTCTTTTTTCTAAGCGTATGTATGGTGCTGCTCTATACAGTTAGTGCAAACATGACTTTGACACTTTCATATTTTCCCACTGCAAAACACAAAGTTTTACCATACCTACCTCCAGTTTGCTCTGCGACAGAGCCACCTTCTATTATACACTAACAGTTTTGATTGGAACCTTCTAGCTGCATGAGGAAAATAAAAACTGGCAGTAGCCTATTTCTGCTAACTATGCTGTGCTCTCTCTCTCTTTATAAAAATCTTCATTCTGCTTCTTCATTGGCAGGTTCCATATGCCAAATCATGTTTGTTTTTAGGAGTTATTTTCATAGCTGTAGAAAACCATTTGGGGACTTTGTAAATGCAATCATGGTAGATGCCTTATTTTTTAATCTTTTGCTTTTACAGTCTCGTTCCATGCAGACACTAAGATATATCTCGTCTCTGTGCTCACGGAACTATACCCCATTCACAGCTAAACTGACGGGGCTCTGGGAGCTACGCGTTTGCCGGACCAATCACCCGCCTCCCTATCATCACGTGACCCCGCCCTCTGTGCATGTTTATGGTGGAGGAGTGATCACGTGGCAAAAGATAAAAGGAATGAGCCTGTCACTTTCCATGCACCGTCAGCTTAGCCACAGTGGAGCGTAGCTCGATGCCAGGAAAAAACCCATCGGCTAACCGTCGGCAACATCTGCTTCCTCAGGTGCGCAACTACTCGCCGGCGGCCTACAAGTTCTTCATGGAGCAGCATGTGGAGAATGTGCTAAAGAGCCACCAGCAGCGGCTGCACCGGCGGCAGCAGCTGGAGGCCGAGATGGCCAAAGTGGGGCTCTCGGAGGAGGCCCAGTGGCAGATCCGGCGCATGCTTTACCAGAAGGAGTCCAACTACATCCGGCGCAGTCGGGCCAAGATGGACAAGTCCATGTTCTGCCACCTGAAGCGCATCGGTGTTGGGGCCTTTGGGGAGGTGGCCCTGGTGCGCAAGAAGGACACGGACCACCTGTATGCAATGAAGACGCTGAGCAAGGAGGATGTGCTCAAGCGCAACCAGGTGGCCCACGTCAAGGCGGAGCGGGACATCCTGGCCGAAGCGGACAACGAGTGGGTGGTCAAGTTGTACTACTCCTTCCAGGACGAGGAGAACCTCTACTTCGTGATGGACTACATCCCCGGGGGCGACCTCATGTCCCTGCTCATCAAGGAGGGCGTCTTCCAGGAGCCCCTGGCACGCTTCTACGTGGCCGAGCTGGTGCTGGCCCTGGAGAGTGTCCACAAGCTGGGCTTCATCCACCGGGACATCAAGCCGGACAACGTGCTTATCGACCATGACGGACATATCAAGCTCACAGACTTCGGCCTCTGCACGGGCTTCCGCTGGACCCACAACTCAAAGTACTACCAGAAGAATGGTGGGTGTGCTCGGTATTGGTGCCATCCTCTGAAGGACCCTGCAGCACTGGTTCATCCGCTGCATTAAGCAAACTAACTCGCGGTCCGCTTTCTGTGGCAATCTGAGGAGAGGAGGAAAGCGCGTCTACAGCGGTTGGCGCACCCTCTCCCCTAGCATTGATGGCATTGCCACAGAAAGCCGACTGCGAGTAAAGTGTGCTGGGGTGTGGAGCTGTTTGCTATTCCTGTTTGGTCCTCCTTAAAAGGCCTCTGAAAAGAAAAAAAAAAATTTTTTTTTTAACAATTTATTTGGGACACGTGTCAACAAATTAACTTTTTCACTAAAAAAAAAAATTTTTTTAGAGCAATATTGACGGTGCAAGACAAGATTTAGTTGGCAGTCACCTCCTTTCCACTTGTTTTCTCTCTCAGCATTTCGGGCGCTTGGAGGAGAGGTGGTCATTCCGGAATGACCCGTGACGTCGTAGACTTCGCACGCAGAATTTTAAATAAATTTCTCGCCGTCAATATTGCTCTAAAATTTTTTTTCTTTTCCGCATAAAACTTTTTTATGACACGCATGTCCCAACCAGACTGTTAAAATTTTTTTTTTTTTTTCCTTTCAGAGGTTTTTTATGTTTCCGGGTTTTTTGGAGGTCGTAACTTTTGGTGAAATTCGTAGGTTGTTTATCAAAGCTTATCTTTTATTGCAAATTGTTGGACTTCGCTTCTGTTAAAGCTGGAATTGTCTAAAATTCTGAGCTTATTTTTTTTTTTATTCTAAATTTTTTAGAATTATGAATGAAAACTATCCGTACATAATTGTATTGAAAATTCAGAAAGCCATTTTTAATTTTAAGCAAAACTTTTTAGACATCTGCAGGAACATAGCTCTCACTAATATAACAACATTGCCTCCTCTTCCTCCGTGTGACAAACCAAAACTGAAAACTGTGGCTAGGTTAATCACTTGCTTAGATTTGCATTAACCAGTAATCCTAAGTGGAGGTATGCATGCATAAGGAGGTATGCATGCACAGACCATAGAGACGGGGTGTGTCTGCCTGTCTCTTTATGTGCCTCCCCTTTTTCTCTCAGGTATTTCAGGCTTTAATTGTGATTAGGAAGGAGATAAAGTGGCCTTACCGCTGACCTTGAGCTCTACCAAATCTAAAGTGTCTGGAGCTCTTTTTTGTTTCATCATGACTTTAAATAATGTACTAGTGTTTTGGATAAATCTAAAACAATGGCAATTTTATTGGCGAGTGCTTTTCAATTTTTTTCCAGTTTTGTTAAAAAACACGGAACCCTGGTCACACTTTAGGTTCGGGTTCAGCATCTTCGCCCTAGTTTGTTTCTGGTTCACCTTGAGTGCAAACCGTTTTAGACCAGGTGCGCCTTCAGTGTGTCTCAGCATTAAACTTTTTTCTTTGTCGTTTTTGTTTATTTTTTATATAGCCGTCTCTTGGGAGGAAAAAAATGTAGCATGAGAATACATCTCTCGGAGTTTATAAATGGGTAGCATTTCTGCTTTTACCAACTGGGCCGACAAGGGCGAACCCCGAAGTGACGGGGAAGTGTGCGTGTATGTGCAGGGGAGCATGTGCGTCAGGACTCCATGGAGCCGGATAAGAACTGGTCTAAGGAGTGCCACTGCCCGAGCGGCACCAACGGGGGCTGCAGCAGCAGTGGCGGAGGAAAGCCCCTGGAGAGGAGGCGCAAGAAGGAGCATCAGCGCTGCCTCGCCCAGTCCCTGGTGGGCACGCCAAACTACATCGCCCCGGAGGTGCTGGCCAGGCACGGTGAGTGGGCCCCCGCTGTGCTTGGGGTCGTTACTCCTGGGACGTCAAGAGGCGTGGGAATTGGTGCATGTTTCTCCCTTATTTATACCGATATGTGGCACAATCTTAAGCAGAATTTTCGCAACGCTAAGGCAGCCGGCAGTCGCAATCGTTAGACCCGAACTGGATTCTCCGAGTGCCCTGTGCAGTTAAATCTGTCCAGATTTGCCCTTTTTGGCCACCAGCCGCGGCAACCGGCAACCCACCCCCCCGTTCGCTGCCCTGGGGCTACGACGCCTTCAGTGTTTACGTACGCAATCTTAACCAACAATGCCTGGATACTGAGAAGGCCTGTTTGCTCTCCCCTATGATATTGTGCCAAGGGTCAGGCTGTCGATTTGCTCCCTCTTTGTTATTACATATGCGTGACCTTATTGGCGCAGCCAATAGTGAACCGTGTCCGGGCATGTAGTGTTGTGGTTAGTGCTGTGGAGAGGGAACGGTGCAGAGGCATTTTAGAAGAAGCGGTGATTAAGCGTTTCATCGATGTTTCAAGGAGTGGCGTTGCGGTGGGGGTTGTTCGTAGCAAAGTGCAAAAGAACCGCCTTGCGAGACTTTTGCCGGAAGGGCTCCTATTGCGGAGGGTTAACCCTTATGTCTACGTCTAGGCATTGTACTGGCGCCATAACCTGTCAGCATTTCTCAGTCATGAGGCTGTCCATGGAAATCGAATCATTACAATTTTTTAAAGCAGTAGCTTTATAGGCCCAACCATGCTCAAGGTCATGTCCTATAATGGTTGCAATGCCCGTGGCTGAAGCTCAGGGTCGCGTAACCAAGGTCACGTAAGCGCCGGTTGCGTAAACGCCATTCATATAAGTGCCGGTTGCATAAGCTCGCAAGCATCTGTAGCTGAGGCTGATATGACCTGACATCGTTCTAGAGGTCATCTTTGAGGCCGTCCTGGAGGTCGTTCTTGATGCCGTCCTTTAGGATGTCGTCTTAAACGCTGCCCTCAGCGTCGTCTTAGATGGCATCCTTGAGGTCGTCCTTGATGTTGTCCTAGACGCCGTTTTTGACATGGTCCTCAACGCCGTTCTCGACGTTGTGCTAGAAAGAAGTCGTTATAGAGGTCATCCTAGACGCCTTCCTTGATGTCGTTTTCGACGTTGTCCGAGGCACCGTCCTTGATGTCGTCTTCAGTGTGTGCACCATTTCATCACCATACCACTTCCTTTCCTGATTGTTTTCACTAACGCCGTTCCTGTAAAGCTACCGCATTTCATAGAATGAATGTGGCTGTAATTTTTAGCATAGAATGTGTTTTAACAGCCGATTTCCGTGGAGTTCTGTAACGCATGGCTGTAATGAAAAACCAACATCGAAAAGCTATATGCTTGTAGGGACTCATAAATACTTCTGTCCCCCTGCAGGATTTGAACTCACCACTTGTGATTGTGAGCCAAGTGCTTTGCTGACTGAGCTATTAGGGTCAGTGCTACAGACCACGCACGAACAAGCTCATTTGCGCGACACGTGAATGAGCTTGCGCGTTTTGCGACCTTTCCAGTCACGTAGTGCCATCTCACGGTGTGTATTGGAAATGAAAGCGAATCTTCGGTAGGCGGTACCATTCAAACGTCCTTCTCTCCTTCCCTGGAAGGCCTATCGCACCTTCTGTGCTTACCAGTCTTTGTCAGTATGACCAAGCTTTTTTTTAACAAGGTCGTCCAGCCCTTTCTTTCTTTTCCTCGGTTGATGTTTCCGAGTCTCTTAGATGTTTCCACAGACTGTATGCTGCTGACCAAGGTAGTTTCATCTGAATGGGAAATTTCGATTATTTCACGACTCCCCTTGTCAAGAAGCGGAATATGCTACAGCGTTTTCCTGAAAAAGATTTGCAGTGTTTTCTTCACCGCAGAAATAATATATGCATCACTGAATACTTGGTCTCTGCCCAAAATGTAGGGCTAGTGGTTCGAACCGGATAGCAAAGTTTCAGAACTACCGTAAAATCTCGTAAGGACGCCCCCCCAAAATGAAGAGATAAATGGTGAAAAACATGGGGTGAGTTATCTTTGGGGATGCCACAGCAAAACTTTATCAAAAGTTAATGATAAGCGCCGGGGCACCCGCTACAAACAACGTGATGCGGGAACTGATATTGCGGACACAACAAATTCGCGTTTCACGATGCGATAAACACGCGGGAATTCGCTACAAACTCCTGTGTCACGGGAAAGGATACCGCAAGTGGCCGACGCAGCAGATTCACGTTTCACTGTGTGAAGGACTCGCGGAAACCCACCGAGAACTCGCATCTCACGGGAACGGATACCGCTGATTGCGGACGCAGCACATTCAAGTTTCATGGTGCAATGAAGACGCGGGAACCCGCTACAATCTTGCCTGTCACGGAAACCAATGTCGCGCGTGCATATCGCGGACAAAAACACAAGAATACGCTACGAACTCGCATGTCACAGAAACAAATACCGCAGATCGTGGATGCAACAGAATCGCATTTCACAATGCAATATACACGCGGGAGCAACTTGCGCGTGTTACTTACAGCTAAAAATTGATATCTTGTGCGCAGATCGCGGACAAAAACACGGGAATCCGCTACAGACTCGGGAACAGGTACCACAAAACTCGAATGCAGCAGATTCGCATTTCACAATGCAATATAGACGGTGGGAACAACTAGTGTGTTACGCGAGCGATATCGCACGCAGATCGCAGACAAAAACGCGGGAACCTGCTATGAACTCGCTTCTCGGACACACCGGTACCGCCGATCGCGCCGTTGATGCGCGATTCCCGTCGAACATCGCTTGACGTCCAACGGGAATTGGGGGGTGGGCGATGTTTTGGAATTTTTATGTTACAGACATTTAGCCAGGAAAACGGGATGGGCGATCTCTCGGGAGAGGGCGCCCTTACGGGATTTTACGGTAGCCATTACATTATTCAGAAGTTATAAGCGGTTCTCTGAAACTTTCATTGGGAAAATGGGGCCCATTAAAGGTAGATTGTGCCATTCAGACCCACGTATTTGTGGGCTTCATCGGTTACCATTTCCCCATATAAAATTTCCGAAAATCGCTCAGAACTTTGAAATAAAATAGCGGTTTGTTCTGAAACTTTGGCGCTTGGTCCGGACCGCTGGCGTTACATTTGGACGGAGACCGAGCGTCCTGCGATGCACAGTTCATTTTTTGGGGGGCACTTCCTGTACCATGTTTTTCCTACAACTTGAGATCCAAGATTGCCGTTAACATACGGAGTGCTGCACAGCCAGCCAAGTTACTCGATTGCTGTTTGTTTGCCAGGTCGCTGAGTGGAATCCAAGGGCTGGAATCTGGCTGCTCTGTGTCTAGTGCCTGAAAGAGTGCGTGCCGTTTGCAGGTTACGGGCAGTCCTGCGATTGGTGGAGTGTGGGAGTGATCCTGTACGAGATGCTGGTGGGTCAGCCCCCGTTCCTGGCAAACTCTCCGAGCGAGACCCAGTACAAGGTGAGGAACCCTTCTGCGCCAAGGCTTCGACCGGGGCACCGATCTCAATGCCAAGCTGGACGGTGGTACTTTAACAGAAAATGGTGCCAGATTTCTGTCAAACTATGAAAGAGTCATCTAAATGCTACTGCAATATTTTGGTTCAACACCCAATCCCGCCACCCAGAATTCATCAAAAGAATGAGGTGGGCAATGGTTCGATGTCCTAGTTCCAAAAAGTTTGGAAAAGGCTAGCATATACAAATTTTTGTGGTTGTGCTTGGCACAGCAGGACAGAGGACGCACTGACCTGAAAAGTTATTTTCATGCCCAGATCATTCGTTAAAGAAGGTTTTACTGCTTTGCAAAATAAACTTGTCCTTGCACGCGCTGTTTTCATATTCTCGTTCGGCCAAAAGATGGCCGTCTTTCAGCGGGATGTCCCCCAACTCTAGGAAGGTGCTGAATTGTTAGTTTCTGTTACAGTGTACTAGAATATGGGGTAGTGTTGGGACCTGAACGGCTCGCGTGAGGCACGTGGTTTAGATAGCGACGGGTGTCGACACCAGCGCATTGCTGGTAGGGTGGTAGGGTTGTGCACGTGCACTGCAATAGGTGCTGCAAGGTACAAACGGTTGCGAACATCTCGTGCAATATTCACCAGGCGGGCTGCAGGGACTTTCTGCTATCGTGACAACTGCAGTGCCACGGTTGTTGTCTACACAGGCAGCCTCACAAGCTCCCATTGCCGAGCCAGTCCCAACATTACACCATATTCTAGTACACTGCATTTCTCCTTTGTATTGTCGTGACAGTCTTATAGCAGCGTCTTATATTTGCACATATTTGCAGTTTATGTTCAAACAGTGTGTGGTCGCAACCACGTTCTATCTGTGCTCTCAGTGCCCCTCAGAGGCCTGGACAGCAATCAGATTGGGAAACTGCAGCTTAAACAGGGCGCAAATCGAACAAACATACGTACCCGAGATGGCAGAGACGGATGCAGTGGTTTGCAGACAGCACAAAGCTTCTTTCGGTTATCTCCTTCGCTTATCTTCGTCACGGATGGTCTCCAATCTTGCGGTCCGTGGTCGAAACATTCCAGGAAAATGTTTGTTTGCTGATCTTGCAATCTGCGATTGGGCATTTTGTAGAGGTTGAAAGTTTTTGTTTTACGGAAAGTTTATATTTTGCTCAAAAAGGCTATGTTTGGGCGGTTGGCATTAAATTGGGATATCATGGTACACTTCACTGTCATATGCACATACTTTAAATTACTTAAAGGGGCACTGACAAATCAAATTAAATTATATATTATCAGAAACGACTGAAAACAATGCCTGGACATTACCCTCAAAATTCAAAACTTGGGAACTCAGTATTTGTGAAGTAGAAAAACAATTTCCCAAAGCCGAGTTTGAAGTTGCCGCGCAATCCGCGCCAGTGCAGTGACAACAAATATTGAGTTGTTCTGCAACCCAAGTTTCTCTCGCGCCTGGGAACCTTTCCGACCTGCAGTGTCGTGTTCGCCCGGATCCCGCAAATCAACCGCTCTTCTCTATGCATGCTTGCCTATTGCTGTGAGCAGACCAGGGTGTCTAGTGACCGGAAAAACCGACAAAACCAGGAATTGTCAGGGAAATTTTAATTACCGGGAAAAATCGGGGAATTGTCAGGGATATTGTCCAAAAGCGAGTCTGGTCAGAGAAAATCAGCCCGAAACGCCATCGAGTGCCCTGAGCAAAGGCTTGAGGACTTAGGGGCAGAAAAATAGGCAACGAATTCTGCTTAGAGCAGAGCACTAGCTCTGCTCACGTGATGTAGAGTGTGCTACCCGATGCAAAGGGAACAGCCGATAAATCCAGTCCAAGCCTTGGATTGGATTGGATTGAGGGTTTGAGGGTGCGACACTAAGCTAGATCCAATTAGAGCTACTAGACTTAGTAACAAATGTCAAAGTCGAAGGCCCCAATCTAATAAAGTGTGCATCTGGCGGCCATGCCGCCATGCTGTCATTTGGTTATTGACGTTTGTGGTGGAGTGTCGTGGTTTCATCATGTTTCCGGGAGTGGCCAGTGGCCTCTTCACTGACGATGTCGGCGGCAAGAAAGTGCTCGTTTAATCGGGACTGGAGGAACCCAAATATCTTGGAATATGCAAGTTGGATTAGGCTCGTGCAAAATGATCCTCACAGTGCTCGATGCTCAATGCCTTGTGTTGTAATGGGTCTTGTATATTTAACCGCCTCTACAGTGGTCAGGAAACTTCACCTCAAATTATCAGGGAAAACCTGGAAAAGTTGGGGAATTTCAATATAATAATTTGCTAGACACCCTGGCAGACTATGCTTCACTTTCGAGTTTGAAGTTCTTTTAGGGCCGTTTCAGCAATCTCAAATTCTTTAAAACGCTGTGAGGTCGAAGAAAATGCGCAGTGAACTTTTGGGAACGAGGTGAGGGGTCACGTTGCGCTGGTTCTGCGTGAAAGGCTGCCTCCACGGGGTCACTACCGAAACTATGGTCCACAGACGCCAAACCCAGTTATTTTGACTGTTCTATGATTTCCTCTTCGAGGTCTGGGAGGTTGTTGAGCATCTAAAAAAGAGAACTTTGTCCGATTTCCCGACTCGCCAATCATCCTCAGGCTTACATGTGCCGAGCGCCGGGCGCCGCCATGTTTTACGAGGGAGGAAAAAAAGCCAGAAGGCGACATCACTCCGGACTCTAATTTTCAGTGTTTCGGTGCATTTGCAATTTCTTTAAAAAACATGTTGTACGAATGCCGTTATTAAATATCATAGAAGTGTCGCTTTCAAAGCTTCTAAATTTTATAATTGATTTTGCCACAAATAAAAAGAAGCGAGGAGATGAGAAGAGGGAGAGAAAAACTGCGAAGATAAAAAGGCGCGCGCACGCGTGGGAAAATTTTTCGCATTGGTGGTATTTTTTTTTGCGTCTCTATGACTACAACTTGCATTGTTTTAGACATAAAAAAATATGACCTTTAAGGTGTCAGTGCCCCTTTAATTTTTCGTGACTCGAAAAATATTTAGAAAAGTTGGGCTTGCGAATATATCACTCTACACTAACAGATACATAGAATACTATCACTCAGAAATGTGAAATTGTGTGCCCACTAAATATTTCCAATATCCAACCTTTCCAAAATCCACAAAATATTGAGCTTGTGAAAATGTAGTTATTCACAGTACCTAATCTGTAACATTCCTAAGAATGTTACTAAGAAATTGAGTAAGGAAAGTAAAGAAAAAAAAAGTTCTGGTGGTGTATAGTACTTGACAAAATGGTCATACATACATATATTATGTTTTTAGGTCTGTAAATTGCTGTACTGAGACTCATGTCGTAACTTTCGACGAGAATGCCATTGGTTGTTGCCGTGATCACATCATCTCTCATGCTAGCCAGTTTGAATGAGGTGCAAGGATTCATTTTGACCACTTTGCGCTCTGCGACAATCGTTTCAGTTAAGGGGAATGGGTCCCATTAAATTTAGTGGGATTGGGCGGTTGTAACGCTTACTATCTGTTCTACGTTTTCCCCAGGTTACCCTTGCCCAAAACATATTCTACATTTTAAAAGGGGTACTTTTTTTACCCACCATGTGCGAAGAAGTAAAAGCGATAGGCTGTAGCGTGTTTGAGAACTTCAGGACTCTCACGTCGGTGTACGCACGGCACGGGCGCTCTCATTGGTGGTCGGTGTGGCCGCGATGTCGGTCACGGAAGCCAGCCGTTCCCTCCGCACTCACTCCGGGGACGGAATATGGCCTTGGCATGGCGGCACTATTGGGAAGAGCAAAAGCATAAATTTTCTAAACGTTGTTGAGTGGTAAGGAGGGGGGGTAATGTTGACGTTGAGCAGCGAGGGGAGGGTGGGATGCATGCAGATGAATGAGGTGAAGCTCTGCAAAGAAGGCGAGTTGGAGGGCTTTAGTTTCTAAAGCCCTCCTACATTACGCGTAGCACTTGGATTTTGGCAAAATGGGATTTCCTATGACTTGAGTAATGTTTGAAAACACCAGTTCTGAAGTTATCGTTAGCAGACGACAGGGGAAGATGCTCTGCTGTCACCTCTTCGTCGTATCGCCATTATTGGTGGGTCGTCGGGGCTCTCCTCTTCCTTCTTCGCGCGGTGCGGCCAATGAGAGGACTCAACTTTTCTCTCCTCGCACCGTGATGGGATGGATTTTTTTATCTCTGATGCGATGACAGACAACTACAAAAGCCGACAACGAAATTCTGCACAGTGTCATTCGTAAAGCTATCATTTTAAAACAAACAAAGAATACAAAGAGGCACAAGAGTCAGGCATGGGAACGATTATATATGTGTGCAGCTTTGCTCTCTAAAAAGATGGCATTTGGCATGGCTTCACTCAATTTCTTTTTGTACTGAAGTGAATTAGGATGGGGAACAATGTTGTGGAGAAGGTCATTCCCATCTCTAGGGACACATGGAAAAAATTAAGTGAATGAGGTGACTGAGCTTTGGTGCACATCACGTTTAATGGATGATCCATGTGATAGTTACTTGTGGATATGGCAGAGCATACGATGAATTCGGCTAGAAATCGAGGTATAACTTGTTAATGGGTGGTGATGTAAATAAGGTTTGACGGTGTGGTTAATCATCTAGTACAGTGGTTCTCGACCATCGATGCTTCGCGGACCCCTTGTGGATCGGCGGAGATGATGGAGGACTCCGTTCGTGGTGAGGGGGAGGGAAATGTATATGTTAAATGTAATAATTATTGAATAAATGGATATAACTAAGGGCTAGTGTGAAGTAGACCTCTCTTATTGACATTCCCACGAAACAAATCGCCCGAAAACTGAAACATTTCTTTTTGACCTGAAAAAGTACAACTTTTATTGTCGGGCTTGACTGATGAGGCAGGGCTTCGCGGATCCCTAGACTGCCTTCGCGGACCCCAAAGGGTTCGCGGACCCCCATTTGAGAACCACTGATCTAGTAGAACATATTTCGACTGGTGACACTCGTTTCATACAGATAACTAGAAAAGATAAACCTGGCTGCACAATTTCGAACAGATTCCAATAGACCAATCTCACCAGCTAGTTTGAGTACACCACCGCTTGCACCATGCATCTTGGGAGCTGTAGTCTTTCTGCACACGCAACAACCCCGCTGGAGGTCTGCGCGAGCTGAGCACGAGGCGGCACGAGCTGGCTCGTGAACTGGCGTCTGCCTCCTATGAACTACAGTTATGGCGGCGTCACGCATGCGTAGAATGCTTGGCGAGATCGGTCTATTGGTGACTACTAACAACTTTGGTACGGGTCCTATAATGTGGTAGCATGCTCTAGCTTCAGATGGCTTTATGTTTTCTAGGCAGCTACTTTAAGTTTGATGGTGTTTATCTTAGGTTACGTTTTAGTTGCCTGCAACCAATTAGAGTTTGTTTTACATTACGACGGACTGCAGCAAACGCAATGAGCCATCGGAATCAATCCAGTGCCGTCTGCGAGTCTCGTGACATACAAGAGGGCACAGTGGTACGCGTTCCAGTGCTGGATTGGCCGAAATGACTCGTGATGTCTGTCACAGTCCATCGTAAGGCGAAATGGAGCATAGATAACACAGGTGTTCACCCCCCCCCCCCCCCCCCCCCCCCCCCCTCCGGACCAAAATTGTGGGTCTCACGGTCTGTGCTCCTGGCAGGTCTTGAACTGGGAGAAGACGCTGCAAATCCCCAAGGTGCCCGAGCTGTCCCCGGAGGGCATCGACCTGATCCTGAAGCTGTGCTGCGGGGCGGACAAACGGCTGGGGCGCAACGGGGCCGACGAGATCAAGGCGCACGCGTTCTTTGCCTCGGTCTGCTTTGATGGCAATCTGCGCAAGCAACCGGCCCCCTACGTGCCCAAGATACGTTACGCTGCTGACACGTCCAACTTTGACGCGGTGGATGACCTGGCGCTCGAGAAGCCCGACCCGGCCCCCACGTCGGCGGACAGCAACGGGCGCCACCCGGAGCACGCCTTCTTCGAGTTCACCTTCCGGAGGTTCTTCGACGGCAGCGGCCAGCCCTACCCGGTCGGGGCGGGTTCGGCCGGAGGGGCCGCGCCGGGGCAGGAGGAGGGTGCCGACGGAAGGGGCTCGCCCGTCTACGTGTAAAGTCGCCTCCGCCCGGACGGATGAAAGATCCGACGTCCGTCGTGCTGGAGCCCGCGAAATGGTGCGGGTTCTTCCTCGGCGATTGCGACGGACAGAGACGCGCGTCGACGCAAGCGGACGGCGGGCGCCTCTCGGAACTGTGCCCCTTCCCCGCCGAAGAAACGCCGGGAGCTAGTCGAGGTGTCTCCGACCGTGCTGCAGCGAGCGACGGCGTCGGCGCTGCTTCGTCGCCGTGCAGCTCGATGGATCTCAGCTGGCGACGCACATCGAAACGGACTGACACAACGGACGGTGCGCCAAAGCGTTCGTTCGTCTTTTAGACACAATTTTTTGTTGTCCTAGGCCAAGAAGAAACGGAAAGAGCAAGTCCCGGTTCTCCGCTAGATAGACAGTTTCAATTTCCGCCCGGAGGCGGGTGGGACGTTTCCCGCTGCCTGCGAGTCCTCCGGGAGGGCGCAACGTCGGACTGTGATACCGAAGCGGAGGGGGTGGTACGTGTCGCGTGCACCGCCATGGGACTGACCCGCGTCCCCTCTGCCGCTGCCGTTGTTGCTCGTTGTTCTTTCACTATTATTACCTCTTGTACCATAGCTTCTGAAGGTGCCAGCTACCTCTCCTCGCAAGGAGTTTGACCCTTTCGTGTTATTTATTGATCTGCAAGTTCCGACGAAGCGCGTGTATGTGTCCGTGTTGTCTGTGTGCGTGCGTGTCTGTGTGCGTGCGCTCGGGGAGGGGGGAACCCGCAGTGCCCTCCCCGGTAATTTAAGTTATGGCCCCTCTGCCGTCGCGCGTGCAGGGTCTTTGCCGACCGATTGTCGGACAACGAGCTTGGCGAAACGTGTCCCTGGATGTCCCTCGCTACCCGAGCTTTTTCGCGGCCCATTTACAAAGCCGGCGTGCCTGAGGAGGGCCCGGCCTTTCGTCGATAGCCTTAACCTCGTCTGAAGTTCGAGTCGACGTAGATTTGGCCGCGCGTCCTTCCTTCTTGGACGGCCTTCCTTATTGAAGGTTTGTACGCGCTGCACTCTACCGGCGGCCACTTCTTTCCTACGACGGGTATCATTACGCTCATTTCTCATCAATCATCGAAAGTTTTTCCTCTCCGACAGCACTTGGCAACGGGAGTTTCTTGCTACCATTTGCATTCTGCATTGGTGGTTGTGGTGAAGACTAAATACTACGGCCGAGGTAGATGAAACAATTGCTTCAAAACAAACCGACGAATAAGAACCCAATAAAATATCCTGCCCACACGCTTTCAGAGGTCGCAAAAACGAGACTGTACCCCCCTCTTTCTCTTCCCTTTGAGTAGTGCTCGGTGGTAGTGAGGAACATGGACGTTGCTACGAGACGTGCCGGGGCTCTTTGCAGACGTCTGTTTCTGTCGACTCGTGCCTGTGCAGATGTGCCAAACAGAAAGTGCCCCGTTCCAGTGCCACACTGCTCGAGGGTTGTAGCGTACGTAGGTTCACGTGGCTCATTGGTCGTTTCTCAAAGAGTAGGCGGTCCCGCTCCCCTGCTCCAAATCGGGAGTTGTTGTCGACAAACTTTGTAAGGAATTTTTAAGCCTTGGTGCCTTACCACACATGGCGCAGCTACACGTTTGGACGGGTGCCGTTGTTGGCAGCTTGGGTGCTTCTTTACAGAGCATTGCATGTTTGCAAGACCTCAATTGGTTTTTGTTGCAGCTTGTTCATCAAAGATGAAACCCTTAGCATGGGCACTCCGAGTTAGAACGTCCTAAAATTTCTTCCGTCCGTTGCAGTGTAGATTTTAGAAAGGAGAAACATACTTTTTAATTGCCTTTTAGCGGACTTTTGGAATGGTTCCTCGGAACTGCTTGCAGCACAGAGAACTCGGGGTCGAAGCTGTGGCAATGACCCAAAAACTTTAGGGCAGTGTTGGAATGCCGTACTAGCTTGCATTAATTAAAGAAGGGGGGGTTTAGAAGGGGCGGCGTTCCGACGGGGGAGAGTAACATTGGTAGCGATGTTTACGTCGTAAATATTGATGCGTGCGAGTGTGAATGTCGACCGTTGTTGCTTCTCGAGAGGACTGGTGTGGCTGGAAAGTTGCATTTATGCATGCGGATGTGGATAAAGGAAAGTAAAAAGGACAAAACCCAAGGTGACACATGGAGAGAGAGGGACTACCCTTTCTCTCCTTAGGTTCTTCTCTCCTTTTAGTTGTTTTCTTTAATCTGTCGGCCTCCTTTTTTATTCTTTGTTATGTACATATGTAAATTTGGTTGAATTGCTGTTTGTTTGTTGTCCTTTCCCCCCAGTGACGTCCCTTTGTGTCTCGTACATTTTAGTTCCACCTCTCTTTTTAGAACCGTCTTAGAGCAGTGTACATACGAAAGTAAGGGTAAGGGAATTTCACTTTGGAGAGTTTTTCTTTTCCGGTCGCGCAGCAAGGCAACTGGCTGGGCAGGCGGGACAGACAGCAGGGCGGGCGTTTAGACAAACCAATTTTGTACAGTTTTTGTGTCCCAGTTGTGCTCCTAGCCTCCCGAGTTGTGCTTTTCCCCCCAAGAGTGTCTTCCTCTGTTCTCGCCCATTTCCCTGTTTCTTTTGTTCAAAAGTTTTCAGCTCCCGGCCTGTCTGTGTCAAATAACAATAAATCAAAGATTCTTACAATGATCTCTTCAGTGTTGGTGTTTTCTTTTCCCAGTGTGCATCATTCAGCACTCGCTTCGCAAACTAAATCAGTATAGTGCGTTTGGAAACTAGAGAAAACGCTGATTAAGTTTTATCTCGTGTCTTTTATTCTCGCCGGACACTGTCGATCAGTGAGCGCAAGTAAAATTGTAGAAGTAACCGAGGGATCTGATAAGGTACTCTACATTTTTTTGCGTCGTATCACCATGGACTTGATTGTTTAGTTCTCTGTCTTCTCCTAACCCCTTGCCATTGTGCCATTCTGAATTCTCTTGGAGATCACTCGCTAGACATAGTGCCTACAGACCCATCCTCAATAGGCTGGTCTTTAGATGCCCAATTATTACATGATCGAAAGGAAGTCTTCCAGAGGCCTCAGAGTGGTGGGCCGATGTTTGTCCTTCAGGGTTCCATCTAATCATTGTTCACAAGAATGCATAGAAAATAAAGGTAAAAAAGGGCTGTGGGTGAGAGCCTATGGTCTTGCGACCAATGATGAGGTGGCGCCCTGAAGAAGCTAAATTTGTGAAACGTTGGCCGCCACTCCGAGAACCCCGGGTGAATTCCTTTTAATTGCATCCTACCAATTCCTACCACCTTCGTGTTTTGTTTACATGGTGAATCAAAATTTGTGCTCGAGGCTATCTACTCCATGTGCATAAAATCAACAGGAGTGGAGGGTACATCCTGCATTATTATATGTAAATGCAACCACTCTTGGCTTGTATGATGGACGACCTTCTGGTGGTGCCGCCTGCAAACCTTGTGGCCGTCGTTGTAAACCTCTTCTCTGTCGCTCATTAAGGGAGGAGCACCGATCCGCCTTGGCAGCTGCACCACTACACCGTCCGCGTTACGTTGGAGTGAAGTGCGGCAGTGTTTCTCTATCTCAATCCAAAGTAAAGATTTGGCACCTTGATATTGAAGAACATGTCCAACGTTGCCCCGCATTTGTTTTCGCATCATATGACCAGCAGGAGTTTATTGTACCCTCAGGGCCCAAGAGCATTACAGAGGGGAGTGGGTTACAAAAGGAAAATCACACTTAAAAACAAAATGACAACCTAAAAAAAATGAAACACAAATATAGTAACAATTAACTTATAAAATTGGTTAAACAACGCTTAAACATAATGGTATCTGTTACACACACAACTGACGATGGAAGGTGGTTCTACGTAATTGTTGTTTTGGGTATGACTGAATTGTAAAAAATGGTTTTAAAAACAGGTAGACCAATTTTGTGTTGGTAATCGACGCGTGGAAAGACACATGAGGGAGGAGTTATAAGGAAGGATTGTGATAATAAGTTGAATGAAACACAAAGACTGGAAAGGTTAGGTAGGTTTAAAAGAGATTTATAGACGTTATGCTTGCAATACGGTGATAAGGTGGCTTCAATTTGGTTGGTTTCGGTTTCAGCGGACTCGCGGCTGTGTTGTTGCGCCATGTCACTTAGTTTTGTTACATAAATGTATCTCTTGTGGTACAGGACCAATGATACAGTGGTCATTAAGCCACCTTGAAAACTACGACGTAGTTACGAGCCTAAATTGCGGACGTAATAACATCTTCATCTGATCATGTTCCTCGTTCAGCCAGGATCAGCGGCGAAATGACCGAGATGATGCCGGGAGTGGTTAGCAATGTCTAGGAGCCAAGCCGTACTGGACGTACCCGCTGATACTAGTTTCCACAAAAGTAAACTAATGAGACTAATGCATGAAGGCAGTGAAAAAGCAGGTCGACAGCCTGACCAACAATGTGCTGAATTAAAAAGAACAGATAAACTCGCAAGTTTAGTGTTCACTGTTTGGTTTTCGAGGACACCACCATTTTGTGATAATTTCTGACTGGGAAACTGCCCTGTAATGACGCATGGACTGCAAAAATGAAGCAATATTATTTTCAACAGTTTCATTAATGAAAGGAAGTACTCGAGTGATGTCTCAATAATGCTTCCTAGGCCGAGTGGAGCATTTTTTCAACTATCAGCCCTGCTAAAGTATTCATTAGCAGCATTTCACAATGTCGACCTTAGGAAACTATTTGTTATACGTATTGAGAATATGAGATAAGGGACAAACCCGTCAATTGAAAACTAACTTCCGTCTTCCGCATATAAATTGCGGAATAAAATTAGACTGCTCAAGAGAATTGACCTCCAGCAAGCTTGGCTCGAGTCAAATACCCGGCACCACTTCATGAATTTGTGTAGACAGATTTTTATTTGTTTTAACAGATACGCTTCTTACTTCCAGCGGTGTCGAGAGTAACTTGGCATTGACAATGCTGCACTACAGAGATTTCCATGCAGACGGCTTCTTTTCGGCGTCAGATATTGCGTGCCTCAGGCACTTTTGTCAGACACTCACAAGCTGTCTTTGACACGGTTTTCACCCGGGGAGTCCAACCCTTTCTGTCTAAATAAATTAATTCAATTGGATATCTTTAGAAAATTGAATGACTGCAGACATGAGACCTAACACAGTGTATAGGTTCTTTAAATTCATAAATAAACGGATCAAGCGACTGTTTATACCGCAAAAATAACTCCCCCATATAATCAAAAGCAACTGTTTTATATTTGTTATGAAGGCAGAGCACAATGCTTTCAAGAAACACACAAAGACTTTTTGCATTGACTATATTTGTCTTCTTTAAGATCATAAATGCATGATCATAAATATGCCCCAAACTTCTTATTGCACCGATATCACTTAGCCACCATCACTTAATCAAATTTGCACTGTCATAAATAATTGGCCTCTCAAACCTTGTGTACCTTAGAGTCGTCTACATACTCAATGTGCACCTGTGCTAACGCTGATTCCTTTCCTCACACATATCCGGTATGCTGACGGTGCAAATTGTCAATACGTGCTGTAAAATCAAACGTAGAAGTTGCGCACATAATGGTGGCTTGCAGTTAGGTAGTAAAAATAAGTATCAGATGACACTTCACAAAGCAAGGCAAAAAAGCGCAGTAACACGCAACGAAAAACACAAATGCAACGCCTTCGCCAGGGCCACCTTATGGCGACCGCGTCATGTTATTCCAAGATGGCAGTGCCCAGGCGACGGAGGGTGAAAAGGTCTGTACAGGAACTCTATGTTTCTGTAGGTGTATAGGGTCTGGGCTGACCCGTTTCCTAAAGTATGACATCTTGACAACTCCACGTATGGTGCTAGCCAGCTTCCACGTGTGATTTATTAAGTGTATATGATTCAGGGAAAGACAAAAAGGTAGGAGAAAGTTACCATCTGATAATATCCACATAACATAAGGGGGCTCGCACACCTCTTGTTTAGTGTAATCAACAGCTTTAGACAGAGAGGGAAGACTTTCAGTTGTCTTGTCTCCAGTGCGAGTTTTTTACCTTCAACAGTGTTCAAGCAAGGTGTGAGCTTCAAATTTGCACGTGTGGCCGAGACACTAGAAGTGCCAGGCTGATGCTGGGGCAAGTCGAAGGCCTCCCAGTCATCATAGGGCTGTGAATGGCAACATTATCCTCAATAGACTGGATAGTCTGTCAAAATGATTGAACCAGAGAAAGCTCTCTGGTCTGAGCACACATTCTCAGTTCTCTTGTTTGCAGTGTTTCTTGCAACCTTGGTGTGGAATCCAACTACTCGGGAAGCATGTCGTCTCCGAGCTCTTCGTTGTCGAATTCGTCGTCTACGACTTCGTCCCGTCTCCGTGCTGCTGTGCGTGGTCTCTGTTCCAGGGGTCCCAAGGGATCCTCGTATGATGCATCTGCATGAGATAAAAAACAAAAACACTCTAGCATTTGCTTCATGTTCTGTGTTGCAGGAAGACTGCTTATACTTCTATAATATGGCAGGCTTCATCAGGGTGAGACAACTAGAACGTCTGTGGCTCAGTCTCAGAAGCACTTTAAATATATTCAGTGCTACATATTGCATACTCTATAAGGCATTCTTTTGACATACTCTGTAATTTCTCGCTGCACAAAAAGCAGAGTACTAGAGTCTTAGCTGTATGCCATAATTTGTGAAAATATTACTCCCATTACACATACACATGATTTCAGCATAATCATAGAAAATCTTCGTTGTCTTTATAAATGTGAATCCGCTTTTGCATCTGGAGTCTCGTTGCAATGAACACATAATTTAGATTTTTTCCACCGTTTAATTTTGAATTGTGTATTGTTTGTCCCGAGTTGAACTTTGTGTATATTATATAAAACTACTTCCAATTTACCCGCCGCATACATGCTACCTTAAAATGGTGTGCTCACCTCCTACTTTTTAAACATTTGAAACATAGGCAAAAGACATTTCAAATGCTCACCCCAGTCAATTTCTGACCGAGGTGCTCCTCTGTATCGGCTGCTACTCCAGAGGCTAGTGCAAAATGGTGAAGATTTACGTGCATGCGTTGGTGCGAGGCGGTAAAGCTTGACACAGAAGCGCATGCACAAAGCTAACTTGACAGCAATGCAGCTACTTAAAAAATTAAGGGTTCTGCCAAACCCCTGTACTGTCCCTATACCATTCCTTTGAAGCAAACAAGGGCCTCTTCTACCATGTACCCCTTCTGCACTGTTCTGCTTTTGGACCGAGCAAGCACCCATCCCCATTCTTTTGTGATTGTCTCCAACTTTTGCGTGGGTGCTAGTTTGATACTTCGCAGTAAATAACATTACATTCAGACTTGGCTCATGTAGTCTATATACAATAAATATGATAAAAAAAATGCATTTATGGCTGCAAAGTTCTATTTATATAAAACTACAAGCTAATGTGTTGACAGGCCACTGGAATGTGCATTTCACCTATGTTTTTACGTTACGCGAGAGATATTGAGACACAGATTTTTCTGGCACCCCCAAGTGGAGCAATACAAAGAGCTTTCCCTGTGCCTTTCACGTAACGAGGAGGAGCATAACGAAGAAAGAAGTGCCACACCTGAAGTAAGCTCTGACACATTGGAATAGGATATATTCAGATTATTCGGTTGCTAGATCCAGTCTTTCCTCGCACATCTCACAAGGACCATGTTCTATGCCTGTTATTTGTTTTCTTCTTGTCTGGCACCTGTTTACATTCTGCAACAGATTTCCAGATATTTTACTGTATCATTAAATATTCAGGTACATCTCCTACGTAAACTGCACGTGCATGGCGATCTTTTCCGATGCCATATCTGACTGTTCTTGCGACACGAGAGACACGGGCGACTTGCCTATCTCCTTGGGCGTGGCCTGGTAAGTCTCCTCTGCTTCGACCAGGGGCATGTGGCGACGTCCTCTGCTTGCAGACTGAGGGCTTTTCGATGCCGCCTGTTCTGAAGGCACACTCGCATCTGGATTGTTAAGATGCAACAAGCAGAGCTTGCAAATTGAGCAGCCTCAGTTTGACTCGGATTGATTGCTACTGGTTCAGAGGAAAGCTGAAGACAAGTTAAAACACCCTCTGAAAAGGACATCTTTTGCTTTTTAATCCGAGAAAAAGAGAGAAGGAGAGTGGAGATGACATCATCACAGCCACCTTCAAGACAGACAAAAACCACATCACAAGGTACCAGCTGCAGTGGTTCATTGATTCGCAAACTACTTAATTTATCTGTGGGGTGAGGAATGATTTGTATGAATCGGAACTGTTGACATTGCTTGGGGGACACCGCTGCTAAATGTTTTTATCATGAGACCTTAAGCTTTGGAATTCGTTTGATTGATTGACTGACATATATTAAATTTTGACACAGATGTCAAGGCAGTTAGGACAAAAGGTGATTGAAATCACCTGTCACACTTTAGTATTCCTAAAATAGGGGTTTCAAATGAAGTACACCAAGAGTGAAGAAGTAAGTAAACAGGCGAGCTAGTTGATATGTTACACATAATTGAAAAAACCGGAGGCGACGGATGAAGAAGGGGACAAACACAAAATGTTTGAGGCGCTTTCTGTTTGTTCCTTCCTTCATCCGTCGTCTCCGGTTTCTTAAAATGTGTGCACCAAGAAATTTGTGTTCACTTCTTAAAAAGTTCCTTAACTCTTTCTAAAAAGTATGAACCAACTTGTTCAAGCAAATATACTTTTTCACTAAACCTGGCTTACTTTTCTTGATAATTCCCTGTAGTGACAGTCTCACAGTCTCTATGCATCTTCTATAAAGCTTCTTTCAAATATGATGCGAGCAGTTTTACAATTCTTTTTTGTTTTTGGCATTCATTTCATATCACAAATACAGTATGTGATTAGTCTGAGTCAGCTTGGAGCAGCAAAAAAAACTTTTAGAGCGTAAGAACACACTTCACTTTCATTCAGACCTTTCCCAATATTATTTAGCATCCATCTGGTGTCATGTCCAACTAAAAGACGGCGTCTACTTTGAATTCACACTTCTGCGTAACCTTCTTTGCATCAATTGCACAACTGGTCCGATTCCCCCTAACACAAAACTGATTGTATAGTTGTGGGAAGCACCAGGCATGGCAACAAGATGCTGGTTGATGAAGGGAGCTGCTTATCTAGGTACGGAATCAAACAGTATATATTCAACTGAAATACTGCTGGAACAAAATAATCTTGAACAATCGAAATTCCTAACCTATTAAAGTTCTAAAGGTTGTAATAAAACTGAAACTCTTTTTTAAGATTAAAAAGAAAAAAAAACAAGGTTTTGTATTGAATTATGAGCATCAATTATATTTTACATGTAGAACTTCGAGATAACAAAAATCGGCATGTGAACGATATCTGTGCCGCCTTAAAAGAACCCAGCCAAACTCGTTAAGGATATTCCCAAGTTTTTATTCATTGCTTCAGCTAATTTAGTTTTAATTGACTCTATTGAATGTGCCTCAAACAAATGAAACCTATATAAAGGTGATCACTAAACAAGAAAGTCGACATAAAAGATAAATCTATAGAGCAGCTCACATAAATCTTCTCGCAATATATTCAAGTATCCTTGTCAAACCTCGAATTTGAAAAAAATGGCGTTGGAATATTGCAGTCTATCATGTATACTAGCCGCAGTTTTGTTTATAGATTTTTACTGCAAAGAATGTAGCGTTATACCAGCACAGACCAAGATTATTATTTTTCTTTTTTAAAATATACCGAACGCATGGGTGCGGAACAACCCGGTCTGGGAGAATGCTTTCCCTTTAGCACATGGGTGCGCTGTGGCGAATCAAGATGTGCAAAACTGTGATACCTACTTTGCGACTGTCACTTCACTGAAATACACCAGTGCGCTATGAGAACCGTAGAAGGGTGGTGAGCTCGGCTAGTTGGTAAGTATTGCACATGGTTAAAGTCAGCAAGTAACGTGAGGAAACTAGAAAAATACAAGAGACAGGATAGACGCTGAACTCGCAACTCAATATTTCATCCAGAAGAAAAGAAGAAAGATGACATATAACCAACAGGCACATACTAGTGGCACGAGAACTCTGAGGCGCAAGGCCAATGGCCTTTTAAACGCTTCGATGCGCTAAAGTCATTGCCCCGCACCCTAGAGTTGTGCCATTAACACGTGCCTGTTGGTTATATGTCATTGTCTTTCTTCTTATTCTCTTCTGGATGAAATATTAAGTTGCGAGTTCAGTGTCTATCCTGTATCCTATATTCTTCTGTAGTTTCCTCACATTGCTCGCTGACTTTAACTATATGCTATGAGAACTTCAGAGTACTGTCGGTGTTTGACAGAAAGATGAAATCAAATAGTATGCTATTTAAAAGTTTTGAAAATTTGCACAAGCCTACCGTAACGATCCGGCCATGTAGTGGGGTCAAAAAGAAAATGTTCAATGAGGCAAGGTTTTACCAACAAACTAAAACAGGTTGAGCACCGTCGGCGACGGATATGCAACTGTCCCTAAGCGGCGCGCTATTGCTGCTTTTTATACAAGTGGTGCGTTCAGGAATGTATCAAACCAGAACACTTGATGACAGCCAAAGATCGGCTGGAACTTCCCGAAAGAGTAGTCCATAATTACAAAAGAAATATTCGGGCTGAGCAGTGTTCAAATGCCATTCCTCCGCATGGCAGTCGCGTGCGTTACCAGCTTTGCCACGCACGCGGCAATATCAAAGTAATAACTACAGTATTTACAACTCTTTATGAACAAAGCCTGTGCATCCACGTGCGGATAGCTGCTCATCGCGATTGGCAGAAAGATCCCAGCAAAAACAGTGGCGTAGGCAGAGGGGGGGCTTGGGGGGTCGAAACCCCCCCGAAATGCCAAAGCTCCCCCCTCCCCCCCTCCCCCCCCTCCCCCCCTCCTTCCCTCCCTCCCTCCCTCCCTCCCTTCCCTTCCCTCTCCTCCCCTCCCTCCCTCCCCCTCCCCCTCCCCCTCCCCACTCCCCCCTCCCCCTCCCCCCTCCCCCCTCCCCCCTCCCCCCCCCCCGGGGCCTGCTCGCTCCCCTGCTCACGCAGTCGGTTTTGCTCGAGGCACGGAGCAACAGGGGAGCGCGGACCATCTCCAACTTAGATGCCTTCGGGAAAATTGCTTGTGGGGGTAGAAAATGCTCAAATTAATAAAATATGCAATATTGCTTAATTCATGTTTATTCGATGGGATGTGGAACTTAATCTCAGATATATGAATAACGGATATTTCGAAACATTTGTGGGGTGAAGGATGACAATTTCAAGGCAAAGTATAACAAACTATTTTCACTGAAATACACAATTCAATCAAACCAAAGTGAACATAATAAAACGAACACATGGTGATAATTTAAAACAATGTCAGTGATGTAAAGAATAATCAATGAATTGTAAAAAACAATTGCACTGTAAGCAACGGGTGGCGCAGCGCTCACGGACAGCTTTTGTGATCAGAATTACGCGCTTTCGACTAGAAATTGCTGCAAATAAAAAGGTAACTGTGAATAGTTATGTTAGAAAGCCATTTACAGGTTCTCTTTATTATATCATTTATGCCAAAAGCCTACACATTAAAATGCAGTCGCCTCCGTTCACGGGAAAAATTATCCAGGACGTCCTCGGCTTGTATTTTATTGTCGCAGTGAACATTCAAAAGCTCTATACTTCGTATCAGCTTAAAGGGATACTGAACCGAAATTTGGATTTCGCAAAGTAATACAGAAGTGTTGAACCGGATGCTATGAACTCCAAAAAATCACTCGTACATCGATATCTCGAACGGATGGCCGTACTTTTAGAAAAGAAGGGCGCGATGAAGTGAGTTCTGTGACGTAACTGTCCTCCGGGAGAATTTGAGAATGAGGAGAAGCGCCCTCGCTTCTCTCCTCCTCACTTCGGTTCACCAGCTTGACGGGACGTAGCGAGGAGGAGAGAGAATAGGAATCGTGACGTGCCTTGTTTCGTCGGCCTCGTAGGCCAGGTTCAATCGCGCACTTCGTTTCCATAAAATACGGTGATCCGTTAGATATATCACCGCATGAGTGATATTTTTTGGTTTTGCAGCTTTCCGCCTATCCGCCCGGCCTTGTTTAGTGAGCTCGAAATTTTGGTTCAGTATCCCTTTAACTACAGATGCAGCCCATGCTACAAGCGCGAGCTCCGGGCTTTCAGCGTCCCTGCCAAGCACGCACGCTCGTGCACTGCGAGCACTGTTCAGGGCCACGTGCTCGCGCTTGTAGCATCGGCTGCATCTGGACTTAAGCTGAAACAGTCGCTCATTCGAAGTGGACGCTCTCAGGTACGTTTTCAACCGTCGTAGTGAAGGGAGCGAGCGCTCAGCTTCCGCCGTTGTAAAGGGCAGAGTTGCTAGGATCTTGAGGAGACGATGGACGTTCTGAAATAGGACCTTCAGACAGTGGGCGACCGCCTGTATGCCGCAGACTTGACGAGCGCTTCACGTTTCTCTTTCTTGCATTGGACGCCTAAAATTTCCCTATTTTCGGCGAAGTTTCTCTCACTTTGCGAAAATCGTCGCTCACGGATGTGACGAAGTCAGTCTTTCTTTCTGCTTTGCATGTCGAGGTGGCGACTGATGCAATTCCTTCTCTGATGAATCTTTTCGTTGCACGGAACATCGGAATCTTTGAAGAGACAAGGCTTGATATTCTTCCTACGCATTGGCGCAAGGGTAATCAAGTTCCTTGCCACGTTCGGCGTGTAGTTTCTGTGTGGTGCGTCATGTCATTTCTCCGAGTGACGGAACGACGAGTTCGGACTGATGACTTCTCCTTACCCCGAGGATATGCTGCTGCTGCTGCCTTTGGACCACGCTGCAAGATAAAGCGGCCTAGCAAAGATAACTCTCTTTCCTTCGGAATCTGGTCCTGTAGCACGAATTCGTTAAACCTTTATTAGATAATAGATTTTGGTTTTGTGATTGCTCAGAATTACCTTCGCCCTAAATATGGGCTCCTGGTGTTTGTGCGTGGTCAGTTACTCAAATTTTTCAGCATCGAGATTTTTCTTTTCTGCTTACTTTTTGTGTGTGTGTGAAAGTATAGCTATTTTTGCGCTTTGTCTGGCCTTCACGCGTTGGTGATGCAGAGCTACCTCAAAAAGCGGAGGGAGTTGTGGGCTGTGAGGAAGCTTTTAAAGTTGGTGGGCCGCAAGTACAACGACGGTGGAACAGTGAGCCATCACGCCCGTATTCCTGTAAATGAAGCCTGTTCCGTTTTTAAAAATGACAATTCTTTACCCATTTGATCTTAACAGCGCCTCCCTAATTTTTGCCTGAGCGTCCAAGTCGGCAAGCTCAACCTGCATCATTGAGGGGGGGGTGCCGGTGAACCCCTCCCAAAATAAAATCCTGGCTACGCCACTGCCAGCAAATTATGGGAAACAGGTGCCGTCCTCACACCAAAACACTCCTTGAGTAGGTTGCGTTCTTGTGGAGAACCATTTTCCAATCTTATTCACCACGCTTCTGATGTACCGGGTGATTCAAGGAGACAGCAGGCTCTTTAAATCGACCGGAAAATTCGGTTTCCTAACCTATCACGCTATGACCTTGTGCAGCGTTGCCCAGAGATGGTGCATTTTTTTTTGTAAAATTTGCAAAGAGCGAATTTACCTGAGGAAAAAGTAAAGAAAGAAAGAGGCTTAGCTCCTATGGAAACGCAGCGACGCCACCGGTCTTCAAACAACACGGCGCCGTTTCGCACGGGACACAAGAGATGGCGCAACGGACGCTGCCAACGAACGAGCATACGGCGCCGAGAGCCAGCATCTTTAGGAGACAATACCTTTTGACTGAAACGCGGAGCGCGTTCCGCGGGCGGCAACAGTCGCAGCAACAAAAACAGGCGCGGTAACAAGGAACTGCAGTTCCTTGTCTGCTAAATACACCGGCTCTCGGCATCGTCTGCTCGTTCGTTCGCAGCAGTTGGCGTCGCAACCGCTTGCGCCACCTCTTGTCTCTCGTGCGAAACGGCGTCGTGTTGTTTGAAGACCAGTGGCGTCGCTGCGTTTCCATAGGAGCTAAGCCTTTTTCTTTCTTTACTTTTTCCTTAGGTAAGTTCGCTCTTTGCAAATCTTACAAAAAAAATGCACCATCTGTGGGCAACGCTGCACAAAGTCGTAGCGCGATAGGTTAAGAAACCGAATTTTCCGGTCGATTTAAAGAGCCTACCGTCTCATTGAATCACCCGGTAGAGTTCAGTGATTGGGTCTATGCGTGCCTACGGGCGAGTAGGCGTGGGCAAGTAAATATGCGGTAGTAATGACAGGATTGCCACGGTGCTCAAATAAATGAAAATGACTGAGACAATTGGAACACTGCAAACAACTTAATTTTAGCAAACTTTACAGTTGGAAAAATATTGCAACAAGTCACACGTGCACATCATCCCATTCTAACGGATACATGGCATACTACCCCCAATCGCAGAATTCTCTACCCCCAAAATAGTCCCGAAATCCACCCTTTAAAAATTTGCAAAATATTGAGCCCGCAGAACCAAACTCGTTTACAACAACTAGCACCATCAAAAAATAATACCTTTTTTTTATGATGATGTTCTTTTTTTGTGTGTGTGTTTTTTTTGTTTTTTTTTCTATCTGCCTGAAAGCTTTTTTGATAATGGATCTGAGAAAAGCAGGAAGGTTGTCTCGCTCACTGCTGCTGGCAGAGCTGTCTCTCGAGAGCCGACTGCTGCTCCGGCGACTCCCGCTCCTGCTTCCACTGCTCGACCTCTGTGAGCAAGATGTCAAACCGTTAATGAGAGAACACCAAGTTTGGATAAGGTCTGACACCAGATTTAAGAACTAGCCAAGTAAAACAGTATATGTGACAGCTAAGTTAACAAATACTGGACATGTAAAAAAAGATGAGTCATAAATATAAGCTGTGCTTCACAGAAAGCTGAAGCTCTCCCTTAAGTTGATGGTGGCAATTTCGACATTATCTGGATCAAAAGTCAGAAATAGCCATTAGAAACTCTGAAACTCTCAATATATTATGTAAAATCTCTGAAAATTGTCTATGGCAGTGTGGCATCTTTTAATGCATTAGCATTATACCCTATTTCATGATAACTTGGCAAACGGTAGAAACTACGGCCCCTGCAACCAATAAGAGTCTCGGGGCAAGGCACCTGACATCACGTCACGGGGGCGTTTGTGTCACTGCACCAAATGTGAGGTCCGAAAGAACCGGCTGTCACCTGCTCGCCAAGAGTCGTCTGCTGCGAAACCAACCGATTTTGGATGAACCTCCACTGCCGCAACATTGCTGTTTGCTAGAGTATTGAGCTCTTTAAAAACGGTTCGTGCGACAACCATACCTTCAATTTACCCACAAATCTGCAAACAAGTGCTAATGCCAGGGTGACATTGTGAACAGAAGCATTCGATTACGTGGCTGCAATCGTTCAAACATCAATCAAAACCCACATTGTTTGATCTGTACTAAGTATCGTCGAAAAGTAACCTGTCTTCGTCTTTCTTCCGTGTCGTGCAGTGTTGCGCCGACACTACTAAAAGAAATAGAAGCCTAGAATCACTTTATGATGCAGACGGTGCCGTGGCCTCGGCTGTGGAGTATTGCCACGTGCCTCGCTCCGATGCTCTTACTGGGTTGCGGTGCCGCAGCCTCCACGGTTCGCCGATTTGTCGTGAAACGGAGTATAGTACGTACATGACAGCAAAAAGCTGATGCTGTCTGCCTGCAGACAAAACATTGAAAAGGGAAGTGCGCCGCATAGAGAGAGGAAACTATTGAAGGACAAAGGCGAGAGGGAGGTGGCGTCACAAAGCCGAAGCCAATGCACGCGCGGGAAACCGGTGAACAGTGAAAGCAGCATCATGCAGCGGATGCCGCTGCTGAGCGTGCAAGGTGGGCAAATGAGTCAGATGAGTGGAAGCAATGCCTAGCTTGGCTGGCCGAAATGCGGTGCAAGAAGCAGCAAGCCGATGCGGGTCCGCGTGCGACAAAGGCTGGGTCAACAAGGCTCAACGAGCCTGCTTCGCCGAAAAAAAATTAAGGGAAAAAAATTAAGGGAAGATTCCTTGGGAAACTGCGTCCCATTTTGGGAAACGCTAACACTTACCCCGTAACGAAGCCAAAAAGAGACAGCAAAAAATAGAAGAAGCAAGAGTACATAAAAACGAAAGAAGAAAAACATAAAAGATGTACACGGACCACACTTTCTCAAATAGCAATTACGTCGTTGCTATTTGAAAGAGTGCGGTCGTCCATGTATGTCTTTATGTTTTTAATTTTTTCGTTTTTAAGTTGCTGTTATAACAACACGCTCAAATTAACTAGTAAGCAACAGAAAAAGCCAAAAGAAAACACAAAGAGAGAAAGCCAAAACAGAAAAAAATATTTGTAGAGCCCTTCCACTTCACGTGAATATGGAGGACCAGCGAAGCTGTTATTTTTACGACGTCTAGGACGATGCCTAGAGGACGATGTCTAGGATGACCTCAAGGACGACTTCTAGGACGATGCCTAGAGGACGACGTCTAGGACGACCTCAAGGATAACCTCAAGGACAACTTCTAGGACGACCTAAAGGACAACTTTTAGGATGACCTCGAGGACGACCTCAAGGACGACGCCTAAAGGACAACCCCTCTGATGACTTCTAAGACGACCTCGAGGACGACTTCTTGGACAACCTCGAGAATGACATCTAGGACAACCTCAAGGACGACTTCGAGGACGACCTCGAGAACGATGCCTAGGACGACCTCGAGAACGATGCCTAGGATGACCTCAAGAACTTCTAGGAAGACCTAAAGGACAATGCTTAGAGATGATAACAAGGGATCAGGGCTTCAATATATAATAATGCCAAGGAAGGCTGACTCACACCGGTTGCTCCCTCTTTTAAAGCACAGCTCTTAGGTGCCTGTTTCCGACTTGAGCGGCATCGGTATTACCGTAATCGCGCAGTACATTATGAAAAACGTCCCATGATGCAACGTGCGGGACCCTCGTGATGTCACTCGTGAGTCACATGTGACGTCACGAAGGTCCCGCGCTTTGCATTAGGGAAAACGTCCCATGATGCAACGCGCGGGTCTCGCTCGTGTCCTGTGCGTGGCATTATAAGAAATGTCCAATTGGGAGGAGGAGAAAGGGGAGGGGAGAAGGAAGGAGAGGAGGAGGGGAGGAAAAGGAAGGAGAAGGAGGAGGGAGGGGGCAGAGGGAGGAAAAGGAGGGTCATACCCTCCCCTCCTCCTCCTCAAGAGCTGCGTTCTAATTCGGCGTTACAAGGAATTGTAAACATCTTTCATTTTTTATTTTTATTTATTCATACTTGCCACGACCGATGGGGAGATCTTAGCGCATAACAGCTTCGCTGTAAAAAAAAATCCAAGGACACCTAAGCACTTCTTATGAGTTATGAATGCAAAAGCATGAATGTCGTTCTTCCGCTCCCTTAGTTCGTCTATGGCGTAGTGGCCTGGACGGCCACGTTTCGCCAGCGGACAGCCGAGCACCCACTTTCGTGAAGTGGAGGCACCGCACTCAGCTCAGCCGTGTGGCCCCTCTGGAATCTGTCCAGACAGGCTCTGTTGGCTCTGCCACCATCACTCCCTCCTCTTACCGGCAACGGCGCCATTGCGTGCACTGCGCTATTATGAAGAGGTGGCTTTTTTTGGAATTACGCCGCACAAGAGCCAATGGGAGCCTCGTCCCTTGATGACGCACGCCAGTCAATGGCAGCATAATTCATCAGAAATGGGCTTCACCTGGGAAAGGGGATTTTAGATGTTGTTTCGCCAATGTTTGGCGTAGTTTCAAAACTGATGACGCCCGTTCGCTCTATGGGACAGTTAACGTTTTCGCATTAAGTGAAGGGGTCAACATTAGCATTTTCCAAGGGGGGACATGTGAGGCATTTCCCAAGGGTCATGCTATTGCATTCTCTAAGAATCCACCAGTGGATCTTCCCTTAAGGGGGGACATGGGTCTTTGGAGCCAGAAACTTCCTAAAACTGCATTCTTTTGAAAATGGCGATGGCTGTTGTTCTTCTGAATCTACCAGGCTTATAATTTCGTGAATGAATATTTGAGCTATAAATCAATTTATATTACCTATGTGGGCTGCATGTGCATTGAAGTTGACTCTAAAACATTGTTTTCACAAAACACAATTTTCGGACTCGTTGAAAATTTAGAGGAGGGATATCTCAGCATCTAGAGCAGATAGAAATATAACCGTTCCTGAAATGTGTAGCTCAATATGTGAAGCATACAATGTTGAGAGCAGATTTTTTAATATAAGTCTAGAAAAATTTCTATTTGATCTTTTGCTATATTACTTGTTAGACATGCATTGAGCACTGAACTTCAATGTGTGGTAAAATCACTAATAATGAGTTTATCTTAAAAGTGCTTCCAACATTGTATTCTCTACACTTCGTAGTATCTAGCCATGTGTTAAAAAGAATATTTTGTTGAGTAATTCTTTTTTCATCATTTTTCCAAACAAAGCCAGACAAGTTTTAGTTATTTTGAGGACAATGCTACTGACTGAGAAAATGACCAGATATATGAAATCAGCACAAAAAGCTGAACAAGTTTGTGCAGTTTCATTAAGTTTGGTCATAAAGTAAAAAAAAAAGCTCCAAGACCAGTGTTCCCCCTTAATATTTTATTAAGGCGAAAGCCTTATATGTCTCATCATTCAGTCGACCTTCAAAGTCCTTGAGCAAAAACATGTCGGCGACATGGAAGGTACCAAAATGTTAACGTGACCAGTCAGGCAGCCGCTCAATTGTATGCTAAAGGATGACGCCGTCCTTGAGGTTGTCCTAGATGTCATCCTCTAGGCGTCGTTCTTGAAGTTGTCCTAGAGGTCGTTCTTGATGTCGTCCTCTAGGCGTTGTTCTCGACGTCGTCCTTAAGGTCATCCTAGAAGTCATCCTAGAGGTCGTCCTAGACGTCTTCCTTGAGGTCGTTCGAGAGGTCGTCCTTAGCAGCGTCCTTGACACTGTCTTTGACGTCCTGGAGGTCATCCTAGACGCCATACTTTGCGTCAATATCTAGGACGTCATCCTAAACTTTAATACGTGTAGAAACATTACACGAAAGCATTTCACCCATGGGACTACTATAATGCTTTCACTTCCTACACCATAAGCAGTCTTAAGTGTCCTCCTGTATTTCTTTGGCAGCTAGCACAAACTATTTGTCTCCATGAATACTATGTGGCTCCATGGGATGCCACACTGCCACATACAATTTTCAGAGATCATACTTAATATATTGAATTCAAGTTATGCAAGAACCGAAACCTTCTAATTCTATCATCTGTATATGGATGATTTCCTCAAGAGGAATTATGGCTGATATTGTTATGAGATTAAAAATTAGTTGACTAGAATGACTGCTATTCATGTTCAATAACCCATTAATATATTACCATGTGCCTACAAATGCTCAGTATATTAATAATAAAATTGTTAAAACTGTTTCCAAAGAAACCTGTTGTGACATGTCCTTAGGTAAAAACTTGTAGAAATATTTGACCCTTCAACTTTCTCCATGATATTTGCATATGGCCAAGTTGAATAGCTATTCTATCATGTCTGCTTGTAAGTGCAAGCCAGTCCTTCTGTCATTCTGAGCGAAAAAATCTTCAAGAGATCACAGCATCACAAACTATATAGCACTGTCACAAATAAAGAGGGAAAGCAATGTCACATACTGAGCATGTTGCCGCCCATGTCTCAATGATGGTGCGCTCATAAAAAAATACACTTCAATCTTTCTATGGCAGTCTGTTTACCAAGGGAATCAAAATCTTTACTGCATTTGTTGTTATATCTGCATTAATAACTCAAACACTTCTGCCAAGATTACTGGCCATACCATTACTTTGTAAACAATAATTAAACACAACATAGACTTAATATGAACGACTTTTAACCAGGTACACCCCAATTCTAAAGGCCCGTTCACACTCTTGCGACTGCTTGCGACCTCTTAAAGGGACACTGACACCCCCCAAAGTTTTTTTTTAATTTTTTGCCAGGCGCTTCATTATGGTGTCGGAGGACTACCGAATTAGTATTTTGCAACAGAGTAGCGTATTTTTTTAATAAAGCCAAGAGACGCAACTGCTCGAAACCGAAACCGAAACCCGACGGAGGTCGGAGAAGTGAAGAGAAGAGAGCGAGTGGCGGAAGTCACGTGGCTACACCCGACCGTGCGTTGTTTTTTTTGTTTTGTTTCTCCTTCCCGGTAGCAGACGACATGCGGCCTACGGGAACTGTTCGCCGTGGGATTCTTTTGCAGTTATGTATGTTCCGCTCGTTGTTCTGTACTCCAAGATGAGTTGCTTTGTACATTGAGGAGTTGGAGATGAGTAGTGAGTGCCCGTGGTGAATTTTGATCGGCTCCGAAAAGAATACACCCAAGATGTTGCGTGAAGAGCTGGCTCACATGTCCTGCGTCCGAAACAGAAGTGGCATTGTGCGACAGAGTTTCCGAAAGATCAACGGGATCGGGACCAATGGCTGGCTGCAATTCCTGTAGGCCATTTACGGGCACCTCGGAAAGCGGACGCTACCTGATTTATATGCTCCTTGCATTTTGCGGAAAGTGATTACATTGAGTTCGCAGGTGTCAAAAAGGAAATCCCATACCATTTAATTCAGCGACGTGTCGTCCACAACATTTGTTTCTTTTTTTTTTTTGTTTCTTCAGTGATAATTTTAAAAAAAGAAAAGAAATGTAGACATCAAAAAACATTAAAAAAAATATAAAAAAAGTTCCACGGGGGATCGAACCTGATCCTATGGCGTGTAAAGCGGACGTCTTTCCCACTAAGCTACTGGAGCACATTGAAACTAGGGGATCTCTTTCCTTAGTAATAATTCAGCCGATAAACTGTAAGTTGGAAAGTTTGCTACCGATTTTCCTTTAGCGAAAGCACTCCCGGGTCGAAGTCGGGATGCACCCCGCATTGGCGACATTCTCACCTTGTAAAGAAATCGTACGCGTGCATATTCAACTCGAAGTAGACACGTCGTGCTTGACGTTTGCGCGAGCGATGTCTTCAGCCACGAGAAGGGAGCGACGGCACGGCGACGTCTTCGTGCAAATCGGCTTGGTGGTCGGGCGTGTCGTACGGGATGAAGACCAATTCTTTTGATCAGTCCCAAATTTCTCTTTTAAAGGCAGACAAAATTCTCCGGTACCGCGAACGACAGTTCTGAAACAGAGGTCCCACGCCCGTCGTCCGCTGCCATCGCGTCCCTGCGAGTCCCACGATACGCGAAACGACGCAGGCACAGAATGCTTCCGGTTGTCTGTGAAACTTTTTTTTCAATCAACGTATTTACAGCTTTTTAGAAGCCACAAAAAATGGGTTTCGTATTTTTTTCTATTTTTAATATTGAGTGTGTGCCTTCAGTGACCCACGACTTTGATTAAATTTGGTGGTCGCATCGATACCTTAGAAAACGGCCCGTGACCGCGGAAAAGAGAGTGAGCGAGACTCGAACCGGCCAGTTCTTGATCGGCGGTTTTCGGGCGGAAAGAAACCGAATTTCGAGCTGCAAATTCTGTTCTGGGTAGTTGAGCTCTCATATGTCACTTACAACTAAAAACCTCGGCGAGCATAAATACCCTGTCAGTGTCCCTTTAAACCTGGGTTCCTTAAAACTTCTTAAACCAGAGAACACACTGGCGCCATCTATTGGGAAGCAGTGTAAACTCGGCGGTCCGGCATTTTTTTTTTATTTCTCGCACAATATCCTTTCTTTTTTGGCTCGAAAAGCTTTTGTCAATGTTATAAACGAGCCTTTCTATGGGTATTACGCACATTTGACCTCGGAAATCCCGCAAAACCTTCGCTTTTGTGAAATGCAGTTCTAGGGTCACCGCATAGATGGCGCCACAATGTCAGTGTGTTCCCTCATTCTAGAAACATTTAAGAAGTTGTAAGAGATCTCGTCTCTCTCAGTCGTACTCGGTCGCAAGAGTGTGAACGGGCCTTAATATGATGCACTAAATATCTCTACATGGCTGATTTTTACTTTACAATAGAGATGTTGTCAGTATATGCCGAACATCCGGCAAAACATTGGCACTTGCGCATGCCCTGTAGGTGCAAGACAGTGTTCCAAGTAAAGGATGGTTCAGACATTTGCATTGCAGTGTGACCGATGGCGTCACGACTCCTTGCATTTTACTACGGTGCATTGTGACGAGTTGAAACAAAGGTTGTATACGTGCCAGTGTGCAAGTAGCACTTGAACGCTTCCTGCCCTGAACTAGATTGAAGGTCTTTGCAGTATTTGCGAGGCCACATCCACACACTATCTATAATGGTTAGTTGTAACAATGCCAGAATTATTTCGTGCTCACTGTGAAAGAAGGCTGCATAAAAAATCAAGAAATACATATGCAGGCCAAAAGGAGGCCAGGGCTGCCCAATAGGAGGCACCAGTGCATTAGCTCATCGTAAGAAGTCATACGTAGTCATAATACAGTCGGTTAAAACACAAATGCATGAACCACCCCTAAGACGAAGCTTGTGTTGCCGTGCTCACATGCTCTTTGAGCTCCTTGGCCTTCTCGGCCTTCTTGAGCTTGGCCGCATATTCGGATGCCTCGTTCATGCCCAGGTCGGTGGTGAGCCGCACAAGGAACCGGAGGCCTGTAAGGATTCAATAGGAACGAGGCGTTGATGACCGAGCTACTTGGTGTGAATGACTGCTAAAAATAAACAGTGCAAAGGACATAGAGTGCGCTATGGAGTGTTCGTCCTCTTTATTTGTGTCCCACGTCGTTTATTTTTAATTTGGGCAGATTTGATGAAACGAACGAGAGGGAGAAACACAATCGCTCACATTCAATATTGTCGGGAAACTTGCGATGGACAGCCTTGTACGTCTGCAGGGCGTTCTGGTAGTTGCCGCTCTTGCGGTGGCAGCTGGCCACCATAAGCTGCCACTTCACCTGTGCTGGCCTGGAAGATGTGCGGACGAAAACATTGGAAGGATACCTCTACGAGCAATGCACGTCTATTATTTATCTATTAGGTTTATTTACAAATTTATTAGACACGTGCAAATAGTGGATTTTGAGTTCAAAGTAAATATTGGTTTTGGCCAAATATTTTCAAATTGAATACTGAATAGTTTCTCCTTTCACTACTGGTAAACTAATAAAGGTTGTTCCCAAGATTCCACCTGTCTATTTATAAGCTAACTTTAATGTAGCTATTTTTATGGACTGTGACCTCAGAAAGTCAAATATCTTGAGATGGCAAGTAAACAGGTATGACATAAAATTAAACTTGAGAACCCCAACTACTTTTCTTTATTGAGTGGATTTACAAATCTTGCTACTAGTATATGCCAATATTTTTCCTTAATCTCGAATTAAAAAAAAAAAAAAAGAAATACAGAAGGACGCTTAAAGGAAAATTCCGCTTCATTTTTGTTTTTGAAAAAGCAATGCAGTCCTTTTCAGTATCACTTAGGGAAACCACAAATAAAATATTACGACTTAGTTTTGTCTAAATGTTTCTCAAACGGTCTGGCAAACTTTGTAACACACCAAGTTGCCAAAATCGGCTGATTCGAGCGGGCGAATCGAGGAGCAACCAAACGTCATCACCATTGCCCTTTTTTGCTTGTCTTTACTTCTCCGGGCAAGCGTAACACGTAACGTCAGCCACATTTCCTCTTGGTGCTCAGTGGTGTCCATCTGATTAGCGTAATGCGCCTGTGCAGCTCACTTCTTGGGGGCCATCTGGCCATCTTGCTGTGGCCCCGCCATTATCGCCGTCTCCCGTGTCACAACCGCCATCGTCGTAAAGGGTACAAAGCGCCGAAAAAACACGGACCGAGACACAAAGACAACAACACAAGTCGCACTCTCAACTGAAGTTTATTAAAAAAAAGTACACGCTATTATTCCCAACGGGAACGCACAGTCATCAATCAATTCCTGCTTAGTTTACGTTTTAAGTACTCATACTCATCTGTAGATAGGGCCAGCGACGTTTTGCCGATGCACTTGTTTCCCCTAGCCCTAATCTTAAAAGCCTCGTGTAGTTTGCGTGACACCTTGTTTTTGTATTTTGCCAAGACTTTTGTGCTGTTGAATGGCGGGGTGCAAAGGCATCTGCTGCAATGAACGGCGAGATGCCCCGACGGTGTCGTCCTAGTGGAAGCTGCGTGTTCACGGGGCCCAATCATTAACGCATCTGCCTCTTTCCTACATAGCTTGATCCACATGTCATTGGAATCTCGTATACACGACCCCCGTCGTGCAATCTGTGTACTTGTTCCTATGCTTAGTGTTGCTCCGGTCTATGGTTGGCTGGGGATTATTGATTCTTCGGCATAATCGCGACATTTTATTAGGCGCTGAAGGCACAACCGGGATATTGTAACGCTAAGCCACCTTCTTAAGATTGTGTGTTACGCCGTGCATATATGGAATAACCATCGTAACACACAATCTTAAGAAGGTGGCTCGATGTTACAATGTCTCGGTTGTGTTTTCAGCGCATAATAAGATGTCGCGATTATGCCAAAGAATCAATAATCCCCAGCCGATCATAGAGCTTATGATCGGCTGGGGCTTCCTAAATTATATTTGCTTTTTTTTTTTTTTCTCATCTAAAATACTGAACAAAAACTCCTTTCAATTAAAATGGTTTGTGTCACTTATATTTCGTATTTCGACCAGAAATAAATTAAAGACATTTACGATTCCCTCTAATGCCAAATTAGAGCACAGCTCTTGAGGAGGAGGGAAGGTACAAGGAGAAGGGTATCCTCTCCTCTTTCCCTCCTCTACACCTCCTCCACATTCTCCCTCCTCCCCCCTCCTCCCTTGTGACGTTACTTGTGACCCACGTGACGTAACTCGTGAAGGTCACTCATGAAGGCCTCGTGAAGGTCACTGTCGCTCAGTGAGGTCACTTTACTCGTGCCCTCACTCATGACTCTCGTGACGTCACGTGTGACGTCATTATGGGAAACGTCCCATAATGCAATGCACAGTTACGCTGACGGCGACGGCGCCGCCACTCAAGCCGGAAACGGGTGCCTAAGAGCTGCACTCTAAAATGCTTTTAGCGGCCAGTTGTAAGGCAGGAGCTGACCGGGACCGATGACGTCACGAATCAGTCACACGCCGCACGTGTTCGGCACCAACGGGGCATCCCCGTAAAAGGAGAAGGTTTCCGCGTCGTCCAGTTAAAATATGATGCACTGATATTTAGTGACTCTCTTCATGCTTGCTGGGTAGCCCGAACCACAAGAGATGTGGACACCACAGAAAAGGTAGAAGCTTAAATAGGATTGCGGGCCCCTCTAAAAGTGGAACACGATAGCTAAGTATAAACCCTCGCTCGTTCCCAAGCCGTGCAGGCAAACTTGATAGCAGCTGTGTACCAGAAAGTATGTCTGGAACTAGAGTGGTTGCCTGCCTTTTTGAAGCTGTCGATGATCAGAGAATTTTAACAATTCTCACTGCCTCTCAAAACCTTACAGGCGGCGTTTTATCGTTGTCTTCACTAACGTTGTCAATATATTATTGTACATGTTCAAGTGAAATGTATCGTGCATTGTGAATCTTTGTTCACCGTCAAATTCTGGCAATAAAGAAAGAAAAAAAAAGTATGCATGGCCAAGTGGGTAGCGTGTCTGAATCGCAACCGAAGGGTTGGGGGTTCGATCCCACCCTGCCTAAAATTCTTCGAAATTTTTTTTTTTAAGGCAAATGATGACTTATTGACCAATCAGGATTTCTTTTGTCCCGACACCGGCTTTTCTGCAACGCAAGCTCCTTAAAGCTATCGCGTTAAAAGTCACAAATGATTAATGGGGTTGTCAGGGCATCTCTGCCTAACATATACAGTTGCGTAACAGCCAGTTTAATTTTAAAAAATTTTACTACAACGTAAAATATCAACTTTCACAATTTTTTTGGTTTATATGCATTAGGCATGCACATGCCCCATCCCGCTTTGATAGTGCACTTTTCTCCCAAGTACGCAATTGCAGTATCTATAAATTTCAAAGTGTTGATCACAACAGTTACCTCGTTAAGTGCACATCTTACTGAGCACCGGTGAACTGTGGAGAAGCAAGACCCGCGGAGCTCGCTTTCACGGGTATCGCTTCTCTGCAGTGCACCCATGCTCGGTAAGAAGCGCGCTCAAAAAGGCTAACCCGCCACGATCAACATTTTGAAAAAAATGAATATCACAGTTCATCCCAAAGTGAATATCGAATAATGTATTATTCGAAACTACAATTTAAAATTTTTAATATTCATACAACATTAATATTTAACTACAATTTAAAATTTTTAATATTCACACAACATTAATAATTAACTACAATTTAAAATTTTTAATATTCATACAACATTAATATTTATCTCGTTGAAAATATTGAAGGATTAGAATCCTAGTCGAGGTGCCAGCAATCCGATAGCAACTTATTGTAGTGAAGGAACTGTGTAACCGAGATTTTGGTTGCATGCCGAAAAATTCCCAATTGGTCAAAATTATTCCTCAGTCCTTCGCTGAGACATGCCAGATGCCCTTCGTTCGTTTGGCATGTAAAACCACCAAGTTCAATCTGATGTGAAAACACTTTCAGCCCTCTCTTGAGCACCTCCAAATAAAGGGTTAGATGACTAGTTTGTTCAATGAACATTAATGCCAAAACATACATGCAGGCTAATTGGGACTCGCATCATCATGCCTGTCAGGAAACCGTGCAATATGTTCCATGCTTAGTATCTTTGTCTTGGTGTCAACCCAATATGGAAGCGGCCCTCATTAGCTTATTATTTAGTGAACTCATGGCAGTGCTTTTCACATGCTACATCTGTGCTAGCATAACGATGTGTGGGACTTACTGGATAATGGCAGCCTTCTCAAAGTACTTGATGGCCTTCTCAAAGAGCTGCGACTCAATGTAGTAGGCTCCCAGCCACTCGATGATCTCAATATTGGATGGGAAGTACCTGTAAGACTGCTCAGGACACAAGCGTGTCCACATGTCAGTCAGTCCTCCGCACACTCTGCCACATACACATTTCTTTTAGGTACTATAATGGACAGGAATTTTACAATTATACTTTTGAGGTTCAAATTAGCTCAAATCCTCTGAGTATTCAAATGGAAAACACTAAATGCAGAACAAACTATTCACTCCATGCGACGCGACCAACATGCCGCCGCGCAGCCGTTTCCGAAGGTAGGTAGGTAGTCAGTATCCAAGCGAAACGAAACCACGCAGTGTATTTGTATGCATTAAAGTCGGAGCTGTGCAGCTGCACTGGGTTGACAGCATGAGCTGCTGTGTCATTAAGTGCTCCAATAGTTATGCGTCGTGTCTCGTGGGGACATGTTGCATAGTTTTTCAACTCGCTGTTGTTTTGTGGGACAGCAACAACGATGGACCCGTGCCACACAACGCAAGAAATTCACTCTCCCGATCATGTCTGTTGCTGTATCAGCACGGCTGGCATATTCTACACTGCTGCTTTGCACATTGTGTTTATTTTCTGCCAGTAACGCCTACATATGTTAGCGCTGATGAGACAAACTGAAATACCATCCCACACTTGCGGGTATGCAGTGTCAATTTCGTTGGAGGGATTCCCCCCAAAGACATTTCGTCCCCATCGTATATGTCTATGATATTTCCGGACAAGTATGGCATGCAGTCTGTACTTCATGAAGAAAAATTTAGAAAGCACAAAAAGTGGCAAATGGGAATCTAAGGAATAGTTCGATAAAACTTGAAATCACTGGACAATAGTCGTTTGAGCACGGCAGTGTAGGTGCACTTTCTTTTCTGATCAGCCTCCTTTCAGACATGGAAATTGCCTATCTTCACATATGGGGTTGCCAGTAGGCAGTAGGTGACTGAAAAACAAAACATTGAAATTGTTTTTGATAAAATAATGCAAGATAACTAGTACATCACAATCAAGAAATGCAAAAAATGATCATTTAAATATCTAATAAATCAGCTTTCTTTTAATAGCTCAAATGAAATATAAATTAGATATATAAAAAATATTTAAATTACTTCACCTAAAACAGTCATTTGTTTTGAATTTGTGGTAGACTAATTTCAGAATATAAATGCCTTGTCGATTTTGTGAGAAAGTGCAGTGGTTGCACCTTGTTGAAGCCGGGAAGGTTTCTAGTCGGAAGCCAGCATGCACAATGTGACTGATAGAAGATGTAAAATTTATTTTCTGGGATATATAAGAAGCGGAGAACACCTAGATGTTCTTCTTACGTCTGCCCCAGCCCTGATAAAATGTCACCCTCAACGTATTGGCTCGAAGAACTAAAGTTCTGTCTGTGCATGCTTCTGCCGGCTGCAGGCTGCTGAAAGCATTTCACTGTCAAATGCCAGCTCCTCCGCTAGCAGTGCTACGCGTGTCTTTCAAAGCGCTCCATATAGTTCCCGCCTGGAGTGTACAGCAATACAGGGCATGTCAAAGAAATCGATGCCTGTTTGAAGGGACGGCAAAAATCGGTTTGTGGACGTATCGAGCTAAGATTCTGCACAGAGGTGACTGATAAACGTGCATTAAGGATATATAACTTTAATTGAACAACTTGCCCGAGTAAAAACTTAGAAATTAAAAACTTGAAATCCCTACCTACGGCAACCGTGTGCTAACCAAAGTTGTCTGATTGGAGTAACAGCCAATAGATGTCTGCAGTGGTCTCTGTGTCAAAAGGTGGTCAGCAGTGAAGGCATCACGGCATTTTTCAGCGTCAGCTTGGGTGATGACACCACTGTGGCCGATGGCATGCTTTGGAGGTTTCCCTTCCCGTCGAGGTGCCTCACCCAGCGTAGAATTGCAGGGGAGCCCAAAGTTTGCCGCCAAAACTCCACTTAAAAACGTTGGCGGACCTCTTTTGCCCTCTGGCATTCCACACACCAGAGAGCAACCCTCACTCATTTGTTGGGAGCTAAGAGCACCGTGAAGATGACTTACAGACCAAAACAGCATGGATGAATATTGCAGACAAGAAATATGGTAACAATTAGAGGGTGCAAAACAATTGTTAAAAAAAAAAATATGATACAGCGCTTCAGTTTTGTTGTTCTCATTTTATCTTCATCTTTTATAGTTTTATAGGTAGAATAAAAATAATAATGCACCGACAATTCGCGCAGAAAAAGAGTGCATCGCTTCTGACTCAGAAACGTCGTCGGCTAATAGTGAGGTCGAGGGAAGCACCTGTCATGGACGCCAGCGATCTCACGTGCCACCATCTGTCGGCTGTTGCACCAATCAGATGCCTTTCGTAAGCAGACGGACGCTGAAGGTAAACTTTTTACTTCGGTAAGTTTGTTCAGTAAAATTTTTATACCTTTACACACAATCTTCGGCCACCTCTTTACAAAAGCATCACTCAATACTTTCACAAACCAATTTTCGCGATCCCTTCAGACAGCCACCAATCCCTTTGCTTTGCGCTGTAGAATAGCAAAGAGTCATTTTTCTAAAATGGACAGAAGGTACAATTTAGGCTAGAACAATTCATTTAAACCTTTAAAACACCTTTTCAGCACTTATCACCCGAGCAAAAGGCACAAATTTACCGGACTGTGGGGGCATGTGCAGTGCCTAATATTCCATAGAAAAAGACTACTGTCAAGACCGATTATAACAAAGTTGGTTATAACGAAATAGTGGCGCTACAGCAAAGCGATCACGATTTCCCATTCCCTTTTGTACTTTGTTAACCGAAGTCGGTTATAACGAAATAGCGGGTATAGCGAAGTGATTTCCGATTCCCGTTGACTTCGTTATAATTGGTCTCGACAGTACTTCATAAGCTTGGAAAGCATTCTCCACAGTAGACAAAGATGGCAGTTCATAGAAGTAAATTATTGGAATGGACTATATAGACCAAAACAGAAATTTTAAATTCAAGCATATGGTCGCAAAATGAGGCAATTTCAAACTACTGCAAATCACTAGAATACAGAGGCAGAGCTGATCATTTTCCTGTGGTAACCTTTATAAAAGATTAGAATTACAAACAAGTACTATTATACTATATTTAAACTAGAACATATATAAAATACATATTGGGTAAGAGATGCATACTAGTTAAAAAAAGCAGCATCCACCAAAATATACGAGAGCAACAACAGCTTCTGAAACAGGACAGTGACACATTGAAAACATAAGTTTGCAACGGATACGGGCGAGCATGATATTGTAACAGACAAACAAGAGGCAGCACTTGCATCTGAATGGTACTGGAATGCAAGTTGCTTGTCTCCCTGTGCATCATACAGCTCTCCAATTTTAGCCAGGAGGTGGGGGTCGGTTGGCACGAGCGTCACTAGCTGCTGGTACCTGGCAGAACACAAAATGAGTGAGAAAAAGTAACTTGTAGTAACATTGTATTCAATTCAATCACCAAACATACTAAAAAAATTTAGAACACTCTTGAATGATTTTGAAGTTTCTTCTGCTTAGTGCCATTCTTCTACAACAGAGGTGCATCGAGGCAAAGAGATAAAATGTGGTGTCGTTTTCTTTCCGTAGTAGTAATACACGTGGCAGAAAGCAAGTAGTCAGTACACGTGCATATGTGTCTACTACTAAAAAAATTTTAACCTTCGTTCTATAACTGTTTCAATTAACTTAGCTATTATAAATAAAGAATGCAACTGGGCAGTTTCAGTTGAAATCAAACACGCATGTCATGGCAAGTATTTTGATTTGCCTAAAAATATATATGTAGCAGCCCCACTTCCCTAATGAACAAGACAGTTCTTCAAAATTTTTCAGCAAATTTATTTCCTTCTGCAAAAATTCTTAAGTGGAGCAAGGCGGAATGCTACATTTCGGCTGCTTGATTTCTGTGCCCAGTTCTGTCGGTTGTTATAAATAGGTAAAAACAAAAAAATGCACAATAACTTCTTATAAAAATATATAATATGCGGCCTATTTTTTAAATTTAAATCAAACTTTTTTGATGTACCTCAGTCACGCCAGAAGTAATTAAGCTAAACATGGCACCTTTGACGTTCGGGTGGCATATTTGAAGCCTCTTAGGATACATCACAAATATTGCTTACTATTTAACTGTACACCTACAGCTAGTCCTCTACATAGGCTATCGACTGGTGCAACTCAAGTTTAATTTAAATTTGTGAGTAATTTATTGCAGATTTGTGTTTGTTCTTTGTCCCCCTTCTCCAAAGATTACTATCACTCGTTTATAAAAATTTTCAAATGTCGTCGAAGTTATAGTCATATTTTTTTTAACTTTTTTAGAGCGCAGCTCTTAGGCGCCCGTTTCCGGCTTGAGCGGCGTCGCCATCGGCGTAACCGCGCGGTGCATTAAGGGGTATTCACACGAGGGAGAAATCCCGGGGATTTCTCCCCGGCACGCGCGCATCACGAGATAAAAACGCGAGGCTTTTGCACATCGCAAAGCCTGACGTTTTCGTCGTGGGATGCGCGTGCCGGGGAGAAATCCCCGGGATTTCTCCCTCGTGTGAATACCCCTTTATGGGTAAAGTTCCCCGCTAAATTTAGCGGAAAAATTTCCCCACTTAATCTAGCGGAAAAATTTCCCTGCTAAATCTAGCGAAACAATTTCCCCGCTAAATCGAGCGGGAATATTTTCCCGCTAAATCTAGTGGAATAATTTCCCTGCTAAATCTAGAGGAAAATTTTCCCCACTAAATGTAGCGGAAAATTCTAGCGGAAAAACTTCCCCGCTAAATCTAGCGGAAAAATTTCCCCGCTAAATCTAGCGGAAAAATTTCCCCGCTAAATCTAGCGGAAAAATTTCCCCGCTAAATCTAGCGGGAAAATTTCCCCGCTAAGTCTAGCGGAACAATTTCCCCGCTAAATCTAGCGGAAAAGTTTCCCCGCTAAATCTAGTGGAAAAACTTCCCCGCTAAATCTAGCGGAAAAATTTCCCCGCTAAATCTAGCGGAAAACTTTCCCTGCTAAATCTAGCGGAAAAATATTCCCCGCTAAATCTAGCGGGAAAATGCCCCCGCTCAATCTAGCGGAAAAAATTTACCCGCTAAATCTTGCGGGAAAATTTCTCTGGGGGTCACGTGACCGCCCCCGAGGTCACGTGACACCCCGAGGTCACGTGACCCCTTCCCCGAGGTAACGTGGGGGGTCACGTGACCTTGGGGGGGTCACGTGACCCCCTCACGTGGACCTCCGACCCCAAGGTCACGTGACCCCACCAAGGTCAAGTGACCTCGAGGGGTCATGTGACCCCCCCCCCCCCCCCCCCCCCTTGAGAACACGTGACCCTCAGTACCCTTTCCTCCTCCTCCTCCTCCTCAAGAGCTGCGCTCTAATTCGGTGTTACAGGGAGTTGTAAACAACTTTCATTTTAATTAAAAAAGCCAATTTTGCAGAATTTCTTTCTAGTTTTTTTCTTCCCGTTTGTGGTCGCCGCAATGCAATTTGCCCACTGAAAAGGCAAATTGGCGAAGGGGCCCACGGCGAGCAGCAAAAACTCGCAAAGGAAAAGTTCGTGGGAGAGTCGGCCGGCGACAGAGTTTGTGACAGAAACCAACAGCTAGGCCGTCTGGAAACAATGCCAGAAGTTGTATTTAGCACGCTTGCAGCCCGATTCTCTTTGACCCGTGTGTGAAAATAGAGCGTGACTATATGATTAATTCACCAAGCTCACCCAAGTCAAGTGACGACATGCATTTGAACGATTCGCCGTTTGCTTTCGACCCGCGGACATCGCCTCCGAGGGAACGTCCCGCAGCCTCATCACAGATCCAGCGGATCCGCCGACATGTGTACCCAGATGCCGCTTGTACCTAGGTGCAGCTTCAGAGGCGAAATCTGCATCCTTTGCCACCTTTGCTTTGCAAGCACCCCTAGTTTGATTGGTGGCCGTCGCAGTTGCACAGTTGTGTTTGCGCGAAACGGCCTACGTTTGCTCGAAGCTTATGGCTATTTGCGAGTAATAACCTGCTAAAAGGCGCGAGTTTGTTTGCACATGCTTAGGAACTGCATTCAAAGAACCGTATTTCAGTAGGGTACACCCTAGAAGATTATATAATTCGAAACAAAATACAAGACATCCATCGATCAACGCTTGTTATCCCGACCATCCGACAAACCTTTGCGTTCTGTGACGTCACGCAGCACCTACGGATATCAGCCATTGACACTGGCGAAATTCGGGGTGCAGTTTCATACATAAGCTCATGAAAGGTTTAATTAATAACGGGGGATCATATATCAAAATAAAAATAATGTTTGTCTACATGGAGGCTCCCTCGACACAACGAGCGCAAAAACTTAAGTACTTCCGGTTTCGACCGGACAATCCCTTTAAGAGCCTAAAAAGCCAAGCAGTAAAGCCAACTTGTGAAACTACCATTTTGCTATATGCTCGTGCATGTAACTGTGCTTGAGCACTCTACAGAAAATACAACTCTGATTATGCCAAAAGATAGGTGACATCATCGGGAATAATAGCAACTAAAAATAAGTAAAACATGGCCTTTTCTTAATAAAGGGGGCTCAAAATATAGCTAGATTTAGTTCTTAAATAAATAAAAAAAAATTACTTGGCGAAAATAAATTAAATTGCAGGTGCATAGTAATTAGTAGTAAGGAATATTTGTGATGAATCCTGAGGCACACCAGCACTTGTGTCGTTCGCATCTCCCTTTGTCCTTGTCTGTATTTTTGTGTGCTGTCCATTTCCAATTTCCCAAAATACAATAATTAAAAAAAATTATTGTAAGCTTGTTTGCTTTTACTTATTTATAACAACTGACAGAGCTGGGTACCAAACCGAAGCAGTTAAAATCTAGCTCCACCTTGCTTCACTTAAAAAAAAAAAATTAAAAAAAAAAAATATATATTTTTTTTTTAAGTTTTGAAGGACGGTTTTTGTTATTTAAGGAAGTGGGGCCACTGCAAATATTTTTTTGAGGCAGACCAAAATACCCACCCCGACACGCGTGTTCGATTTCAAATCTAACTACCCAACGCAGTAAACGTGTCTCAATTTTCGAAAATATGAATAAATTCACAAAAGTTGTTTTGTTATTTGACTCAAATCACAGCACACTTTTAACGTTCAAAGTATTCGAGCTCTCCGATTATTTGAAAATTACAAATGATGTCCTCAGAATTATCAAATTTCTCATGTCAAGATTTGTTACTTTGCACCGGTGCATGTGCACCAAGCTTCACTGCTTTGCACCTGTGCATTAGGAGAAACGCCCGACGTGTCGGAGCACGTGAATTGGGTTGATGGTCTCAGAAACTTTGCTCACAATCACAGGTAAGCCTCCTTTGGTTATAATCATAGTTATGCACCTAATGTTAAAAGACAGCACAAGCAAATAAAAACCTTAAGCTATATCAAAACGAACAAGGTAATCCCTGCTTGGCTTGACGTTACAATACAGTTTACCCAAGTTGTCCAATTAGGGCCTTATTTTCTTAATAAAAGTATGCAAAAATATTTCTCATGTAATAAAACTGCTCCTTTTCACAGGCATGCTTTCTAGAAAACAGGAGCGGTGCAAGGCATGAGCAACGCGAAAGTGTCTTTTCGTTCTTGAAATTGAGGCAATAACGTCAAAATGGCAACCAAATGAAACAAGTTTGGTTAAATTAAATTTTAGGTGTAGTAACTAAGGTAGTGAAGCAGATCTAATTAATTGCAGGTGCCGTCCCTGTGAGACCACAAAAGAGACAAGAGGCACTTGATAGAGCAAAAGATAGAAATTTATGAGCCTATTCTGAATACTTGAGTTCCATTGAGTGGGAGGCCTACATACAAGAGGAGATACCATAACCTCTAAAAGGAAGCAAACACAAATCCATGTTTGACAGTGATAGACTGCACCATGATCGCTTGTGACAGAAGACAATAATATGCATAGTCACCATTCTAACGCTTGGTCCATGTCCTTCATGAGCTCGTAGCTGCACCCACTGTTAAGGCTTTACATGACACTTTGAGACATAATTTATGACTTAGGGCATGCGTTTCCAAGTTTGTAGTTATGGGTGAAATCTGCTGCAAATATCTCGCACTCTCAATTTGTTCGGAAAAGGTTGGTGTATTCTGCTAATCAATGCAGACATTGTAGCTGGTAATATAGGTGAGAAATATTCCCCAAAAGTCATTAGAATGACATCAAGAAACGGAAAACCTTTATTTACAGGGTTTGCACACTTGATCACATATAGTATCTCACAAGAACCCAGGTTGGTCACATTTCGTCAATCACTGAAAAAAATTGCATTAGGAATGGCTACATGCATTAAATAAACAAGTGTCATGCACAGTTGTCAAGTTTCAAGTATAGTATCAAGAAAGCGGTGTTTTCCCAGTTTTAAAATATTGTGTGTTTCCATCAAAGGCAGATAATGACCTGTTAAACTCATAAGTCCTGAATTGCTACACCTTTCTCGAGTGATGATGGTAAAACTGACCAACATGTTATAAAAGGCTATGCACACATGTCTCGACTGGTAATGGGTGAGGATACGTGTAGCCTATTTGGTAGGTCACTTGAGGGAAGGGCTTGATGATGGCTTGCAACTTGTAGAAGCAGTCAAGGGCCTCTTCCAGAGTTCCAAGCTTCTGGTATGCTAAACCTGAGGACGAACCAATGCTCGAGTCAGAATGATGCACAAAACAAGTTTATTGTTGAGATCTGCAAAGGAGAGCTTCCTCAAATAATATAAAATTACCATTTTGACACGCAGCCTACTCATAACATGCACACCTGGGTTCAAAAAAAAAAAAATTTTTTAAGCTTGTAAGTTTAACTTTGTTATAACAAACACTGATAGAGTATATACCAAAGTATTGAATATAGTGCATTATTTACAAAGTTTGGTTGGTCATGCCTTATTTCAATAAAGATTGTACTTCCAAAAAGTTTAAGACGTTTATTCAGATGGAACAAATACTTTTGGTCAAAAATAAACCAGAAGAATTAATTCTAAGTTTTAAATAATTAAGGTTGTAACTACAACCTTAATTCTTTAGGCACACATTTTAGGGTAATTTGCTGAAAAGTTGTAACATCCGCAGAAAATCAGTAACTTCAAAAGCTTCCACAGATTTGAATCTATGTAAAATTAAATATGCTGAAACATGACAATAAAAATGGCTCCTTTTATGTTTTGCTGACAACCAGTCATCGCTTTTGATGATAATCAAGGTAGCTTTCCTGCAATGCATCAGTACAAAGCTAGGAGCACACCACTAGGGATTATCAATCAGGGACTTGAATAACTCACTGTCCATTTTGCAATTTATATAATCAGAAAAGAGTGTGCAATATGCCATACTGAATTCTCAGTTTAAAATCAATGTTTATAGTTGTTGCAAAAGCTCATACTTTATTTGCCAGGCCGGCAACCAACTAACTTGGGCACCACACAGAGAAACCACAACAGTTTCTGTTTCTAGAGCACAAGGCACCAATAACAGAAAATAGATTTGGGCACAGATTAATATTTTTTATTGAATTTACTTTCAAAAAAGATTTTTTTTAAAATTATGGTAGGACAAAGTGCATTCGCAGACCTTGTGTACCTTTAATCAAGTGATAACTGCAATTGCACTGGTTCTTACAAACCAATATCATCTAGAATTGTGATAACATTATCTAAAAACAGTGTAACAGCTTAAAAAAAGAAAAATGGGTAAATATAATAACAGCATGGAAAGTAATTTTTCTGAAATTTGCGTGTCCACAAACCTCAGTCCTATGCACTTCCACAGTGGTCCAATCTTTGCATCTGAAGGACCTATCCTAGCAGTTTACATATGCCTCCTTTGTTTGTGCATGCCAGCTTGTTTTGCATTTTCAGAGATTCTACATATGCAGAAATATGTGAAAAACAAACATCCAGAAATATGTGAGAATCTCCTGATTCTTACAAATTTTTGGATGCCGTCAAAGAAGGCTAAAGTTGCTAAAAAAAATTAATAAGAATTACATCTGTTCTTATACAATTTCTCTCACTAAGTGAATGTTAAAACTATTAAATTTAGCGGGAATGCTACTAAATTAGCAATGCTGTTTGTTAACAGCAAAATGATCTTTGTTTCTTAATTTTGCCATGATTTGACATAAGCCGACAAAAAAGGTGAGGACAAATAAGCTCTTCAAATGCGAAAGCATGCCGCCTGCGACGTACCGCTTCCGCCTCGCATTGTCAAAGTGCCCTGTCCTCTTGTTGCCTGAGACGCTTTGAATCGCGATCCGTTTGCACCTCCCGATGCCTGAGCACGCGCTTTTGTGAAGTGACTGCGCCGTGCTGAGCTCGGCCGTGCGGGCTCTGCAGGCTTTGTGGCCAGTCGCTTTCTCTTACCAGCGGCCAGGCCGCAGCGTCGTCACGGAGAGGGCTTTTCTGGTGGCGTTCCATGGAAATACGCCGCGCGAGAACCAATGGAAGGCTCGTTCCTTGAAACTATGACGTGCGCCAGCCAATGGGGGCCTATTCATCAGCTTTCTGCTACAGATGACAGGCTTTGCTCCATTGGGACAGGGGAAGGTGCCCTTTGGCACGGCTTCAAAAGCTGATGACATTGGTTCGCTCCATGAGACAGTTAATGCTTTCGCAATAATAAAAAAATAAAAATATTGTCTAAACACGTTTTGAGAAAAGCAATGTATGGATTACCTAAAGGGCTATATGATATCTTAAACCAGCCAAAATCGCCACTTTTGTCTTGACCTTAGGAGAGAAATGATGCTAAACGACGAGGTTGGGAACAGCAGTACAGTACAATGATGATATATGTGCTCTATCCAAGAAATATGTTTGCAACAGATTCTTCAAAGCTAAAGGAGAATTCGAGGATGCCAACAGAAACCAAGGATGCCAACACAAACTAAAATTTACAGACCTGTTGAGTTTCAAGCTGCAGAGTTCAGCAAAATATTACAGCACATGGTGGCCAAACCTGGAGCTTTCAAGCTACGGTTGGAAAATATATGCTTGCAGATGCAGGTACCTTGGTTATACAGGGCCTCAACACAGCTGGCTTCAGTGGCCAACGCCTCCCTGTAGTAGTCGATTGCCCTCTCCATGTCGTTACTTGCAAAGCAGCAGTTACCTTTGTTCACAAGAGCTGCAAAACAGGCTTTTGTTACATTGTGATCGAGCATAAAAATATACCAACGCTAGTTTAATGAACGAAACATTTTCACTGTGTGTGTGTGTGTGTGTGTGTGTGTATATATATATATATATATATATATATATATATATATATATATATATATATATATATATATATATATATATATATATATATATAGTGTGGTTCAAGTCACCAGGCTCAATCTAAAATGGACCGTAAAAATCGACGCCTGCACGTAGCCAACTAAACTTTTCGTCAAAGGTGTATTTCACAGGTCGGTTTTTTCTTGTAAAATTACAGAGCGTAGTTCTCTTTTGGTAATAAATAGGGCTAAAAAAACTTGCCAGGGTCTACGGCAGGCGTAGACCCAGACGACCAAGTCCAGAAGCGGGCTGTGTTTGCCGTTCGTATTGATAGATGGTGTCGAGAGCAGCGTCTGAAGGTGCAGCCGACCAGCGAAAGATGGCAGACGACACGCAGACGAAATCCGTCGGCAACAAAAGCGCCGCCGTTATGCAGACGCGTTTTTAAAATTTGCTTTTATTGAATTTGCATTCATTTTTTAACCAAAGATACATTTCAAAAAGATTATGTTCGTTTTAATAAACCCCGGTGGTCGCGAGCCGTCGCGATCAGGAGGTAGCGCCATCTATCAATACGAACGCCAAACACACTCCGCTACTGGACCCCTGTCGTCTGCGTTGCTGCTCGCCGTAGACCCTAGCAAGTTTCTTGGCCTTATTTTTTACAGAAACAGAGCTACGTTTTGAAAAAACCGACCTGTGAAATACAGCTTTAATGAAAAGTTTAGATCGCTACGTGCAGGCGTTGATTTTTACGGTCCATTTTAGATTCAGCCTGGTGACTTGAACCACCCTATAGTTATGGAATGAAAAATCATTATCAAAATCTAGTGTTCAACTTCATCAAGATCTCAGTGCATATTTGTCTCTCTGTCCATAGTCTTTTAAAGAAGTTGCCTCACCTCCAGCATTGTATCTGTCGGCAGCAACTGCCTGATCAGCATACTTGTCTGCAAGAGCTTGGTCATTTTGCTGAAAACGTTCACAGCTGTTGGGTCAGTATATTTTATACAGCAAGTGATACCATCTGTAATCTTCTATAGTAATCATACTGCAAACTGGGGCAACACTCATACAGATTTTAACAGGCACTTAATGCAACTATTCTGAATGCTTCTCTTGGTAAAGAGAAAAACACTAAAACATACACACTAATTTTGTCCTAACATAAAAACTTAGAAGTATGTTTTTAGTAACGGCTGTTTGTGAGAAATCCAAACCCAGCTTTTCACACCGCAAAAATAAACTAGACATTGTGGAAAGCTAAAACTTAGTCTTGTGCGAATAGTAGATTTTGAGTTCAAAGCGAATTCGAAGGGAATACAGTATAGACCACTTGCGACGTAACCGCTTATAGTGCAGGACCGGGTATAACGCGGCTTTTTTAAACCGCCGGTTCGCCTCCCATAGAACTCCATGTAATTACATACCACTTAAAATGCAGGCGCGTGAAGGGAAATATTGGTTATAGTGCGGTTTATGGAGCAGTGCGCCGACCGCGCCGACTGACCGGCGCAGCGAGCACGCTTCCCTCTGCGACACCAGATAATGGCGCTAGCCACAAGCGGCACTCGCGGAGGCAAGGATGGCAAGGAGGTTGCTCAAAGAAGCGGGGAGAAGCGAAGAGAGAGGCTTCAGTTGCCATAGCGACGGAGGGACGCATGCACGTGTCGGTCACGGCGCAAGGCGTTGGTGAGCCCAACCAGCCGTTCGAGCGCGTTGCATGCCGGTCGCGGGCCGGCTTCTTCCATCCGCAAACATGGCGTCGGTGGTGATCGTCGACGTCGACGGCGTAGTGGAAGCTCATCGTTCCGCGTAAAAGCGCTATCCTTGACTGTGAATTTTCGTTCTGTGTCGCTATGATAACCCAGCACGTACTAGAAGGGAAGATCCACCTACTCGTGCGGTGATGTGGCAGCACTCTCAAGACAGCAGAAACGCCCGTGTCGTCGTGTTTGTTTACTTCGACTACAGTGGTGCTTTCTAAGTATTTGTGTTTTCGAACATTGCCCGGATTTCTTATTTGGAGCGTTTCATGCGCGCATTTCATGCCTTTTTTTGGAGCATTTCATGCGCGTACCGTATAAAGGATGCGAATTTTCATGCGTTTTCATCACCGGAGAAAAGTGATTAGGGTTAGCAATCCTGAACGCTCGCAACGTCCGTCCGCGACCCGCGACGCCGTTAAAAGGCTGCGCGAGGCAAAAGTCACTCATTTCTTTCAAAATGTGTGACACACTTGAGAGAGAAGTGTACTAGTCTGGTGAAATAAAGACTTTTCTCAAACTAAGCTTTATTTTTCATCTAATATAAAATAAATTGTTTTACAAAGGTAAGTTGTCTCAAGGCATGTATTTTGGCCTGAAAAATTGATGTTTTGGTTATAGCGCGGTAGCGCTTATAGTGCGGGTTTTCGCGACTCCTGCGACATACGTTATATGCAGTCGGTTTTGGCTAAAAAATTTTGATTCGAATATCCAATAGTTTTCCCATGCCTTCCACTACCATGGCATAATGCTTAGACGAAAACCCAGCTAACTTGTGAAGGTTGTTCCACTTGTTCATTTATAAGCTGTTTATCTATATTTTTTAACTGTGTCTTCATAAGGTCTGATGTCTTGGGATGGCAAGTAAACAACAAATTTGACATAAAATGAATCCTATAGAGACGGCCAACTATACCCAATTGAGTGAATTTACGAAGTTTGCTATATAAAATATGCCTTCATTAATCTCGAGTTAAAAATACATAATTGCACATGTTGAACGCAGGTTGTAAGGGCATCTCTGCCTAATATAGTGTACTCTTGCATATGTCAGTTTAATTTTGGAACTTTTACTACAACGTAGATATACATTCACAAAGTTTCCATTTATTCCTAAATAGAGCCGGCACGCGTGCACCATCCCAATTTGAATGTTTGCTTTTCTTTCAAGAACGCAATTGCGATATTCATACTTTTCCAAGTGTTTATTGCGGCAAGTTATTCCGTTAAGTGCACTTCATGCAGAGAAGCAACACCCGCAGAGCTCGCTTTCGCGGGTATTGCTTCTCCGCTATGCACCGGTGCTCGGAAAGAAGTGCACTCAACGGGGCTAACCCATCGCAATCAACACTTTGAAAAACGCGAATAGTGCAGTTCTTTTTGAAGCAAATATCGAATAGTCTATTATTCAAAACTACTATTCAAAATTTCGAATATTCGCATAAGGCTACTCAAACTAGAATGTAGCCCCAGCCGTTTGAGCAAGATGCCAAAGTTTCAGCACCAACCGATATCTTATTCAAAAGTTATCAGCGATTTTCTGAAAATTGCAATAGAAAAATGGTGGCCGGCAGAGCTCTCGAATATATGGAGCTCTATAGCACCAGAAACCGAAAACGAGCGAAAATCGGCCCCATTTTCCACTGAAAATTAAAAAAAAATCACTTATAACTTTTGAATAAGGTTAGTGCTGAAACTTTGGCATTTTGCTCGAACGGCTGGGGCTACATTCTGACGGAGTTTGAGCTCTCCACAATGTCTCGTTTATTTTTGCAGTGCGAAAAGCCGAATGCGGATTTCTCACAAACACCCTCTATATACATACTACTTCTACAATGAATCTTGGTGCTGTAAAACGAGCCAGAAAAATCAGCATCTGCCAATAAAATGTTTGAACTCTCACCAAATGTGCGTTTATAGTGGTGCATTTAACCTGATGAATTTTCAAGCACAGCGGATTCCTTCCTCTAAAAGATGAGACCAACAAACCTGTCAGAGTCAACAGTTGACATCAATACGACAACTGAGTTAGCAACAAGTGTAACTTGGAGTGGCATTTCCCAATAAGCATGACAAACAGACGACATACTTTTTCAACTGTTTGCTGCATCCGTTGGGAGGTGGTGTCACAAGCTGATATCGCTAACTCTGGCATCTGCTAACTACGCTGTTGACGCTAGCCAGTTTGTTAACATAGTCTCTGTTTTCACAGGAAGAAAGCAGTATTTTGAAATTTCACCAGGTGCGCACCACCTAAATGCACATTCGGGGAAAGGTGGAACTTTCTATGTGCAGGTGCCAATGTTTCCGGATAATTTTACAGCGATATGATACATTGTAGACACACCTTCAATAAAGTATAGTTTTAATACTCTTTGAGCATACTTTGTGTTTTGGTATAATGCATTGTACGCACATATAGTAAACTCTGCTGCTACCACTGACCCGTTCAGGCATCTAAATATACTTATATACAATAAAACTTTGATGGAAAGGGATAATCAAAGTATATTTTTACTGCACTAAATAATGACCAGAAGAATTTTCTCAGCTGGTGTGTTTTGCTTCCTAGGGGCTCAAAAGCACACCACAAATTTTTTTTCTCTAGGGTTTCAGGCAAACTTCCGTTCACAAAATAGTACATGTGAAAACTGGCTGCAACCGCCAAAACCGAAACTTCTTCTGAGAATCTGGGAGAGAAAGAATATAGCTCTCACTTGTCTTCACTGCAGAAAAACATGTGGAGGCTGAAACATTGTGCACATGCTTTCTATTTTTCCTGCCATGCACACACACAACTACTGTGGTACAGTCAGTTCCCGGTTTGTCAAACACACTTATAAAAATTGATCACAGGGTCATTAATATAACAAGGTTTGCACTTACCAGAAAATAAAGGAAAGACAAATTGGTTGCTGCGGTGCTGGCAACTTTTGTGTCTTTTTTTTCAAATGCCTTGAGAGTTTCAATTGCCTGAAACACATTTGAGCAACATGCTCTTTTCAAAGGTCACTCAAGTGCATCAATTTCACCTAAAAGTATACCATTAAATTCCGTAAGGACGGACACCCAAAATTTATAAACGGGTGGGCTATCTTTTGAGATAAGACAGCAAAACTTCATAAAAAAAAAAGTGATCAAATACCGGGCCACTTGAGATGTGAACTGATAATGCCAATCGCGGACACGGCAGATTTGCATTTCACGATGCGATAAACACGCAGGAATTCACTACAAACTCTTGAGTAAAGTAAAAGATATCACGGATAGTGGCCGCAGCAGATTCGCATTTACACGATGCAAAGGACATGCGGGAACCTGGCACGAACTCGCATGTCATAAGAACCGAGATCACAAATTGCGGATGCAGCAGATTTACATTTCATTGTTCCAATAAATATCTGGGGACAACTCCTCTGTCACGGGAACTGATATCGAATGTGTAGACTGACGACAAAAAAGCGGGAACCCTCTACGAGCTCGCATGTCACGGGAACGAATGCTGCCCAGATCGCGGATGCAGCAGGACTCTCATTTTACGATCAATTAAAACGCGGGATCAACTCACGTGTCAGATGCACCAATATCGCGTGCGCAGACCGCGCATAAGAACGCGTGAACCTACTACAAACTCTCACGTCGCGAGTACCGGTACCACAGATCACGCGGTTGATGTGATTCCCATATACGGGGTGGGTGATGTTTCCGAATTTTTATGTTCAAGATATTTAGCCAAAAAAATAAGGTAGGTGCCCTTATGGGATTTTACGATAGTTGGCTACGAGTGTCACTTGGCTGATCATCAAAGGCTCACCTGATTAAATTCCCTTTTCCTGAGGTATGCGACTGCTTTGCTGATTTCGAGATCGTTTGCAATGTCAGAGTAGGCCGACGCCTTGATTTGCTCTACGCACCTGTGAAAAAAGGCATAACAATTCAGCAGGCTTGTCCAGCTAGGTGAAACAAGCATGCATTGTACACGCACACGACCAATATTTTGTATTCACGTATGTGCACAGAAGAGATTTCATCGAAAGAGTTCATTACAAAATTCATTATATTAATATCAAAAAAAGGTAGATAAATGTTTATTTACAGAAGTAAACACATAACTTTTTGCACCAGTATTTATTTTCGAAAAATTCTTCCATCAAGGATAATGGAATAAAAACCAGCAACCAAAAATGCTTAATAAAGAACTAAAATTCTAACATAATTGAAACTTAAGCATAGTCTTTGATCCTTCACAAAATTATTGAGGTCACCAAAGGTTGCTTGCATACTACCTAAGTAAGACAATTTGAACAGCAACCTTGCAGAAAACGAGAAAATGGCAGTTACCGTTATGCTAACAGACTCAGAAAGACACCCCAAAGTAGCCAAATCTAGATGATAGAAGGAAGTAGAACACAGCTGTCTATATTTCCTTTAATCTCGCAAGTCTCCGTCATGACTTATGCCAGCTCCCCTTAACTTCGTCCAAGATATCTCGACTCTTAGAAGGAATGGCCACGAATGTAAGGCTACCCACCATTCGTAACCTTCCGAAAATGAGGTGCTGATGACTGGGGCAATCAGCTTGGCTGCTGTCAAGATGCACCATTCAGCTTCGTGTCTCCTGCAGGAGGTCACATATACCATCTCAGATCTGTGCATCTGGTTTAGGCGTCATCCCTTGAAATCCAAGCTTACCGCTCCCTTTCGATTTGCTGAAGGGAGTCATTTTTTATTTCTTCATAGTAGAGGTTTTCTATTGGGTCATCCTGTGAAAGAAAAGGAGGCATGAAGTTTCTCCGTTGAAGCTGTGACAGTTTCATCATTGACCCTTTCATACCCAAAAATTTACTTGAAATACTGGAGACCTACTAACTTAACCATGACCATAGTTTTAAAACACACACTAAAAAAACCTGGTCTGAGAAAAAAAATGACCTATTAAATAAACACGTTTTTGAAATGTTGCGTGTAAGCGAGATTTGGAATTTGCAGAACTACTTCAAGTTTAAAGACTGAAAGCAATTATGACCTAGAAGAAATGGTACAGGTGCATTTCAAATTTTGTACACAAGAGAAAGTTACGTGTAATCAGATTTACGATATTTGCACCTGTTTTTTCTCTCCTAGTTTGGAGGCCAGCGGTGCATGCCATCATACCTCACATCCACCGTCAGCTTTGGTTTTAGAGAACAAGTGGTCTGTTGTGAAGATGCATTTTGATCCTCTACTAATGCTACGTGCAGGTACCCCCACCTTTGCAACATGTGGCCCTAAACCTCTTGAGTTGCAAAGGCACGGGAAAAAAACAAAAACATTCTTGAATTGTTGCTACTGCACGATGCTGGGCATCAAAGGGTTAATGCACTGCATGTACAGTGTACACACGCATAACACAGTTATCGCAAACATGACATCAATGCTCTCTTGCATCACAAGGCTGGTTCACACATCTGCATTTGACTGTGCTTGAGTACATTGCATTTCTTTCAATCCACACATACATTTTTATAATTTTTTACGCATATAATATTTCCCACATGACCTTGAAATAATTACTAACAATGTTGTATATTCCTCATGTTTTGATGGCAACAGTGCAGTTCTTTTTGACAACTGGGCAATCCTGAGAGAAAAAGAGAAGAAACCGGGAATCGCTTGTTCATGCTAGTTGTGTCGTGCCGTGTACAGCACATGTACAGGGTCGCTATCAATTCGTGGAGACACGTTCCGTTGAAGCACGTTCCTTAAACACATTTCATGGACGCACGTTTTGTGGAAACACGTTTTGTGAACACACATTCATTGACACTGTACACTTCGTGGAAACTCGTTTCGTGGACACATGCTTCTGCGGCGTTCGTCGGCAACTTATCTTTTTAACTAAGCCACTAAGAACTAGCACGTGATTCACTGAGGTGCGTTTACCCAGGCCTTGGGCCCCCCTCCTCTCTCTCTCTCGCCTGTAAACCAGGCAAGACGTAAAAAGCTTGTTGCGAAAACAGCAGGGTTGTGTTCAACGGAACGTCGCAAGGTTGTCAATGAAACCAATGCGGGAAGCCTTCCGATAATATGAACTGCTGATGAAGCATCAAACGATCTGTCAGTGAAACATTGTTTGATGAAGTGATTCCCAAGCAGCACAGATTTGGCCAATCATTGGATGATGACTGGCAATGGTCCTTTGGCCAGTGGCCAGCCATTGGTGGATGATTGGCCTTTCTCTTGCCGGTGGCCAATGACCACTGGCCATCAGCCAAGCATTAGCCTATGATAGCCACTCTTTGGCCATTGGCCAAAAGACCACCACCAGCCATTGGCTAAGGCTTGGGCAAATTCTCTGCTGCTTGGGTTGCCACCGAACCACAGCATGCATCAATTACATTTGGAACCTTATTTGCAAATAAGGTAAAAATTCCGAAATGTTGCCCCCCCTCCCCCCCCCCCCCCATTTAAGTATCGGTTCCCAGGGTACCAAAACTCCCAAGCTTCGTTTCAGAACCAAGTCATGGCGCAGCAATCGCGATCCCCAATGTGCCGTTACCCTGTGCGATCGAAGCGATGCGCGTACAGTGTAGCGTTCATTCTCAAGTTAGCTCTTCAATTCACGTTCCTGGCCCGTGGCAACACTCGTTTGTTCTTATTAAAGTTCTTTCCTTCATTCCGAGCAGTTTGTGACTTGCTTCTCGCTGTCTCGTCTCTCTCTTGCCTCGAAACAGATTGAAGTCGAGTGTTCGGCTTTATGTCTGAGGCGTACAGCGTACGGTATGAAACGCGGCACCAGCGCAACCGGAGCGAGCAAAAGATCCAGCAATCTTCTTCGGTGAAGCAAATTAGTGGCTACTTGATATAAAAAATCTAGAGAAAATCAAGGCACCTTCTGTTTGTTCCTAACTTATAAATGCCCAGAGCTCCCACCTGTGCGTACCCGCCATAGCCGTGGTAACACGTCAATGTTTTACATAAGTATGTTTTAATGTGAAAGTATGAACTATCAGCCTGTAACCGCGACAAAAATTACCGCATCTCCACATGGTGAATGATGTTGATTGGGGCGAAGCTCTGGTGGTGCTGATACGCTGAGCTGCAGCATGCCGAGCTTTTCGTTCGTTTTCATTCATGTCAGAAAGAGAATGTGTGGTATGGAACGTGTTAATATAGTATGCATTTGAGCATTTGACCGCAGCGCCATCTCCTGTATAGACGTTGAGCGGCTACATGCAACGTTTCATCCATGACATCCCCAGCTCTTGAGTTACTACCACATCTCAGAGCCTTCTCCTCATCCCGCACTCCTGGCCGAGTGGTTAAGGCGATGGACAAGAAATCCATTGGGGTCTCCCCGCACAGGTTCGAATCCTGTCAACTGTGCAGACATTTTTTCTTTTTTTAAGAAGACAGATGGGATGGCAATCGATGTGGGCACGAACGCCGGACAAGGCTAGACCCTAAAAAGCTTCGCCCCAAAAAAGCGAAAGAGAAGTAGCGAAACGTGACCATCAACGCCAATACACCGCAGACGAACTATTAAGGGAGCGGAAGAACGACATTCATGCTTTCGCATTCACAACTCATAAAAAATGTTCAGGTGTCCTCGAATTTTTTTTTTTTTTGTTTTGGGCTTATCCACAAAATGGTCCAGTAATAACTTCCACCACGGGCTAAACCAGCCAGTCGGAACTGGATTCTGTGGGATTGACTTCCAGTAAGTGGACTGAATGGAATTTGGTAGTCTGTGAACGTCCAGTGGCTCTAGGCATAACAAGCGAGCTTGGAGCAGGTTCCCGTTTGTTTACCCACCATGGAACCCAAGTTTGAGGTGCCTGTGAGCTGCGCACGCGATATCAGCTACCATGACACGCGAGTCTGCAGCAGGTTCGTGCGGGTTTATCACACCCTGAAATGCAATTCTGCCTTATCCGTGATATCAGTTCCATGCCCCGTGGTCAATAGCGGGTGCCGGTCTTTATAGGTAATTTTTTATAAACCTCTGCCGTCTTAATCCCAAAGATTGTCCACCGGATTCTTTCGCCCTCTTCGAAAAGAGGTGGGCATTCTTAGGGGATTTTATGGTCATGTTTGATGTTGCCAGTTTTCACATTCAGAAAGAAAAAACACAGGCAAATTATCTAACTAGAATTTTACACATGAAGAAACATAATTGGCGTCACACACATATAGCTCACCGAAGAGGGCTCTCCCTTCTCGTCATCGACGTGCTCGAGCACAACGTCGAGCAACTTGAGAAAGCTCCTCTTCATTTTGTCCCGGTCCCCTATGGTGTAGTGGCACACGATGAGGTGCAGGGCAGACCGGAAGTCCGCCCGCTCTGCCATGATGTACTCCAGAGACGTGATGGCATCTGCCAGTTGGCCCATCTTCACGAACGCCAGCCCAATGTTCTTCATGATCTTGATCCTGACGAGGGAGCAGAGACGGGTCACAGAGGCTGCACAGGCTGCTGTTTCACTCTACCACGATTAGGGTTGTGTGATTACGGGTCTGGTGGGGAAAGTCGTTTGAATTTCTTCTGCTACACTGTACCCTGTTGCAGGTTAAGACAAGCTCCTCTTGCAAAGCCCTGCACTCTTTCTACTTCAGCAGAGCAAACGCTGGAGAAGAGGCGAGTTTACTCGACTGCTCTCCAACGTCCGCTCTGCTAAAGTGCAAAGAGTGGGGGGCTTTACAAGAGGAGCTTGTCTTGCTTTTCTTAAACTGCAACAGGGTGCAATAGCAAATTTTTTTTCTCTATGGGTCTTCCTCGCAACATTTATGTTTTAGCAATTACAGTTTAAAAAGAAACGAGAGAGGTCTGCTCTGCCTACTTCGAATTGTACCGTAAACCAGCTTGCCCATTCGAATTTTGTGCCCCTCAGGCTAATGAAAGCTACCGGCTTCAGTGATGAAAACACATAAAAACACTAAAATGACATATGAAAAAAACACAATGTGGAAAAACACAATATGAGAACACAATAAAACACAACCCTGATGAAAACACAATAAAATAATGACCACAAGCTACAAGTTGATGACAGGTTGAACCTCAAAGGTGACTTCCTCCTTAAGCTTATAATCATAATTATAATCCTAGTTACCACATATAAATTCACCTTGACTCACAACGGCATGCAATTAAAGCTTCCACAAAAATGTCAAATTTATTGTTCGAACTACCTCATGTCTTTATGGGTATTCGGAACTTGGTCGAGAGCCATTCGGTAGAATTTGATGGCCTTTGTGTAATTGCGCTGGAAAAAGCAAATGTTGCCCATGTTCAGCTTGAGACGTCCTGAAACAATAAATATTCTTGTTACCTACTGACACAAATTTAACCACCTGAGATGTTAACTCCAAACACACACACACACACAGGTATATATATATATATATATATATATACTGTAAAACCCTTAATGTTCGCGAGCCCTCAATTTTCGCGAATTTCACGAATTGAAGAATTCGCGAAAATTAAGGGCGCGCAAAAATTTCGGTTTTTAAGATTTTCAATGCAGGCATCTGGAATTCGCGAAATTTAGTGGTCGCGATTATGTCATCTGTGACCGATTCGCGATAAATAGGGGCCGCGAAAATAAAGGGTTTTACAGTATATATATATATATATATATATATATATATATATATATATATATATATATATATATATATTCTCCATATTTTACCATTTCACACTTCAGCCACCAGGCCATGCCTGCTTTCCCTGCACGTTCCAATAAGCATGAGTTTTGCATTTTCCATCACGCATAAACCGCTAACATTGCATCATTACTAGTTCCTTACAGATATTCATCAATTAGTACAAGTCCTTCTATCACAATGCCAAAAGAATTCACTGATGCCGCAACATCTCGTTGGCAATCAATACTGCTTGGAGACAATCCCACAGATAAAAAAAGAGAGCAATTTCATTCATGAAGAAGTTTCGTATATGTAAGGCAATAACTGAAATAAACATAAAAAATTACACAAGACACACTATACCATTTCTTTGTTGACCAATCAAGTATTCTGTTGGCATTGGTATGTTATGTGCACAAAACAAAGTTGCCAGCAGAACATTCCAGCATGCCTCATGAAATGACGGTTGGCTATCAATGAAATGTCATTCAATATAAAGGTGTCAATAAAATTAACATTAGCGAATCAATGTCTATTCCTTGACAACCCCCACTGAAAATAAATTTATGGACATAAACAAAAAAATTAAAGACGTTTACAACTTCCTGTAATGCCGATTTACAGCGCAGCACTTGAGGAGGAGGAGAGTATGGCCCTCCTCCTCAACCATACTCTCCTCCTCCCCTCTCCCAACAATGAGTATTCGTAATATTCTCATAAAAAGACGCTTCTTCCCAATAGGCCTTCTTTTCGATTGTGGAATACACAGGCATACATTTTCTAACTTTATGTCATGCAGTAATCTTGGTCATAAGGAGTGTCATAAATAAGCTGCTACCAATACAAAAGTGCTCTTACCAACATTAGAGAATGCTTTGTTCTTGACAATAATTTGATAGGTATTCAATGCTTCGGCAAACATTTCGTTGTTCGCATACTGCACAGCCAGGTTGAACAGCACCTGCAAGAGCAGACATGTTATCTATGCCAAGAGAAAACCAGCTAACTTCCAATTTTCTGAGGGAGACTAACTCACGCAATAGGTGAGATCCAGGTTAGGAGCTATCTCCGCCGAGAGCTGCTCCCGTTGTCGAGACAGATGTTTCTCTTTCATTACGCCGTCCTTTGCTTGATCAAGAGCCTGCATTGAAAAAAGATTCTAATTTGGTGCCCTCCATTAAAAGTGTATTGTGCTGGAATACCCCAAATAATTGACAGGTAAACAGCAAAAAATAATTAGTGTATTGCATACCCACAAAAATAGGTTATAGATATGTACGGGTATTTACTACAATAAAATTGGCCAGATATGCGGGTAAAAATACACAAGATTTCAGGGAGCAGGTTAGATGCAAATTTGGCATTGACACAAGTTGGGTGCAATAGATAAATTTTGCACCACTGGAGCTGAGACATTGAGTATTCTTTCTTCCTTTTATGTGTCTTTCCTTAAATTCTCTGTCCCAGGTTAAGTTATGTCAGTGTTTCACCAGTTTGTCTGCACACTGGTGAAAATTTTGCACATAGGATGGGAATGTGAAACACATTAGGATCGTGTATCTCGGGGTTCTCCCCACGGTGCATTGGCTTGGCCACCCACTGCTCCGACTGACCGCCCATCGCTCTGAGTGACCGCCCACCGCTCGATTATGCTACAGGATGACGATGCGATTTTTCCTGCACATTACCATGTTATCGCGTCTTATCGCATAGCCGACTGTCACCACTCTTTGAACAAGAGCGGAGCCGCAAAGAGTTGCCAGTGTGGGGGGGTGAAGGGGTGGGATGCTTGGCTGAGGAGAAATACAAAAAAAAAAAAAAAAAACAGACGCGACGAACGTGCACTGCGCAGCAGCCCGCTCCGCAGGCAGTGAGTGGCAGAGAGCAGAAAGCCGAGAGGACTTTCTTTCCTTGCTCAATGCTTGCTTGTGCTCTGGCTTACTTTACCTTTGCCTCTTCGCTCGCTCCCCGCCTTTCCTTCTCCACTTATTTTTTTCTAAGTTTCTAAGGCAATTAGTTTTTTGTTTTATCACCACAGTGTGGTGCCACTCACAGGGCTGGAAACTTAGAGAGCCTACGGAAAGTGCGTTCTGTTGGCAAGCCAGATTGTGACGCAATGCAAACTAAGCCCCCCCATACCGCTCGCATGGTGGTTGTGTCCACCTCTAAAAAATTCCTGGGGAAACCTAGGTGTATTTTAAACCACAACGGGCTCACGCCACAATGGCTTCTTTTAAACAGCCAAAGCTTGCTTTCTTGCTCCAAGGGCAAATGTCTCACTTGCGCCATGAACTTAAATGGTAAAACTTGGTGAAGAGCGATTCTTGGGAAGTAGGAAAGCCGGCGATCGAAGCGGGTAGGCGGCAGCACTTCCGAAAGCAAGCAAAGCTGAGTGTATTTGGTGTTTAATCCTTTGTAGGCATGAAATAGTTTGCACAGATTTAGGAAGCACTAGGATAGGAAGTTAGGCTGGTTTAGGCTGCCAGGAGGCCACTAACAAGTAAGGCCAAATAATTTTGTTGTAACTTTCGGCGATTTTTTTTTTTTATGTATTGTGCAGCACTGTTTGAGGTAGATAGGTGCAATGGCTCGGCGTAGGAAACCCTACAAAGGGGGTAATGACCTAGTGTCATGTGGCAAGTGCATGCAGTGGGTGCATCTAGATGAGACAGATTTTGAGAGCTTAGCGGAGGCGGAACAGGGTGGCTTGGTTTGCCGAATCTGCGAGAGGGTTGCAGAGGGATTTAAGTTGATAGAAGGTGAGTGCGCAGCTACGGTTGAGGAGGTTAAGCAGTCAAGCAGGAGCTTAAAGTAAAGCGAGAGAAGCTGGTGGTCCTGGACGCTGAGGTCGAGGTGTCAGCTAAGAGGAAGAAACTCAACGTAGAGTTTCAGGAGCTCATCATTGAATGGGAGAGAAAGGTGGCATGCATGGTAGGCAAGCTTATAGTGAGGAGCGGGTGGAGCATGAGAGACAGGTGGAGGATCTTAAGAAGGGGGAAGGCTGAGATGGGGAATCATAAGAGGGAGTGCGAGGCTGGGTTGGAGCGATTGAGGAGGGAGGAGACAGCGAACATAGCAGGAACGACAGTCTCAAAAAAAGGCAGCACTAGTGAACAAGTGGAGGTCAGCAGGACAGGAGTGGCATCTCGACCCTACAGTGCCGTAGTGGTGCAGGTTACCAGCGAGGTTGTAAAGGATGAGATGGTAAGCCGGCAGACACAAAGTGAGGTAGTGTAGACAGCTGGAGAGAGTCAGTCGCAGGGCAGGCAGGCAGTCGGAGACAGGCGGTTGGAGGCTAAGAGGGTACTGGCGGCAGGAGACCCGAACGTAACAAGGGTTAAAGGGGGTCTACTGGCCATGGTGAAAGGGGCTGGGAGTGTAAACGTAGTGGCCCAGTCAGGAAAGTGCATCGTAGACACCCTGGCCAAAGCTAAGCTCTGGGGTAACATGGAGGGGGATAACCTAGCAGTAGTGCAAGCGGCACTCAATGATGTGTTGAAGGAAAGGAGCCAAAACCTCGGCAGACACATAAGCTGAGGGAGGCCTCTGAGAGGGTGCAGGTGCAAATATGCACTATCCCAGAGGTCTGGGTACAGTCTTTTCAGACAAAGCAGCGGGTAGTGGAAGCTAATATCGGGTGATTAGAGGGATGAGCAGACTGCAGTACGGAGTATCGGAAGTAAACAGGGTGGTGTGTGATGCCCGCTCCAACCCTTTTGCATGGGGCATCCACTACAGTGGAGCCACAGGTAGCACGATAAGGGATAGGATTGGGCGTCATGTCGTGGATATTTTGGGGACCCACGGAGCCCGGAGGGCACGGGTGTAGATATATAAACACACTTTGACCTTACAATCTGCAGTTACATTCCAGGATATGGGGTGTTCGCTGGCCTCGCGATCCTTGAATGGGTTAATGCTTGTGTTATATATCCTTTTAAAATTTTTTTTTGTCCATGCCATTTTTTTCAAAGCGAAACAAAGTTTTGTTTTGCCATTTCCATCGTTTTCTTTTCGCACATATGTACATTGCCTTTGGGGTCGCGGAAGTCGGGGAGGAAATATGTGAACAAAGTAGAGTGCCTTCCCCCCCTTCGTTTTACCATGACACGGACGTCTTTCAACCGTAAGGCCCGCGGTTGCATCATTAAGGAAGGATGAACGTTTGCGGATGAGGGGTCCATATTGGGGTATTCGTACGGGGTGAGCAATCACTTTGTGTTTTTTTGGAAAGCAATATTCGCCAAAAAAGTGGGTGGGCGCTGCCTCGGGGATGGGCGATGACTCAAAATATTACGGTAATATATGCCAGCACTAGGGAGTGACAGTTTTGTCAAAAGCGGTACTTCACATATAGCGCACACAAATTATTTTAAGGTATTTTATGCATACCAGCTTGAACTCCTTCTTGGAGGCTGAAAAGCAGCTTTGTTCCACCAATTCCATGATGGAGGTCTCAAGTTGCTTTAGGCGTTCTTCGGGACTGTGAAATTGAAAAATTGCGTCGTTAATACTAGTTCAGGAACATAGAATGAACCAACTAAGGGCACACACCTGGCATTTTCTTTCGTTTGAAAGGTCAGCGTAGATGCCTTTGCTTGGTTTAGAGGATCGAATGTGTTCGCTAGTTGACCTGTGAATAAAAACAGACGTTTGCTGCCAAGACAAATTGGTAATATCAAGTCAATATTTCTGCCTGCTGCTATAGTTATAACTTATATCTCACTAATATGGATCCTCTTAATATAGACACCTGACTATAAACAAAATTTTTGGAGACAAATTTGCCCTAATACAATTCTTCCCCACTATTATAAAAACTGGACTATAAACTATTTTGGAAATTAACTGGCTCAATACATATCCTTTCATTCATTATTATGGAAACAAGCTTGCTAAAAAAATTCGCCAGTGCCAAAAACAAACGAACTTGGAGGATGCTTAAGCTTCGCCTTTAAAGAGGCACTGACACATCAAAATCATTTTTTTTTTTTTATTATCCGAAACGATTGAAAACAATGCTGGAACATTACCCTCAAAATTTTAAACTTGTGAATTCAGTATTTGTGAACTAAAAATACAATTTCCACATGCCGAATTCGAAGTTCCCGCGCGATCCACATTGGTGCGTTGACGTCAAATATTGTGGAGTCCTGAGAGTCGACTTTTTACACGACTCCACGCTGCTGCCGTAGCGACCCAAAGCGAAGAGGAAAGGAGCGGGAGATAAGTGGATAAGGGCGCCGGCGAACCGAGAAAAACCGGTTTCATTCCGTGCAAGCGGTGCCGCCTCCCCAGGCGGCATGTTTTTCGAGGGAGGCTACAATTCCAGAAGGCGACATCACACCAGACTACGATTTTTGGTGTTTCAAAAAGAAGGGCCGCGGTGCGTTTGCAATTGCACTAGAAAACATGTTCTACAATTGCCGTAATTAAATGTTATAGAAATGTTGCCTACAAAGCTTCTAAATTTTTTATGATTTTTGATGTCACAAATCAAAAGAAGCGAGGAGGGGAAGAGGAGGGTGCCAAAAATAAAGAAGCACGTGCGTGCGTAAAAATTTTCTTTTTTTTGTGATCCGTTTTTCTTTTTGCATGTCTATGACTTGCATTGTTTAAAGGCCCGTTCACACTCTTACGACCGAGTACGACTGAGAGAGACGCGATCTCTTACAACTTCTTAAATGTTTTTAGAATGAGGGAACACATGGCATTGTGGCGCCATCTATGCGGTGACCCTGGAACTGCATTTCACAAGAGCGAAGGTTTTGCGGGATTTTCGAGGTCAAATGTGCGTAATACCCATAGAAAGGCTCGTTTATAACATTGTCAAAAGTTTTTCGAGCCAAGAAAGAACGGATAATGCTCGAGAAATAAAAAAAAGAATATGCCGGACCGCCGTGTTTACACTGCTTCCCAATAGATGGCGCCAGTGTGTTTTCTGGTTTAACAAGTTTTAAGGAACCCAGGTTTAAGAGGTCGCAAGCAGTCGCAAGAGTGTGAACGGGCCTTTAGACAATAAAAAAAAAATATGACTCTTGGGGTGTCAGTGCCCCTTTAAGAGTGGAATGCAATAGTGAAACATATAAACTCCTGCTTGCTCCCAAGCCATGCAAGCGTGCCTTGCGTGGCCTTGTCAGCAGCATAACTGGCTCGCAACCGAAGGTTGTGGGTTTGAATAGCACCTAAAATTCTTCAAATTTTTCTTTAAAGTAAATGAATTATGCTATAGAGTGAAATCATTTGAGACTTGCGGCAACCTTTAATTCGCATTACACGTCATGTTTTTTAATCACTTTAATCACCATGCATGAAGTAAAATTTCCCGTGAGCGTTGTTTAAATTCCTGTGCGAGGTCATGCGGCTCTGACGTCATGACCTGTGACGGCTTGAAGCTGAGCTAGTTGGTTCATTGATATATATATAGACCTTTCCAGCGGCAGTCTCGAACAAAGTGATTTGCAGCGCGGTTCCCTGGTTTTGAGAGGGTACGCCAGTGTTGCTTGACTGCGCTGGGCTGTGGGTTTTCTAGTCAGTGGGCTGTGGAGGCCGGCACAGGTGCACTTCCGGACGCTGGTGGCGGCTAAATTGCAGCGTTCTATCTTTTATTTTCTGTTCTATGGTGAATAGAATTTATCGGGGTTTTTAATAATGCATTGTACTATTTTTGGGAACAAAAACAAAGAAATGAAAGCTGTTTTGGTAAGTCCTAGCACAACAGAACAAATGCAACTGGAATGGTTGTTTCATATTATGTTGATCTTTTTATGGCACCATACACTCCGCCGTGTCAATTTACAAAGGTCTTAATCGTCGATAATATTTCACCACACAGGATATCTGAACTGCATGGACATTCCTTGCCCACAACATGAAATTCAACGAGTCTCATCAATCTCACAACATATGTTGTAAGTACCCCACGGTGTCGCGGTACCTGAGCGGATTTGAGAAAGGTCTCAAATAACACAGCATATCCAATATACAATGTCGACGATAGTCACTTCACTACTATCGGACGGAATCCGGCGTGTTTTGGGGCACATGTAGAAGAGAGCTGCTTTTTTTGCACAGCTTCAAAGCAAATAAACGAACGTGTCTAATTCGCCCTCACACCCCGGACCCGACCCTATCAGCTATTTTTCGCGAAGACCCGAAACATAGCCGGGAAGGCTTTTTGGGGATTATCTCAACGGAAGTAATCCTCCAACAACGTTGACCTGCCTGCGTCGCGTGCTGTTTGACGTTCACTCTCTTCGTTCGTTTCCTGCGAAGGCCGTTCAGGCAACGAGCCCTGGCATTCCCTGGTTCGTATACAGTGGAAGATAACACACCAAGGTAAGCATCCTAAACAGGCAAATAAATTAAAACTTCCAAAAAAGTCGACGAACTCCGAATGTGCAATGCGGGTGGGGAGCCACGCTGACTGGATTTCCACAGCTCAGGCGAGCGGCGGAAATTTTTGGCCGATAGGGGTTGCTCGATTCGCAAAATGGCGGCGGCCAGAGAGCTCTTTTTGCAAAGGTCTATAGTGCCAGCTGAACATAAAGGAAGTATTAGAGAGAGATAGAAAAGGCATACACTCTACTGGACTAGCAACTGTTTAATAAGGCCATCTTTTTTCTTTATCTACATCTACAATACATTTAATTGAATTGGGGAAGACATCCTTCTTCTACTCTTATAATCGAGCATCTTCCTCGTCGTTCATTAGACAACTTCCTTGTGGTGTAGCGCGATAAAAGGCGCTCTCATACAATTGTCTGCCTTTGCGTCAATAGTAAGGGCCTCTAGGATTTCTCGAGCGAACTTGTTACGGTTTCTTGCCAGGATGTTTAGGTTAAAAAACTCTTGCACACACTGACAGACACGACAATGAGCAGGTAGGTGCCCCGCTGCTGTGACGGCTTTCACCAAAGCTGCATGTTCCCTCGTCCGGTCATTGATGCACCTTCCAGTCTGTCCAATGTGACATTAGACAAACTGGTCAATTCTGGGTAAGATAATGTGTTTGACGGAAGTTTGCGTAGGACTTTTTCAGTGAAAACAAAACAACTACAGCAAAAGCATTGCTAAGAAAAAAATATTTAGAAACTGGCGTTTTTTGTTCTAAACAATTTTTATTTCCATCACCAGCGGATGTTTATTGGTGTTTTTATACAGGGCTTTTTCGTTGAAAAAACCCAGTGCTAGCTCAAAAATATGAAAAAAAAAAATGCTTCTCGGTTTCAACCGAATTTGTATTTTCGACACTGACGGATGTTAATTGGTGCTTTTTCGGTTAAAACCGGAAAGGGGACAGCCTACATAGAGGTCATGACCCTATCGACCAATCAGGATTTTTGCAGCACGCCACCAATGGCGAATTTTCTTGTCACGCCACCGACGCCGAACTTTCTGCAACACGAACTCCTTATCTCCTTATTGCGTTAAAAAAAAAAAATACTGAAGCTATCAAGGCCTGTTCAAACAGGAAACAACCAAAATCGTCAGGCGACACGACTCCCACAAAAATTGTCAAAATTGAAGCAGACTCTTCAATTTTGACGATTTTTGCAGGAGCTGTGTCACCTGACGATTTCTGTGGGCAAGCCAACATCAAGACTTTGCTCCTCGCCTCCTCCACTTTTCTGTGATGTTAGTGATCGTACAATTTGATGTCACATGCCACCTGCCACTGGTTTTCTCCCACGGCTCGTTGACCTCACTACCGCCGTCACCTTGGCTGGAAGGCCAAAGAGGTCTGGCTTAAGGTGGATTTGGGAAATTTCTGCGTCGAAGCGTGCATTTTGCTTGCCGCAGGGAAAGGGAATGACACCTTCGTGTCATTCCCTTTTCCGTTTTCGGGACTTGAAAAATGGCGGAGGCCTTGAGCGATTGACTGACAGCCAACAGAGCTTGTGAATGGCTCTCCGGACCCACGTGATGAGCAGAGCAAGGCTGCCGTGGAGGGCACGGGCGGGATTTGACGGGGGGACCTTTCCCCCCGGCGAAATAAGCGGCCGGAAGTGGAGCGCCGAACGATTTGTCGGAGTCGTGTCGCCTGACGATTTTTGTAGTGTCGTGTTTGGACAGGCCTTTTGGGTCACTATTAATGTACCCTTACTTTTGTATATTGAAGGCAACGCACATGCATTCAGTTGTAGGAATTACTTATATGCAGCATAATTCATGCTTTTGCAGATATTTAGATTTGATAGTGTAGAACAGGCTTTTGCTGTTATTAGAACATTGAGTTCAGCTCTAGACCAAAGACAATCTTCAAAAAGAATCTACCGTGCAGATGATTTGGTTTCTTTAAGCACACACTGATGAATATAGTATAACACCAGCTGGATTGTGTCGATAATTTTCTTTAATCACTTTCTTAATTTTTTCCTTAGTCACAATAATTTTTTGTTGTCACTTCTCTGCAGTGTATTAGTGCACGCATAGGAAACAAATCCCTCCAGACAGATAGACATGCATGCTGGCATTTCTCAGTGATTGTTCCTTCCTGGATATCTGCAGCAAAAGTTCCAGTGGCTCCACAAAATGCAATTACGAATATAAAACAAAAACAAAAAACTTAGTGATGGTTTTGTGAAGGCAGTTTATTTTGCAAACTTTCTTTTTATGTATGCCAACATCTGAAGAATATTTGCGTGAAGCGTTTTTGTTTTCAATGCCTAGTAAATCTGTTATCAATTATTTTCGGTGCCCCAGTACTAGACAAAAAGGTAGAGATCTGGAAAGCCCGAATGCATTTTTTAGAGCGTAGCTCTTAGGCAGCCGCTTCCGGCTTTTGCGGCGTCGGCATAACTGTGCTAAATTTAGCAGGAAAATTGACGTCACGTAACATCAATACTAATTGAATTCCCCGCTAAACTTAGTGGCGAAAATGACGTCACATGACTTGGTGTCACGTCACCTATGAACAAATTCAGTTTCTCCGGTAGATGTAGCGGGAAAATTGACATCACGTGCGGAGGAGGAGGAGGAAAGGAGGAGTAGGGGAGGAGAAGGATGAAAGGAGAGGAGGAGGATGGGAGGCGGAGAGGGTACAGAGGAGGAGGAGGGGCATACCCTTCCCTCTTCCTCCTCGGGAGCTGCACTCTAATTTTGAGTTACAGAGATTTGTAAGAGTCTTTAATTTTTTCCATTCTATTTTTTCAGTGAAAATTTCATTTTAGTCAATTTATCGAGTGACGGTTGAATGCAACCGTCCAAAAGTTACTTGATTTTTCAGAAAAATGTTAAAGAAATACTGACAAAATGTCTTTCACTTGCACATTCTAGACATTCTGAACTCAAGCCCCAGTGCAGTAGCCAGCTGCTGTTAACAAATTAACTAAACTGCTGCCAACTAGTTACCTCAACAGCGGCCAATTATTTGTCTCTTAGTTTCAATGTAGCAATCCTTCGAGAAATTTGCCATTGAACAGTGAGAAGCAGAATTTATTTTCTTTGTGTAGTGACAACTGTTAGGACTGATTTCAACCACGGGCTACAAATATCTAATAGAAATATGCCAGCTAAGGCGCACACTACTAAGAGGTACTAATTAGTGAATTTTAGTCAATTAATAACATCTTAGGGGTGTCCAAACAGGACACTACAAAATGCACGACTCCAAAAAATCGTGAAAATTGAAGCGGGCGCGTCCGCTTCAATTTTTTCGATTCGTCGGAGTCGTGCGTTTTGTAGTGTCCTGTTTGGACACCCCTTCACTAATACACTCGTGCCCTGATGTTTGCTTCTTTCAACAATACTGGAGGGCCTTCTGGCTCATCCTCTTTGAATACAATCCTAAAATATCTGAAAAGGAACTCCAACAACTAGGACAATGCAGTGATGTGATTGGCCTAAGCCATTTTGGAGCACCTTTTGGAGCAGCCAAAACAGTGTTTTGGAGCAGCAAAAGTGGCCTTTGGAGCAGCCAAGACAGTGTTTTGGAGCAGCAAAAGTGGCTTTTGGAGCAGCCAAGACAGTGTTTTGGAGCAGCAAAAGTGGCCTTTGGAGCAGCCAAGACAGTGTTTTGGAGCAGCAAAAGTGGCTTTTGGAGCAGCCAAAACAGTGTTTCGGAGCAGAAAAAGTGACTTTTGGAGGAGATATTGTTAGAAAAATAAATAGTTGTTTTAAGTGCTGGACAAACGAAGGACACTTTGTGTTGTGTTGTGATGCGTGTGACGTGCTGGGGCGGAATTCGCTGCTTGTTTTTTTGCTGCTGAGACATCCCACAAGTATACAGTGCTGTAGGCGTTGCCGAGCAATTTAAAAAGAAAAACCTTTTTTTCGTTTTACTGGTTCCCGACGTGGCAGATTTTTATAAAAAGTAAGTAAACGTAAAACAATGGATTGCAAGCGTCCCGGCTGGTGCCTCTCGTGCAATCATGTTCACATGCACGTGAGGGCAACTTCGGCAGGTTTGCAGTTACACGTGCTTCGTCGCGTGAGCGGAGACAACGGCAGTTCGACCGAAACCGAAACCATGCCACTCCGCTCCGTCGCCAACTGGTTCCCAAAATAGTATGCAAAATGTTGAACTGTCCAGCATACGACAATAAACAGTCCAGCGGCACGTGCTTGCCAGGCCGGCAGGCGAGGTACAGGCTAAACACACAGAAAAAAAGAACCTGAGCGTATCGATGCAAGACACTGCGAATCAGGGTCAAAAAGTTCTTGGAGCGCTTTGTGCAACGACTGAACTCGAGACAAACAAGCGCGGTGTGCGGGCTCAGCGTGCAGACCATTGCCTTCTTTGCTTTTGCTCACTTCTCGTCATCAACTTTCTTTCGCGGCAGATTTTCCACGTACCGGGGTCCCTCTCGAAAGAAAGTCCACCGAGAGAAACCTAGGTAATCAAAACTTCGCCAAGCAGTCATTGAGTTAAAGAGGGATTTTTATAGCAGCGCATGATTTAAACAAGAGCAGGAATGTCGATGCGTTTCAGTTTAAAAAGCGCCACATCTGCAGCGACGTGGGGACGGCAACACACGACGTCGCGCGACCACGGCGACTGCGGTCGCGCGAGCGCTTCAGCTCACGAAGTAACTCTCGCCGCGCAAAAACGTGGTTTTGTTTCACAGCATGACGGCATGTCTGGAACCCGGCACACTAACTAACGTCGGAGCGTTCGCACATGCCCGCGTCTATCGCTAAAAATTAAAAAAAAAAAGCAAAAAGAAAAAAAGACTTGAGACGACGAGAGCGCGAAACGCGAACGGCGGAAAAAATCATGCCAGACCGAACAGACGATTGATGCAGGGTACTTTGTGTCGGGCGGCGTCTTGTGCCACCTAAAGTCACTGGATCCTGGGAAAGTAGCGCCATTGCCTTTCCTACCTGCTAGCCAGACACAAAGGGACACTAACATACAGACGATCCAAACCTCGCAAGGCGATTGGCTAATCGGCCTACGTTGCCATGGAAATCGCCATCTTGGTCCATTTAAATCTTCGAAGCTTCCAGGGGGTCATTCTAAACCAGTCGCGCCAAGATCACCATGGAGCATCATCGTACTGGAAGCGTTCCTCGCCAATATAAGAGTCTTTGGCACTTCATATGCGATCAACTTATTAATCATGCCCATCTCCATGGATCTCTTACAATTATATTGTTCTTCTGGCGCATTTCAAGGCAGTAAACTTATTTTTCAGTGCCTCCAAGCAACGACACAGCATCTGGTGGAGGTACGAAGGTGTACGTTTTTTTCGCCTGTGTGTGGTTAGCAAAATCTCGGTACACAAAAAACGACTCAATAAAGCTACCCGTCACCAGCGAATCTAGATCGGCTCACCGAGAACGGAGGGTAAAGGAGAAATTGCTCATTTCACGGACCAAGATGGCGACCACACGAAGAGCTTGGCGTTACTTTCCCAGGATCTAGGGAGGCTCAAGTGAGGGTGGGTGCAACCGCTAGATCGGCGATCACGGGACATGATCGCCATTTAATTGCTAAATTTTGCTGGGAGTCTATGGGGCAAAGGGTCGTTTTCTTTCCTAACTCGGGTCATAAAAGCCCATTAAGGTGCTTGAATAATTTACACAAGGTATAAATGATTACTTTTCCATAGCCACCAGTTTTGTTGCGATAGGTTAAGTATTTTTTTAACGCGAAAAATGGTAAATTCCGCCATCTTAGGCGTTGCTGCTTGTCTGGCAACTTTGCTTTCTCCGCTCGACGTTTGCAATTCTCGGAGCGAGAAGGAAGCGAGAGAGGCTGCGCCAAGGCGCTCGTTGCTTGCAATGGGAGGCGAGAGGAGGAAAGGCGCATGGAGCAACAGAGTTGCAACAGAGCGAGCGCCTGCTCTCGTCCAGGCAACACTGGCACATATCCTTTCTCGAATCCTCTCCCTCAGGCGCAGCCATTAAATTGCAAACGCTCTCCAGGTTTTGAGTTGCGCCCACCCTCACTACAGCCTCCCTACCAGGATCCAGTGACTTTAGTGCCACCTAGCTCATGCATGCTCAATTACGGTTCTCAGCTTAGTTTCGTTTTTGAAAGGCGACCAAAATTGGTCTTTTGGCGCAGGCTTGGCGCAGATTAGCCATATTTTGGCGAAATGTAGCAGGATGTAGCAGAGTTAGCCCCTTGGCGCAATTGGCGCAATTGGCGCAGCAATCACATCACTGACAATGTCTCTAGTCAACTCATTAAGAGGCTCATACTTTTTCTCTGGGCAGCCTCATGTACAAGACCTAATATAGTTGTGAACTGGTCCATTGATGGATCCATTGGCAGAGACTATTTGTTCCAACCGTGGACACAGAAGAAATGAACCAGCAAACCCAGGCGAAAATCAATCCACCTCCAGCCGGATTATGGAACTGGAAATGAGGCAGTCCAGCTGGATTCCAGCTGGGTCCAGTTGGGTCCAGCTGGAATCCAACTGGACTGCCTCATTTTCAGCTCCATAATCCATCTGGAAGTGGACTGATTTTCGCCTGGGAAGACTAGGTGGGAGCTCTTGCCTTGCACACCGGCGGAACTGTATCCGGCACCACGGACAGCTGTCATTGGTCGAGCTGTACTGGGCTGGCCAACGCTTGTGTGCAGACGTGAGGGAGGCATCACTGCTGTCTGTCCCCTGAACTGCATGTAAAATACAAGTGTGCTATCTATGGCTCCACAGAGGATGTTAATATTTATTATGCAGGCATCAGTTTTGCAAAAAGAAAAAAGCCTTCAAACATTTGGATTATAACACACCTGGGTGATTTCAGATAAGATCGACCAAAGGATGGCTAGTCGACATTTTCAAATCAACTGATGTTTTTATATGTTATTGTCTAGTGTCTGGTATGAACGAATCCAAACTTAGTTTTGACTAGAAAAAATACTGGGGGACAGGAAAAATCGTAAGGCATGAGGTGGTGGACAGTTGCATTAACGCGCACTGATGGAGGGGGCCCGTTTGAGAGTGAATAACTAAAGCGATAGCATTAGGAGAACTCTAATACGTTTTAGACGCAAACTATGGGTATAGCTTGCTTGTAATATAAAGTAATCATATTTATTTAAAATTTATTTATTTTTCTAAAAATGGACAAACATGCCTGCTCGAACGACAAATGGCAAACTTTGGAGGTCTGTATCTCATGAAATAATTTAATCATTATGATATAATTTGCAGATATTATTCTACTAATATATAGCTAATATTTAAAAAATAACTAAGGTATCTGTGTGATACAATAGTTAGGATATATTTAGTCAAACATGGAAAAAAAATCAAACAAAGAAAAATTCCGATGCGAATAAAAAAAAAACACCACCCTCGATTTTTTTTAAATTTAGGTAACCTGTTATACTCTATTTCGGCATTCATTTCCATTAAAAACATGTTGCATCATTTTATTGAGAAAGAAGATACAACTCCCCAAAGTAGGGTCCTTTTTCAAAGCCTACACTTAGCAGTGTTTTATACAAGAACTGACTCTGAGTTCCAGTTTCATGAAACCAACACACATCTTTTATATATTTTTATTCAGATGAGGCCAATGATAACTAAAGAAATCGTTCACACACTTAAATTAAGGAGAAACTACTGTGTACAAAGAGGTATCATATTACGGACTAGTGATCCGAGAAAAGATCATGCAGCCATCGGCCACTAGGAACTTTGTTTACTTTATTCTCCTGCGACACTATAAGCTATTCCCTCTTCCGCTCTACCTTCATCTCTCTCTCTCTCTCTCTCATATATATCCCTGATATATATCCAGAACAAAAACATGTTCAAGCATTCCCTTTCTGCGTGGTAGTGTTCTGTGGCTAGCAAAAATCATTTCCTCGCTAAGCTCACGATTATGGCAAAATAGTTGCCGGAAACCGCAGACGACACTCGTCGCTAGTTCTGGCAAAACGGCCGATACAATCTTTTTTTCGTATTTCCCCGCTCGCTGTCAAGGACAAGGGGGTTCGCTTCAACCAGCAAAACATGGCCGCCGACGCCTGTTTACTGAGCAGTCATGCCTGTCGCCATCTCACTCGCTGGCGTCACGGGCGATAATATCAGGCACAAAGGGGCACACCAACCGGCAGCATTATCCCCAAATACTCGAGCCTCGCGTAAATACATAGAGTGTAAACGCTGTCGCCATGTTATCGTAGTAAGACCGCCCCCCCCCCCCCCCCCCCTCCCCCAACGGGGGGCTGCAGTACGCGACGGCGTACTAACACAACGGCGACGATATCGACATCGCGGGCTCCGAATTTTCCCATAGTTCTACTCCACGGGCATTTCTCGAAACGCTTGATATTCTGTACGCCCGCCTGGAAGGATTTCAGGCGCGTAGTTAAGATAAGGCGGTTCTCCGCGGCAAAAGAAAGCAATTTCACAAAAGCTTAAAAGCGGCGGCGACGCGTGTGCGGTGAACGCTTGTAGTTTTGGTGTAGACAGGGTGTGTGTGTTCTCGTTGTTGACACCAGCCGGCGATAAGGCACTGCAGGCGGTAGCTCAGTACAGCAAGGGCTAATCCGAGTGACCATCAACGTAACCCCACCGCCAACCCCTCGCGAACCGGTCGCCGACATGGCTCAGGCTGTGTCATGAACCACGTGGTAGAAGCTCGGGTGCTTTCATATCAGCGCGTGGAGGGACGACAGTGCGATTCCGGAAAGTCTTTTTCGAAGGCCGCTGACCACAATTTTTTGTCTGGAGACTTTCCCTCTTTCTTCCTTTGACGTGGATCAAGCTTTGCCGACAGCCTCAGTTGTGACCTCTCTTTTCAAATGTACGTTTGCAGTGAGTGAGCTCCTCAGCCTCGGACTTGTCACTTGTGCACCCAGTAGTTCTTTCACTTGGCAATTATATGCCATCAGTTGGGGTTTAATTTCTATTATTTATGTATACATTATGAAGACGTCCTGGAGTTCCGAACGAGTGTTTTGTGCAGATTACTTTTGCAAACACAAAAAGACTATACCAAAGCAGCGGAATTTTCGAAGTGTTGGCGAGTTGGACCTAAACTCGTTGAAGCAAATTCTTCCGCCTGACTGTTCCACCAAAGTGAGTGCGACGGACTACCTGTGCTACCATTGCTTCATGCACATCACTAAGGAGATCTCGATGCGAAGCTCAGAGCAGTGCCCTGACATATTTGTGCCAGCTGAAGAAGCAATTGAAGATCTAAATCGCAGCATACTACCTACAGATGTGTCGCCGCTGAGACAACCAAGCGTCGTAAGAAGTCGGGACAGGCCTGCCTATGTCAAGAGAAAGCAGACAGAACTGGAGCAGGTTGCTGTCAAGAATATACGCTCAAGGCTACGTATTGCGTACGACAGGGACGCACCATCGGGGTTGTCCGAACCAACATGCTCCACATGCACTGAGTGGGTGGACAACTTTCGGCAGGCCTTTGAAACCGCCACCTCTCTCCGGGAACGTTGTCAACTGCTTACACTCCTGCCGTCAACACTGACGAAGAATGAGGTTCAAAAGATGATTCCACAGGCCTTAATGTACCTCATCAGTAAATCCCGAAAACTCAAGGAAAAGCATGGCGTGTGGTATGAGCCGGATCCTTACACGAGGTGCAAGGTGAGCCCTGAGAACCTGACTGCTGCCCTAGAGTACTTCACGAAAGACGAGCTACAATGTTCGCGCCAAAGTCCCAACCAGAAGGACGTCATCTCTGTCATGCTCAACGGAGAGAAAACGTTCGTGCCAAAGCGCTTCATGACACGCTCAATACGAGAGGCCTTCCGTATATACAAAGACAAGCATCCCGATTCCGGCGTTGGGCTAACGAAATTTTATTCGTTGCGCCCTAGATGGGTCCAATGTATTCCACACCAGGAAGTGTGCGTTTGTGTGCGCTGCGCCAATTATTATCTTTGTATTGCCGCTCAAGAGAACGTTACAGGCTCAACATTCAACACTGGTGAAATGAACTCGGCATTTCTGTGCGACCCAGCAACAGAACTGTGCCTTCAAGGAGACTGTGATCACTGCCCAAAAGGCCAGTTTCTTACACTCCAGGAACTTGATATCCCGGAGGATGAAGAGATTGTGCTTGCAACATGGGAGTCCGGCGACCTTGTGAAAAAAACTTTGGAACCTGAGACTTTCCTAAAAGTCATCCAAGTGACGGTTGGAAGTTGGGTACTTCACAACCATATCCGGCAAACGCAAGGTAAAGCGATCTACGATGAAAAACAGTGCATGCAACGCGGGAGCATTGTCTTTCATTTTGACTTTGCTGAAAACTGGACCATCGTGCTTCCTGACGAAGTGCAAGCATATCACTGGAAAAAAAAACAAGTTTCGATATTTACATGTGTAGTGACGACAAGAAAATCTACAAACAGCTTTGCCATCATCAGTGAGGACCTGTGTCACGACGCCGCTCACGCTTGCTTGGCTCTAGAAAAAGTGAAGGAGTGGGTTGAAGACAACGTTGCGGTATACTCGTACGTGACGTACGTAAGTGACGGCGCCGCCAGTCATTTCAAGAATCGCTACCAGCTTCACCAATTTGCAAAGGACGATTGCCCACAAGCCCAGTGGTTATTTTCTGCATCTGGACATGGGAAAAATGCATGTGACGGAGTTGGCGGACTCGTGAAGCACCAGGCCACGCTGAACAACCTGAGAGAACGTTCAGTAAGCGCAATTCAGACAGCCAGGACAATGGTGAGCGTTCTATCAAAGAAACTGAAAGGCGTGCATCTTGTATATCTGGACGAAAATGAGGTTGTTCGGTATCGTGAACAAAAAAAAGAAGAGTGGCTGACGGTGGTGCGCGCCTTCCCTGGCATTCAGTCTTGGCATGCGTGGCGGCTCAGCAAGTCATCAACAGAAGGGACCTGTGACGTATATGTAGCACGGACAGTCGGATCTGCTTGGAAGCAACTTTATTAAATGGGTACAGCGAGGAAAACCTTAGCGTAAAGTGCCGAATTTGATTTCCCAAGGACTGCTCATTTTGAATGCAGGGACATCTTATTTATCACATTTTTCTTCACGGGGTATTTAACCTACAGTTTTTGTTGGTGGTTACTAATAATTTTTATCTGATCACTATAAAAAAAATCCCAAAATGTTATCCTCGAGCAGGATAAAATATATCGGCTTGCCACGATTCATTCATACACCGAGAGCATCGAAGCTGCTCCAGTTAGGCACTATGGCATCCGTCACCTGAAATTGTTTGTAATCGTAAATACACAGCCAACCTAAATATCTTACTATTATATCTTTGTTTTTGTGTGTGGAAGTAAAGTTATTTATTTTACTCTAGATGTAAAATATACCGGAAGGTACAACTTCACACTGCATCATCTTTTCTCAAATCATTAGTCTCTAATATGATACCACTTTGTACGCTTATGTAAAATGCTGTATATAGTTTCTCCTCCCTTTTACTGTGTGACCGATCACTCTTTTTATCAATGACCTCATCTGAATAAATGTATATAAAAGATTTGTGCAAATTTCATGAAACTGGAACTCAGAGTCACTTCTTGTATAGGACACTGCTAAGTGTAGGCTTTGAAAAAGGACCCTACTTTGGGGAGTTGTTTATTCTTTCACAGTGCAATGATGCAACATGTTTTTAATAGAAATGAATGCCGAAATAGAGTATAACAGGGTACCCAAATTTTAAAAAAATCGAAGGTGGTGTTTTTTTTTTTTATTTGCATTGGAATTTTTCTTTGTTTGATTTTTTTCCCATGTTTGCCTAAATATATTGTAACTATTGTGTCACTCAGATACCTTATTTATTTTTTCAATAATAGCCATATATTAGTAAAATAATGTCTGCAAGTTATGTAATAATGATTAAATTATTTCATGAGATACAGATTTCCAAAGTTTGCCATTTGTCGTTCGAGCAGGCATGTTTGGCAATTTTTAGAAAACTAAATAAATTTTTAATAAATATTACTACTTTATATTACAAGCAAGTTGTACCCATAGTTTGTTTGTAAAAAGTTTTAAAATTCTCCTAATTATATTGTTTTAATTATTCACTTTCAAACTTGCCCCCTCCATCAGTGCGCGTTATTGCAACTGTCCACCTCTCCCTGCCTTACGATTTTTCTTGTCTCCAAATTTTTTTTCTGGTCAAAACTAAGTGTGGATTCGTTTATACCAGACACTAGACAATGTCATATAAAAACATCAGTTGATTTAAAAATGTCGACCAGCCACCCTTTGGTCGATCTTATCTGAAATCACCCACCTACAGCTCCATCATAACGATAGGAGTGATTTAGAGTTGTTTTCATTCTCATAACTTTTAAACGAGCCTTGTTGGCCACTTGACAAACAGCTCTGGTCTGTTGTTTTATGTAGTTTGGTTTTTTTACTTTTACCTTTCCAAAATTACGTCCTGCTTGTTTGTTTATATCTGTTCTTTCATTATTTGTAATATGTGCATACTCTCAAGGCCTTGAACTGTTTGCGGGCACATTAAGCAGAATATATCCAAATATGAAAGCGAAGATCTGAAAGCTGAGGAATCTTTCTAAAGAGTGTGCTGTATTTAGCAGACCACTAAGGTTCTTCAAAGTTCTTTGAGATATCTTTACATACTCCCAAACTTCTTCCAGAATATATCCTTCACCAGATATGTAGCGCTAGAATGCCTTATGTACATTACATAAAAAGGGAACTTTCTGGAAGATATGATACTCACACCTGTGCTTGTACTGGGCATTCCAGCTTGGAATCTTGAGGATGTCTGATTAGATAAAGCAATTTAGGAGGATAATTATAGCGTGAAAATTATTTGGTTCACAAAATAAATGTAATTATGCATAATGTCCAAGAAACTGGCCATATTCTTAAAAAGAAAAAAGCAGAAACAAGAACACTGAAGGTATCAATAGTGAATATGTAATGTTAACATGTGATATTTGTAATAATAATAACAATAATCGTCATCATCATCTTCATTTTTGTTTGACTGCATGTATATTTTAATTTTTGAGCATGCGACTGTAATATTTTTTAAACCATGTAACTTCAGGGCAGTTTTAAAATCCGGCATGCATGTATGTAAACAAGAGTAAATAAAGTTATTTTTGATACTATAGGCCAGTGGTTCTCAACCATCAATGTTTTGCGGACCCCTCGTGGATCTGCGGAGATGATGGACGATCCCGTTCGTGGTGAGGGGTGAGAAAAGGTATAGGTTAAATACAATAATGATATAATAATAAATATAACCGAGGGATAGTGTCAACGAGACTTCTCTTATTGACATACGCACAAAGAAACTAGCCCAAAAATTGAAAAAAAAAAAAAAAAGTTCTCTATTTGAAAAAAGATTACTTTTATTGCTGGGTTTGACTGGTGAGGCAGGGCTTCGCGGACCCCTAGAATGCCTCCGCGGACCCCCATTTGAGAACCACTGCTATAGGCCAGTGGTTCTCAAATGGGGGTCTGTGGACTCTTTGGCGTCTGCGAATGCATTCTAGCTAGGGGTCCGCGAAGCCCAGTAGGTCACTCACTTGAGGTGTCGAAGTTGTTTGGCTGCAGCCTGTGGCAAAGCAAACGCTTACTAGAGAGCTGCAATGCATCCCCACACCCATTGAACATACTTTTCATACTTATTCTCGGTTTCTCAAATAAGGAGTGCAGAACGCATGCGCAAGGTGTGGTGGTTTCAATATAAGTGAGCATGATTTCCATGTTCCCAAAACATTCAGCATCCTCAAGAAGCCAGTCTACCACGCTCAAACCTGCCTCAAATGGGGAACGATGGAAACAATAAATAAATGTGCACCAGGCGTGGACATCTTAGCGGATCTTTGTTTTCATACAGTGCGCAAAAATTATTCTGTGCCTAACTCGCAGGATATATGATGGCCAACGAAATGTGGATGAAATTTTTATTTACAAATCCCAACAACCACATGAGTTGAAAGGGTAGCAACGGTGAGTGTCAATATTAGGAACTTTTAGTGTATCGTTTTTAGTTCTCCAATAACCATACTTCACAACGATACATAACCTAGTCTTGCTGTGAGCATTCTTTATTGAACACAACTATCGGAGTGCAAAACGTAATATTAAACCTCCATTGGGGAGTTTATATATTGTTTTGTGTTATCGTTCAATGTTGCTATAGTATGGGCTGCCACTTCAAGTAATTCTTTAAAGTCTTCAAAAATCTAAATCAAAAGCAGCTCTTTTTTTTTTTTTTTTTGAGATGACACAGGATTGTAATTTGACATTTTAAAAACATAGGTACACTGCACCACAAGGTTAGCACAAACAAACTATCGGATATTTTTCTTCTTTTTTTTTTTGCATTAGAAGTGAAAGATATTTAGAAAACTGTTAATGTGAGTATCCAACCTAAGCGGTAGAAATAGACAATACATAGCTGTGCGGAAAAAGGAAAAAAGGAAAATGTTGTTTTTGCGTTAACAGTGTCGTGTAATGTAGGCATATCGCTATACACTCAGTGCAAGCAGAGTAAGCCAGTAAATTAATTATATATAAGAAAAAAGATTTTTGGTGTGTTTTCTTTTTATAGCTGAAAATTTGTCATTTTTATAAAAACGATTTGGCAAAAGAGTGCTGTTATTGGGCAAAACCTACGTGGCATCAGTTTGTTCTTGTAGACTAAAATCTGCATGACCCTTGCATTCGAATGTCAATTTTGTGTTTGCGCCAGCTACATGACGTGGAGTAAGAGAAAAGTCCATTTCTCGAACATTTTATAACAAAACCTCCATCACACCAGATAGACATTTTGCGAGTACGCTCTATTACTGCTGGTTTAGAGTATTGCTATCTACGTCAAGCAATTTGACACTCTTTGCTGAATTGCTTGTATAAAAATAACATTCCAGCTATCAAAAAAAAATTTTTTTCTTTGTACATTAAATTTATTGATTTACTCTGATCATGTAGAGGTATGCATACATTACGCGACAATGTTAGCGCGAACACCACATCAGCGCTTTTTGCTAATTTTCCCCAGCAATGTATTGACCAGCACTAAGATCTACCGCTTAGGTTCGATACTCATATATAACAGTTTTATAAACATCATTACCTTCTAAGGAAACAACAAAAATGGGAAAAATTGGCGCTAGTTTGTTTGTGCTAACTTAATTGCGTGGCAGGGTGTACCTATATGATTCTTTTACAATGTCAAATGACAGTCCTGTGACATGTAAAAAAAAAAAGGGCTGCTATTTTTTAGTTTCTTGAAGACTCCAAAGAATACTTTGAAGTAACAGCCTGTGCTATACTACTGATACAAGCAAGATTGAACAATAACATGACACACTAAACTCCCCAATAGAGGTTTTAATAGGGAGTCCTCTTTTTCCAACACCGCTACGCTTTCCAGAACGAAGATGCCACTATTGCACATGCGTGGCACTGGCCTTGCTTGTAGAGTCCTGGACCTCGTACCGGGTCGCAGAGAACGTTGCGGGACAGCGAAAAAAATCAATGAAAATGCCCCATTATTGTGTTTTCCGCGCCGATTTCCATGCTCAATAAAGAAGGCTCACAGCAAGGCTAGCTTATATGTATATCACTGTAGGGTACAGTTATCAGAGAGCTAAAATGATCTACAAAAACTTCCTAACATCGACACTCCCCTTGCTGCACTTTCAACTCATGTTCATTTATTAATTGTAACCCTAAAGGCCCTTTCGGGCATTACATAAGGGGAATGCGATACAAAGATTCATACAACTGATGTTAGGATAAATTTTATCCACATTTCATTGACCATCCTATCCTGAAAGTCTGGCACTCAATATTTTGTGTGCGCTGTACGAAAACAGAAATCTGCTAAGGTGCCTGTGCCTGGTACACATTTATCTTTTCCATCGTTCCCCATTTGAGGCAGGTCTGAGCGTGACAGGCTGGCTTTTGAGGATGGTGAATGTTTTGTAAACATGTATATCATGCTCACATATTCAAACTACAACATCTCGCGCATGTGTTCTGCACTCTTTCATTTGAGAAACCGAGAACAAGTATGAAAAGTATGTTTAACTGGTGTGGGGATGCATCGCAGCTCTCCAGTAAGCGTTTACTTTGCCAGAAGCTACAGCCAAATAACAGCTCAAATAACTTCGACAGCTCTGCAGTCTTTTTAAAGCGCAGCTCTTAGGTGCCCGTTTCCAGCTTGAGCGCCATCACCGTAACCGTGCGTCGAATTATGGGACGTTTCCCGTAAGGACGTCACACGTGACGTCACGAGGGTCAAGAGTGATCGATGTCACGAAGGTCACTCGTGAAGGTCACAACCTTCTTGAGGCCTTCACAAGTGACGCCATGAGGGAGGGGGAGGAGGAGGAAGGGGGAGAATGAGAGGATGGAGTAAGGGAGAAGGAGGAGAGGAGGAGGGGCATACTCTTCTCTCCGTACCCTCCCCTCCTCCTTCTCAAGAGCTGTGCTCTAATTCAACATTACAGGGAATTGTAAACACCTTTCATTCTTTTCAACAGCGCTAAATCAGTATCTTCTCTCTCCACAAACATATTTTTCAGCATGCACTTGATCATTGTAACAAAATAGCTCAGCCGCGATGTTTTAGAGCGCAGCTCTTAGGCGCCCGTTTCCAGGTTGAGGGACGTGGCCGTAACTGTGCGTGTTGCATTATGGGACATCACAGTTTCCCCGTTAAATTTAGCGGGAAAACTGAATTGGTGTTGAGGCGACGCAACGTCAATTTCACCGCTAAATTTAGCGGGGAAGCTTAACCCAGCCAAGTTTAGCGGGTAAATTTTCGCTAAATTTAACGGGAAAATTTTTGCCAAATTTCTTGCTAAATGGGACGGGAGGAGGAGGAGGGGAGGGTATGGAGGGGGAGGAGAGGCATAAACTCCCCTCCTCTCCTTCTCCTCCTCAAGAGCTGCGCTCCAATTTCGCATTACAGAGAATTGTAAACGTCTTTAATTTTTTTACACATGTGAACTGTGAAAAAGTTCACATTATTCTTCCACAAGCGAAAAAAAAAACAAAAAAACAACACGTTGGTGGTCAGTCACATGAGGAGCAGGATCAACATGTCGTGCAGGAAAGATGTGATGCTACGGGGATGAACGCGCAACTCGGGCTCCTACTCTCGTCGCAAGAGGTTTTATGAGGCTCCAAAGCACTCAATCTTACGAAGCTCCAGGAAGTAAAATTTTTCTTTAACAATCAAATTAAAACATGCGTGTTAAAAAGAAAAAAAAAAGCGGAAAAAAAAAAGTATCACAATATCGACGGCGAGAGATTTATTCAAAATCCTGAGCGCAATGTCCATGACGTCACGGAATGGTCATTCGCTCAACGAGATGGTCATTCGGTCTTTCCACCTCGACGTGAAGGCAAAGCCGATCCTCTCCTCCACAAGCTTGAAATGCTGAGAGAAAACAAGTGGAAAGGAGGTGAATACCGACTAAACTGCGTCTCGAGCCGTCAATATTGCTATAATTTTATTTTCCGCTTAAAGTTATTATTTTTTTTTTTTTTTTAGATGCGTGTTTTAATTAAACATTTTTTTTTTTTTTTTAGGGTTTTTTGAAGATTTCGCAAGTGTGCGAATGGATTTTCACGTCACTGAGGAATGTACCCTGCTTCTTTCGTTTTATTATTAGAGATTTAGAAAGAAAATTAATTCAGAATATTTGCATAGTTGAAACAAAGACCTCACAACCAAAACCATCGATTTGTCATACTTACTGGGGGTCTTCGACCATAGCTGGTTCGGACAGCTTGCTGAAATCCCTCATCTTGCATCAACATCTAGTAAAATGAAAAAAAAAACAAAAAACAAAAAAAAAAACTTAAGAAACGGATCTAATAATGTTAGCAAACGCGAACAATACAGCTATGGGTGCTTTGCCATGCCATACTCACGTTTGTGTCAAGAGATGGATTAAACTCATTGTAACCCGAATACAGATCATCCTCATCAGAAGGCACCAAATGCACTCTTTCTGACATAACTGCCATTGCTTAAAAGTTAATGCTTGTAGCGGGTTGAGAAAACGACGAACTCGCACTGCCACGGGTGCGACGATGCGACGACAGTTCTGTTTTCGAAATGGTTGCCAAGTAACAATATCGCAAAAAAAAAAAAAAAAAAAAAAAAAAAAACAGCAGAAAAAGTACACTGGCGATCCGGTTGAAAAAGAACGCACGTGTCAGGTGAACTTTTCATACTTTTTTTACGACTAAAGATACTCATATTAGTGTTTTTAAATTGTATATATTATTTATTTATAATTGATTGTTTTATTCGTTTTATTACTAGTTTTTGCAAGTAGGAAGACTAAAAGTCACCTTAGAGTTTCATCATCAGGCTTTGTGCTGCTGCGCTCAAATATATAGTGCATCAGACAGTTTTTATGCTGTTAAAATGTAATACACTGTACGTATGTTTGAGTTTTAGTATAAGTAAAATATGCATTGCGAGGAAATATTTGTTTAATGTTTTACTTCATGTGTTTATTTTCACTTTTTCACTCGCGTGTTCCCGCGTCGCGGAGTGACACAGAAGAGACTCCACCGGATAGCGGTGCACTTTATGCTTGAAGCCAAGAAGCACATGGACGTCTGCTTCAATTCTTGGAGGTCGCTCACCAACCTCACAAAAGCCGGACCGCCGGACCATCGTCAACCGCCGCTTTCGAGTCGCAGCTAGCGAGGTGCCTGGCATGGGAAACCGCATCGGAGCTTTCCTAGCTCGGCCCATCAGAAATTTCAACATCGAGAACCGCGTTCAGAAGGTGGTCGGCGCGGAAAAACCAAAGTCGGCTCCGCGGCATCCCTCGGACCAGAAGTACGAAGCGCAGGTGGCGATCGGCAAGTTTTTCTTTTCTTTCATCCACTGTCGAAAACTCGGTTAGATCGTGTTCGAGCACTCACGAAAACGCTGAGCCGCGCAAGTGATCCATATGAAGAGAGATTTGCGGTTAGGCGTTCGCAGAGTTCCCGGTTCTGACCTTCAAAATTTGTCACCACCGACAGTGATTGTACTCCTTAAAGGGATGTACCATGAAACAATCTGACAAACCTGGTCAGCTAATGAATAACTCTCTGTTAGAGATGAAACTCGAATTTCTTCTCCCCCACTCATCGTAGCAGCCAATCATGACGTTTAAGCGATGTCGGCGTGGGTAGCTTGCTTGTGAAAGCTTTCAGGAACAATCGGAAGCGGGCTTAGACCGGGATGTGAAAGAGCGACAATCACAAAACCGTCATGGTGACGTCATCTAGGCGGGGGAGAGAAGGGTCAATGGGGAGGGACCATTCCTTGTCCTCTAGCTAAACCAAACCAATAATTAGTCTATAGTTTACACAGCAGGAGTTTAGTCTGCCAGAACATGGCGACATTGTTACCCACTGTAGATGTGTAATTTAGCCTGTGCAGTATGACTGCTAGCCTGAGGTCTTTAACGTGCACCATGCAGTAGTGATACACGACCACATGCCGGGATGATGCTCATCCAGATCGAAACGGGCAGGGGTGGGGATAGAGCCCAGGATCCCTGGGTTCTGCAGTGCGAGCTTTCACTCCACATGCTCCAAGTCAATATGCTCAGCCACCGACCCCCCCCCCCCCCCCCCCCTCCCCCCATCCTCTTTACTATATGTTACCATATACATCCGTTGCTCTACTTTGCAGATAAAGAGAAAGTGATCGAGAAAAGAGAGGACCTTCTGGAGCGGCTAAAGAGCGTCAAAGTGGTCTCTGCAGAAGCCACGGTGAGATCAAACTAGGAGCTATTGGCAGGTGTTGCATTGATGAAATATCTACCACAGAGACAACTCATCCTCACACAATGTTGCTTTCTTGTGTATTACAATTTGAACAGTGAATGTTGCCAAAAACACAACTTGCAAACAAAAAATTCTGCCGCTAAATTGTAACGACGTGTGAAGAAGATGCATATTCATAAACCATCAAAGAAAACTAAACATGTTTGCGACTGCTTTTATTAGGATGACATACAGTCAGTGTGCTTGCTACATTCAAAATAAATAAAAAAAAAAAAAAATAAAAAACTTGAGCCATTATGATTTGCATTTTGTGCTAATTGTATGCAAGAACTATCTACCTGGTAGTTTTTTGAGGGGCCTACACGGGTAAATGGTACTTTCTTGAATTTATTGATATGGTATCCTCTAAATATAAATGCGGCATTCTTACAAAAAATTTGCGAGGCTTTGGCACGTTATAAATGAATTATGCATGGCAGGAAGGCAAAAATCAGCTTGAAGGTGAGCTATTAGACACACTGCCAAAATATAAAAGTTTCAGCCTGTAGTACTGTTTAAATCACAACTCTTGAATCTTCAATAAGAGGATGATGATTCTTATTGTGAGTGCATGCTGCATGTCTACACTTGTTTGGAAGCTCTGGGGGATGCTGTTCTTTTGTAGGAAAGTTCTGTAAATCTCTAGTAACTTTTAAATGGACTAATATTATATGTCGAGATGCGACAGTAGCGACGTGAAAACTTTCAACACTGGTACAATGGTTCAATTCGCCAGGAGAAGGAAAGATGTCAACGGGATAGAAAAAGAAAGGTCGTCCCAGAGGAACGTCTGAATTGGTTTTCCTCAAACTGAAAGAATGAAGAGGAGAGAAAAAAGTAAGGCTCTAATACTGCTCGTATATAGCAAAAAATATAATAACTTATGCATTGCAGACCCAGCCTCGTACTGCTGTTCTACGACAATCATCCAGATGACGGCCAATGAATATTTTATCTACGAGGCTTCATACATACATTTCAGGGCTCTTTTGGAAGCGCTTTTATCGGTATCTCCGCGCATCAGATTAAGAAAATTCGGCAGACGCACTTAAGACCGCTTACATGTAGGAATGTGGAAGCATTCCTACAAGCAGCGCGCCACGTCTTCCTTTTTCACACTGCACTCCGGCGGTGACATCTCTCCCCTACTGCGCAGGTGTGGCAAACCCCGCAGGCTTCACGCCAGCTTTCATGACGAAGCATTTGCGCTGCTGTGCTTTTCTCTGCATTTTATTTCTGAGGTGTATCGGCTTTGACCTTGAGTATTCTCGCCGGCTTTCGTGACGAAGCATCCGCGTTGCTGCATTTTTCTTTGCGTTGTATCTCTGAGGTGCGTGCTTGATGCGTTGGTGTGACCATCTTTCAGGCACAACGCCGACGCTTTCTTGTGTAATGGGACAAGTAAGGCTTTTGCCTTAATACTGGGAAGAATGGACGGAGAGAAAGAGAGGGAGAAAAGACGAGGTCCTCACAGACACTAAGCACACTGCTTTTTGCATCCTGCACAATCCCCAGTTCGATCGGATCCACTTCCTCAACAAAATTCAGTTTCACTCGAATCAACGCCCCTAGAACGTGCAGGTTCTCAAGCTGGATTACAAAAACCCAGGGGTTCCTAGAACACCGTCAAAAAAGGTTCACCCGAGCTCCAAGTAAAGCGTTTTTCCAGTTCAAGTTGATGCATAACTATGTATGAGCCAAATACTTTCTAGTTTGTGCATTATCCAAAGTTCAGCTTCCGCACCACGTTATTGCCCGAATGCCGAGACCGAGGGCGTTTCCTCGGTTTTCGCTTGAACCAGGCGGGGGCTCCTCGAGATCCAAGAGATTGAGAACTGCTGCCTTAGGCAACAAGGCCCCCGTGCTGCATTTTTTACATCTACTGGAGTGCAGGGCAGGGGTCAGACAACAGTGTTGTGTCAGCGTATAGCTGGAACTCCCGTTCGGTCGGCGAGGATACGAGTTGCAGCCGGAACGCTGATGCAGCTTCCGATCTGTGTCCCGCACAAGCAGTAGGTGGTATAGAAGGTTCAGCACTGTGGCTTCGTTACCTATAGTCGGTGACAGGTCAAGAACGAAGTGGAAGCTCCTCCCACCCCTTTCCACTTCAGCGAAGCGAACGGTGGAGAGGAGGTCGCCTCCTCTCTTGCGTTCGCTCTACTAAAGTGGAAAGAGGTGGGAGGAGCTTCCACTTCGTTCTTGACCTGTCACCGACTATAGGAGCACTTAAATATTCGTAGGATGTTGGGGCAATGTTTCTAGGAGCACTCTTTATGTCCTGATTTGATACTGGTGCCGAGAACTTTGCCACTCCGCTCACTTCTGCACCCGTTGCAAATTTTCTTTCGTAAAGAGAAAAGAGGGTTCCAAAAGAAGCCTGTCCAAAGGCGGAAACACACATGCAGAAATTCGGCAAATTTTGAAACGCGAAAAAACAGTTTCACACCATTTTTTTAACAATAACTCCGGGCCGGTGTGCATCGCGCATGAATCTTACATATGCTTTTAACGAAAGTGTACCATTTCATTTACATACAGTTAAAGCCCTACCAAAATATCCCAAGAGATAGCCCACCTAAAATTGAAAGCAAATCAAGTCAAAACGAAAAGTAAGCTTTTGGTGTGCAATAAAAAAAAAGTTTAAAAAAATCCTAATTTTAAATTTTGTGAATTGCGAAACTTGTAATCGCAGGGAGGGGCGATGAACTAAAGACAACTGTCCTTTCTAGTCGGCAATGTTTGCTTACCTCGTGCCGTGGCTAAGTAACACCTTTTCATTCCGAGGTCACCATCGGTCAGGGCCCTGCAATTACTTTCGGTGTTTTTAACGAAATAGCAAATCATGCCAAAAATGGCATCAAAAATGGCAAAAAAGGGCATCTCTCGGGATCTTACGGTAGTTTCTCGAAGATAACATGCGACGATTTTTGCACCGCACCGCATGATTTTTGCACTCTTTTCTTGTCCTCGCATTCGGTGCCGCTGCAGCCCGAGCCAGAAAAGGCGGAGCGTGTGCTGCCGCAGAGCCGCCAGTCGTGGCAGCAGTACCAGTACGGCTACTACGAACCAGAAACGGTGCAGCCGGGGCGCATCACCCTGCGCCAGGCGACCCAGCTCGTCTCAGACGGGGCCGCTGACCCAGCACGGTTCACCCCCGAGGCCCTAGCCGCGCAGTACGGCCTCCGGGTGGAAGACGTCCGCAGTGTGCTTAAGTACTTCAAGCCGTTCCAGGTGTACACGCCTGAGGTGGACCTGGCCGAGAAGCTTGGCGTCAAGAAACTGAAAGAGGCACTACGCATTCCGGGCTTACAGACGGACCAGACCCAAGTCAAGGCAAAGGCATTGCTCGAGGAATGGAAAAAGAAGAAGGAGGAAGAGAAGTGAGTTCTGCGGGGAAAGGTGGCGACGCGGAAGAGATTCACCGTGTGACCCGGTTCCGGTGTGCTTCTTGGACGGATCGTGACGTTGACGTGTTGTGAGGAACTTTTGTGGAACTTAGAAAATGAAGGTGTCTTCTCCTTTGTTGGATTTGAATTCTCGTGGGTGAAGCGATGGTGTGTGAAGTAGAGTTAGGGGCCTGGGTGTGGAATCAAACGTGGCTTGCTACTTCAGAAGGCGGCTGTTAACACCACTGATCTTAATCTTGTCTTCCCGGTACTGGTTCGGCGAGACCGAGATAAAGCCACTTCTGGCCACACTAGGGCTATGTTCCAAATCTTACCCGAGTAACCTGTCTCCTACGTCAGCGTAGGAGACAGGTTACCACATGACATCGCGAGTAAATGATCAGAGACTCGATTGTGGAATGGCCGGGATAATCATCTGGATACTATGCGGATTAGCTTCGTCTTGGGCTACGGCAAAAAGAAAACACAGCAGTGATGGCAGAAAATTCTTCTGACCATGGAGAAAGCACTTGAGGAGACAATAACATTAATGATGACGCGGTGTTTTCTGAGGTGGATCCACCAGCTCCTTTTTACTCACCTTCCTTTTGAGTGGTATATTGAGATCAAAATTACTTACTCCTTACAGTTAGACATCAACATTTGTTTTTATTAATCAGCGCAATCACTGTTATTCTAGTCCAGGTGCCCTAAACGCATATATTCCATGCATTGTAATTTGCATTGATTACGTTTTGCAGAAATTGCTTCCCTACAGTGTAGTGGTACAGCACAGGGTGCTGTCTCAAGATTGATATGTAACTTACACTTGCCTTTTCATTACACACACTCTGGCGGAAACAAAAATACCACCTCATCCTTTACTGCATTCAAACATTTTCAGCCATGGACGTGAGAATACGGCATTCCCTCCAAGGACGAGGATGCGGAGAAGCTCCTGTTTACACTCGCACTCTGATAATAACAACAAGTATACCTTCCTGGGGAGGGTGTATCTCAAAACGTCCCATTCGCATTTGAACCTTGCACTTTTCGACCCATTCTCATTTGGTCCCTCTCGTTTGAACCTTCTCATAAGATCCGAATCGTGTTTTTCGCAACTGGACCCATTCTCATTTCGCCCGTTCGCACTACGACCGAATGGCACTAGTTCGGCATGCTTCTAACATCGTTATGCCTTCGCGGCTTTGTTGATGCGCCTTACCTTGCTTGGGCCCCCAACATACCATCAGATATATGTTATGTGTAGAGGTATGCACTGAGAATCGTACATTGACGCCGGCTTCCCTTCGTCTAAGCAAACGAGAAAAAAAAGCGATGAATATTTAATTTGGAAACTTTGTTTTGACAGAAATAGCATACATAATAGCAGTGGTTCTCAACCATTGATGTTTCGCGGTCCCCTTGTAGAAAGGCGGAGATGATGGAGGATCCCGTTTGGGGTGAGGAGAATAGGAAGGTATAGGTTATCATGATAGTGATTTAATAAATGGATATAACTAATTGCTAGTGTGAAGTAGACTTATCTCATTGACATACACACGAGAGTACTCTCCCGAAAATTGGAGCGTTTCTTCTCAACGTGAAGAAAGACAACTAATCTTGCCGTACCTGACTGATGAGACAGGGCTTCGCAGACCCCTAGGATGCCTTCGCAGATCCCCTTTTGAGAACGTTTGCATTATAGATGTGGTGGCATTGTCCCAAGTCGAGAGACCTCAAACAACATGACGTTTCGGAATATGATCTGGTAGCGATAAATAGTTGGTCTGTTTTATTGTCACCTAGTAGCTTTTCACGACGACCTCGACGCACTGCTAAAATCCATTAGCAGAGAGAGTATGCCTGTAGCGTGGCACACACACACACAGAGAGACACACACGCACGCACACGCATACGCACACACATACATATTATATCAATGTATTTATTATTATTACCCTAAAAAACGATTTTGGTATAGAGAGTCAAGTGCGACTGTTCAAAGCGAGATATTTTTGAGAATGGCTGTTTTGAAAAGGGCCAGGTGAAGAGGGCGAAACGAGAACGGGCTCGAATGAGGAGGGTTGGAATGCGAAAGACGAAACGAGAAAGGACCAAATGCGACAGGTCCAAGAGAGAAGATCTTTTTGAGAATGGTTCTTTTGAGAAGGGCCAAGTGAGAAGGTCGAAACGAGAACGGGCTCAAATGATAACCACCCTCCTGGGGAAGGTGCGCGATCTGGATGTAATGTAGTCAATTCCTGCGCTGACAACAGAAAATCGCAATAACCACACATAAAGTGCTGCACCTCATTCTTCGTCATTTTGAACGTCCACCGCCAAAGCCAAAGGAGCAAGCGAGCTTTGACGGCTGTCGGCGCAGGAAGCAAACGACGAACAGATCGCGTGACATATTCACTCGATTTGATCCGATGTTACCACCCTATTGAGGAGGGTAGCGTGAGTAATTACTCCGGAGTAAACAACCCGCTTCTGGAACGCGAGTTCTGACGTCATCGAGTAAGTTTTGAAATGCCACGGTACGAAACCTTTACTCCGGAGTCAAATTGAGTAAATTTTGGAACACAGCCTAGAAGACTGCATCCGCGACGGTGCTTTATAGTGCACCCAGTTGCCACAGGATGGTATCACAGCTCCGACAGGGCGGGAGTTTCATGTCTTTTGAAGTGCAAGGCATAGTAGCTTCGTTCGATTTGTCTTCACGGGTGCAGAAAAGTGTGTTGGCGGTGCACTTCCGGTCGTATCTCAATACATATACCGTAAGTACACTGCTCTACACTTTTCTGCACCGGAGCAGGTACATAGAACGAGGCTTACTGTAAACAACTTAATTTTCGCGAGGACCTCATTTCTACAAATAACGCTATTTAAAAGTTACAAAAAAATTGTATCGCATGAATACATCATCTCATGCTAACAAATGTGTAGCGTACCGCTTTGAATCGTAAGATTATGTTTCCACAAAATGTTCCCAAAAGCCACAGTTTGCAAAAATTGTGTTTGTTTACGGCATATTCATTTCGCCTTCTCTGTCCCAAATGCGATAATGGTGTGCATAGGGCGACACACAATGCGAAAAAGCAATTGCCAGCTTTTTGCTATTTTTTTTTCTCACGACAAACACACTTCCCTCAGAATGTGCGCATCCGGGGCATGAGGTTGGTTGGTAAAATTTCATATCCGTGCATATCCCTTGTCCGAGCAAAAGGTGAAAAGTTGCCGATATAAGTTTTGCGCTCACTTATCTCGCGCAGTGTACGCCAATCTTTTTTTTTTTTCGAGAAGTAAGCTTGGCTGCATCTGAGATTTCGTGTTGCCTGTCCCCAAATTCCAGTTCCCACCGTTAGGCTGCACAAAAGTGAATGAATGCACCAAAGTGCCTGCCCGCTCAATGATGCCCACAAACCGGGCGGGGGCAGCACTGATATGCCAGTGTTTTATAGGGTATTGAAGGGGAAGAAGAGGAAAACACCATAAACCGTAAAATACTATGGAAGCACCTATTCCGTTCAGGCGCCCACCATTACCATTTCCCAAACTTGGGAATTCTGCAAATCATGCATCATAAGTGCCCGATTTGACCGGACAAGGGTCCATGTCTAGATTAACCCAGTATTTGGTGAAAGTAAGATGGGCACTCCCCCGCCCGGTTTCTTACGGTAAGCCAAAAGTGGAATAGCACGAGAAAAGAAGGGCAGGAAGTTTTGAAGAGGGAATTCTTATGGGCAACCATGATTCAATCAGATCTAATGTAAGTGCCCAGTTTAGCTGAACTAGTAGTGGTAAATTATCCAGGATGACACCGCAGACAGTGCAATCTCTACCCCAACTGCTGGCGAACCTAGTCTAAAGTAGCTGTTGGGGCACAACACAGCTACATTAGATATACACAGTCACATTGCACTTGTCCGTCTCTCAGCTCATCGAAATTTTGGTTCTGGCTGTCATGCAACCAGAAATGCAGCAATCTGTCATGGCAGACGGTCAAGCGGCTTGGAAGGGGATGTTTAACAGCAATTAGAACACTGAAGTAGTGAGCATGTGGAAAAACACTGAAGTAGTGAGCATGTGGAAAGTAGGTAGCAGTCAAACCTTGCCATCCTAAAATTCCAAAAAAGAAAAAAAAAAAGTAAGATTGCATTGTTTTTTTCTTGAAAAGCTTGTCAGCAAGAGAATATGGTGGGCTGGCTCAACACTCTTTGAGCCAGAGCTTGTTGATGCATGCTCAAAACATTCACCATTAGCATGAAAGCTTGTATACAGTGAATACAGAACAAATGGCAAAAGTGCAATGGGCCTTTTCAAAGAAGGGTTCTGCACATGCACAGGCCATGCTCATACAGTGGGAAAAGCTAAAACTACAACTGGTGTACAGTGGTTGATGCACCTGGCCCATTTGTCTTATGTATTGTTTACCACACCCCAAAGGAACGGAATAAACTTTCTGCTCTTCGCAACAGAGAAACTTCTTGGCACGCTTGACTGTGCATCCTTGAGGCTTCTCGCTCTAGTTCACTTTTTGGCAAAGCTGCTTAAGGCACATCCGGCAGGAAACACCATACTGATGTACCTGGGAGCAATGGCTTTTAGCCGATGCACTGAATTATGAACGCATAGAATAACGGCAAAGCGATCTCGCTTATTGCTTCCAGTTGTAGTGTTTTGCCGGTAACAGCCAAGAAGGAATCTCTGCAGGGTGGCTTTCAGAAGATCCGCTGGATACATAGGACGAACGGGTATGTGCATCAACCACCGACTCCGCGAGCACCACGTGGAAGTTTCAAAAGCTTCGGCAGACTCTTTTCACCTCAAAGCCAATCGTTCCCGCATGTGCAGTGGCTGGGTTCCTAGTTTCGAGCGAACGAGGATTTTGGGAGGGCATAATAACAGGTTTTGCAGAGAAATTATAGAATTTTTCAGCATGAATTTGGTTAATAATAATATTTCGGTGCCTTCAATCATTTTAACTAAGGATGAGATAGAATTCCTTACTTCGGAATTGGCATAATTGCATTCCACCTTCCATCCGACAATGCAATTGGCAATTGTTTTGTCACTTTTTTTTTCCTTCTGGGCAGGGGTGGGTTCAAAAATAGGTACTCCGCTAGGAGGTTCACCGTAATTGTTGTTGCGAGTTAAAAAGAAGTGTCCGTTATCCCTTTGTCTTAAGTGTGATATTCTTTCTGTCATCTTTATCCCAAAACAAACACGCTCCCAAGTTTATATTCACTTAGTATCATCTTCTCCAGCATTAACATTAAACACCGTTGTTACAGTACACAGATGCGATTCATTTCACCCAAATTTCCAGCTGCTTGATGCCTTCTCTGCAGGAAGAATGGCTTTTTTGTGATGAAAGCGACGCAACCGAGAACATGTCGGCACATAGTTTGCAAATCTCGTTGGGAGCACAAGCTGCCAGAAAGGTTCAGTTGTTTGCACCATCCATGTATTCATCCGACCCCACCGGACCAGCTGTGTGCACAGGGGCGGATGCAGGAATTTCCTGAGGGGGGGGGGGGGGGGTCAGGTGTTGGTCAGCGTACCATATGTTTAGGAACCCCCTCCCCTTCTCCCTTGTTTTACGCCCTAAATTTTAAACATGTAAAAATCAAGAGGGGGGTCAGGACATCCGGACCCCCCCTCTAAATCCGCCCCTGTGTGTGCATCAGTTGCTCGCTGTCGTCTTTTACGTGTAAAAGGTCCATTAGAACTACTAAGTGCCATGTTAGAAGAATGGCACGTTCGAGATGCACTTAGACCGACCGCTGAACATTCACAAGGTATTGTAACTCTCAGGCTCGCAATTATATCGCAACACGAGAAAGATACAGCATAATTCCACAAAAATAAACTTGCTCTGGCACCACCAGTTCTATGGTGGTGCCGCTATAGAGCAGGTGTTAAAATAAGTTTCCTCTTGTGGAATTCAATGTATGCCTTTCTCTGCGTTGCGAGGAGCATCTGGCCATCCACCCGTTTTAGAAAGTCAGGAGTGTGCCAGTAAAGTTGACCAAGCTGACAGCTGAAAAGACAACCAGTTTGCAACTGGAAACCTCGTGGCTCCCACTGTGAGAAAATAAATAAGCAAACCTTACATTTGCGGGCCACTCCGTCTTGGCCGTCTTCAACACGAACAATGTGCGTGGACGTTCTGTGAACACCAGAATGCACGCAGTCAATCGGCGAACTCTATTCTCGGTCCCAACAGACGCTATAGACCGAGTACCGAGCTCCGGGAACCCTCGGCAGCTATGAGACCCGGGACCCTTGGTGTGCCAGTAACAACCGTGGCAGAGGGGTCTGCAATCTGACGAGGACTTGTCGAGAGAGCTGCCTCGTGCCCAAGATTCTAGCTGCACATGGGCAATTCCCAGGCGGTGTAGTCTAATTTTTCGTCCCTCGCGGGGATGTACCCCACGCTGACTGTCGTTGCAAAACATCAAACTTCCAAGGGATGACTGACTGGCCCTTGGCCCAATGTAAAGCCTTCGAGGAATTAACGGAATAGATAAATACTTCCACCGAGATGGAGTATAATTTTGACAACTTAATAAGAGACCATTTCTTATAGACAATGCATAGATTTGATCTTGCATACACTGCAAAACCTATACTCGGTGTCAGCTATCTTGTACTACGTCGTCATGCTTGCGAGGCTTCCGCAGTGCCCCCGAGACTTTCAGAGCCACTTGCACGAGTATGTGCAAACGAAAGAGGAAGTCGCGTGCAAGGCGGCGGCAATGGAAGCTATGCTGGCCTTAACGACGTGTCGCACAATATAGTTGACGCCGAGTATACCGTAAATCCTGAGAGATGCTCCACCCCTGAATGATAACCTGCCCCCTATTTTTGGCTTGATTTGCTATTTCTTTAAAAGCACCGAAAGATATAATAGCCCACTCCTAGTAATCGCAGGGCCCTGGCCAATGGTAACCTCGGCAGAAATGGTGTCGCTTAGCCACGGCAGGAGATAAGCGAACATTGCTGGCTGGAAAGGACAGTCGTCTTCAGTTCACCGCCCTTCGCTGCAATTACAGGTCACAAAATCTAAAACTAACATTTTTTTAACTTTCTTGATTATGCACCAAAAGTTAGCCCGCTGCTTATTTTCGACCAATCTGCTTCTGATTTTAGGTGGGCTACCTCTGGGGATATTATGGTAGTTACACCCAGATCGAAAGGGTTTTGGGCCACTGGACGGACAGCAACGGTGTGCCCTCTCATCATAAGAGGTCACAGTGCAGTTGATTGCAGTCAAACGCAAATGTGCGAGCCAGCCTCTGGATGCCAGCAGGGCAAACGGACGTTATTGGTCCCCGCCAGTCTTAAACCAAAACAGACGAGGGCAAGTGACCGACGTCGACGTCTAGGCGTAACGGTTCGGGGGAAACCCACAAAGAATTTTGGCGAGGGGCCTCGTGTGGTGTGGCTACTCTTTTATTTTTGTCGCATGAGCGGCGCGGAGTGAGATCAACGCTGGATGCGGTCCCAGCGCCAGATGGTGGCGTCGTCGCAGATGCACAGCAAGATGCTTCCGTCCCGGTTGAGGTTGGTCTGCCGGATGGGACTGCCGCACTTGGCGTGCGTCAGCACCGTGCTCCTGCACAGCGGGTGGCGAGGGCTGTCCAGTCGCCCACGGGACAAAAACGGCGGAAAAGAGTTTCGGCCGTCCCACCTCTAGCGCGGGCTTCCTGCCTTTGGCAATGCTTCGGCGTCTTTCGAGAGCGCACATGCAGCCAAAGCATGGCAGAAGGCAACGAGGACGTGCTGCGGGCCAGGCATCCGAAAGAGACGTCCCGCTCTTCTCGCCTTGTTAGTGACTATAGAAGCTAGTAGTATGACCCGCAAGTGCCATATTTACTAGGAAAATGGTGCAAACCTTTTTGTGAATGGAGCCTACTGCACTCGTGAGCGACAGAGGTCGGCATTTTAGGTCGCCCACGCTCACCCTCACTCATCCTCACCCTCACAGCTACACTGACGCTCAGCCCCTCACTCACAGTCACGCTCACCTTCACCCCTTCACTCACCCTTACTGAACCTCACGGCCCTCATACCGCTCATGCACTCACGTGCCTCATTCACCCTAACACTCATGAATTTTCGGGGTTCAGAAACTCACTCTCATCTCAGCTGTGAAGATGAGGGTGAGTGAGGGTGAATGAGGGCACCCATGAGTGAGGTTTGCCAAGGTATGGTGAGCGACCCAGAGTGACTCGCTGAATTAAGTCCAAACGTTTCCTGTAGGCCCTCGTTCGCTTGTCCCATCGAGTGTATTTTGCAACGATGGGTTTCCCGTGTGCTGTGTGGTATGCAATAGATGCGTGGGTTCTGGTCACGAAAAGGTTACATTATCTTTCAATGAATGCAGTAGACAAACATCCAGAAATACTGTTGCCCCTCCACTGCAAGCCAGCGAAACATAAAAAGAAAATTGTGCTCCTAGGCCCATCCCACGGCGTGTCGTTTAGACCAAAAACCCGCACCTCGCAAACACTGTGATCGAAAACGCTCCTTTCGGATGTCTGGAGCTGTAAATTCGGGTGGCATATACACCTACGGCGTCATACCACTCGCTGCTTTGTTTGGTCACATTAGCGTTCGCTTCTGTTGCATGCCCAGACAAAGTCGAGATTAAGAAAAAAATAAGTTTCGCAAAACAAACGTAGGATTGTCCAATGTTTGGGTAAAGCCACAAACAAAATAGAAATCGTAAACAAATCGGACTGCTCCCCAGTAGCTCAATTGCTTTGGCTTTGTCGGGTCAACATCCCCAGTTTGAAATTTCTGAACTGCACTTGGTTAATGTTGGGCAGAGCTTGAGGCTCTCCCCAAATCCAGATAATAGGTAATTTGTAATGTTTCCTACCCATAATTTTCTCTTTATTAGAATAAGCAACAAGGTCCAACATGCATGGTTAATCTCTCACAGCCTCCATTCCTCACTGAAGATATTTCGCAACTATCCTCGACTGAACACCAGGTCTGATCTTTTAAGCTGCATATCCAACTCCACAAGTATAAAGGATAATGCGGATGCCCTAATATACAGTAGTCTCTAGTCGAAATTAGATGTACATGACACTCCCAAAAGAGCGGGGGCAAGTTTACGCCGGGGCATTCGCTAACCTGCAGGTTGTGGGGTCGTCCACGTCAATGTTCCACACGTACGTCTTCCCCACCTGGTTCCCCAGGGCCAGGATCTGGACAGGCAAAGGTTAGCAACTTGAGTTTGGACACCCGAGAAGGCGTTCAGCCTTACTTATCTATAGACCTTTTCATTTTAGCAGTTGCCTCACCAGCGGATAGAGGGCGCTGATGTACTCGGCGCTATTACGTTGCTTCAATTTGGTTGGTTTCGGTTTGAACGTGCACGCACTTATGTGGCTGTTTTACGTGGTTTTGCTTAATTTGGTGATACAAATATTTTCCTTGTAGCACACAACCAATGGAACAGTGACATTAACCCACTTTGAGGACTGCAAGGCATTTTTGAGCCTAAATTGTGGGCTTTTTTACGAACTCCTTTGATGTAGCTCGTTATGGTTGGTTGCGAAACACCAGGCTATTGCACAGGGAAGATTACCATCGTCTACGGCCGTACCCGATGACACCAGTTTCCAGAAAAACAAACTAATGAAGAAACTAACACGTGAATGCAAAGAAGCATATCGACAGCTTGATTGGCAATGTGCTGAATCGGGCAGAACAGATGAACTCGCGAGTTTAGTACTCACTGTTTGGTTTTCGTGAGCACCCAACCTTTAGTGAGCTTCGCGGACTATAAACGTATAGTGTAATGGCGCAGATAATTTATATTCACTCCGTGCGACGCGACTGGCGCGCCGCCGCGCGGCCGGTACCGAAGGTAGGCAGCGAGAAGCCCAGAGAAAACGAAACCGAAACCACGCCGCGTACGCTGGTACGCATTGAAGTCGGAGTGGTGCGGTTGCGCTGGGTTCACAGCATGAAGTGCTGCCTGTGCTGTGTCATTAAGTGCTTCAATAGTTATGCGTCGTATCTCGTGGAGACAAAGTTTCACAGTTTTTCACCTCGCCGATGTTTTGTAGGACAGCGACAACGATGGAGCCGTGCTGTACGACGTGAGAAATTTGGTCTCCCGATCATGTCTGCCACTGTGTCGGCACGGCTGACATATTCTACACTGCCGCTTTGCGCTCTGCGTTTGTTTTCGTACCAGTAACGCCTACATGTGTCAGCGCCGATGGGACAAACCCACACTCGCAGGTATGCAGTGCCAATTTCGTTGGAGGAATGCCTTCCACAGAAGTTTCGTCCCCATCGTACGGGTCGATGATATTTCCGGACAAGTATGGCACGCAATCTGTACTTCATGAAGAAAGATTCGAAAGGTAAAAAAAGTGACAAATATAAATCTAAAGAAAACAACAATGAAACTCGGAATCACTGGAGAATCGACGTTTGAGTATGGAAGTTTATATGGTGTGCTTTCTTTCTTGACCAGCCTCCTTTTGGATGTGGAAACGCTGACACCCCGAGTCTTGTAGACAACAATTTTTTTTTCTCGGCTTTAGAGCTACTTATTGCAAAGTTGTTCCAACTGGAAGTACCGTCCACTGGTCCCTTCCTACCTGTAAAGTGTGCACCTCCCACGATGAGTGGTATTATCTGACAGCCTTTGATGGTCAAAGCCAGTTCCCATTTAGTTACGCCGCCCAAACTAAATTTCCACCTGGTTTCGCTATGCCAACTCTTTTTGTTATAATAAGTGTTGTGCCAAGTGACGGTCATGTCAAAGCACCTGTGCGCCGAAAATCAGCACCTCGCACAACAGGTTATTACACAACAGCTGACCGCAAAAGCCCTTGGCGGCCAAACCGTGTGTTGGCCGACAACTTTGTTTTCTCGGCTTTGGAACCACCTTTCGTAAAGTTGTTTCAATTGGAAGTACAGTCCACTAGTCCCTTCGTACCTCTAAAGTATTCACCTCCCCCGACCAGTGGTATTCTCTTGACAGCCTTTTCATGATCAAAACCGGTTCCCATTGAGTTACGCCGCCCAAACCAAATTTTCACCTGGTTTCCCTATGCCACCTTTTTTTTTTTTTTGTATAATAAGTGCTGTGTCATGTTACTGTCAAGTCCAAGCACCTGTGTGCCCAAATCTGCACTTTGCACAGCCCGCTATAACACAACATTTTGGGTCCAATATTGGATACCCCGTACAGCTTTATTTCTTTATTCGTTAGAAACATAACTTTCACACCTGCTGTCTTAAAGAAACTTGGCTCTCTTCGTGCACAAACTTAGTGAACCTCTCACTCGCCTCCAAATATCATCGTTCCAGCAGTCCTATAGGTTTACAGCAACGAGTGAAATAAATTTCCCACTCAGAGCAATGAAGGTGGCGGCCGTCTTGTTTTTCGGAAAATTACTCCAACTCCTTTTTCGGCCGCAACTAGAGAAATTACCCCTAATTACGACTCAAACTCAATATATAAGAAGTGGAGAACAGCTAAATGCCCTTCTGCCCCAGCACTCATGCAACGTCACCCTCAACTTATCGGCTCAAAAAGCAAGTTTCGTCCGTGCGCGCTTCCGCCGCCACAGCTTGGCATGCGAAAAGGCGCCGCAGGCTGCTGGACGCGCCTCACAGTCGAACGCCAGCTCCTCCGCTAGCGGCGCTGCGCGCGTTTTTCAAAGCGCCCCCTATAGTTCCCGCACGGAGTGTATAAACAAATAGTATCGTCTCGGCCTGTTTTTTTTTTTTTTTACTTCAGTACTCGAGGACATTTTCACATGCCGACTACGAAATTTCCTAAATTATCAAACGTCCTAAAGTACTCATAAGCAGCATTTCGTGATATTAGCCCTAGGAAATAAATTATTCTTATATGAACATTTGCTTACTTAAGATATGATTTAGGTGACAGGCCCGTCAAACTAAATCTGCAATTGGTCAAATAAATTTAAAGGGTGCAGGAGAAATACCTCGGAAAGTTTGGCTGAATTCTAGCGCTAGGTACCACCACGGACCTGTGTGAACAAATATTCATTTGTTTGAACAGATTCGCTTTGCAAATTTCTGCGTCGCCAGCCATCAAAAGTAACCTCTATCCGCAATCGACAGCCCTGGACTCGAGTGATTGTTATGCAGACGGTTTTTTTCCCCGGCGTCAAATGTTGCAAACCCCAGATACTGGCAAATATTAAAACAGCGTACACAAAAAAAAAAAAAAAATAAATAAAAGAAACATTGTTATTATTGCGCATGCGCTGAACCAAATTCGCGTTTAGATTTCGAAATAGATACGACGTTATTTCTTTGTGCACGCGATTCTGAAACTCGCCACTGTTAAGTTGTCTGTGGCAGTTGCGCGGGATGTCCCAACCTTTGTGTTAAAATAAATTAAGTAAATTGATCTGACATTTTGGACAAAACCCCGAGACTAGGGGGTTTTGTCCAAAATGTTAAACCTTCACCAGCTTGTTTGCGCCCTAACTTTTTGTTCGTAAATTGATCTGGTTATCTAAAGATAATCAATAAATCACTTAAATGACTGTCGAAATGCGAGAATCCATTGTATACAATTTATTAAACTTCATAAGTAAACCGACCAACCGAATGCTTATTTTTTACACTGCAAAAAAAGATTGAGAACTTCATGCACATGTAGGTGTGATATTATGAACAAACAAATCGCCTAAAGTTGAAATACCATTATTTCTAGCCTAAGATAAAATAAAAGTTAAACGTTCGTTGTCTACTTCCTCTACGAGTTTCGTCAAAAAATAGTCAACATAAACTGTTTCAGATATATTATGCATAAAAAGGATACTTTCATTAAATACAGATAGTCTCCTTGCGCTGACTATTCTTGACGCCTTCTGATGCTAAACGCGCGATATAAATATAGGCGTTTCTTATGTTCCGCCTCGATTAGTAAACAAACCTCAGTTGCCACAAGGACTTTTGTACCCTCGTGATATCTTAGTCCTCGAGTACACGTATCGGACTACAGCTTCCGAAGTAAGGCAACAAAGCGCGATGAAACGCGGCGAAAAACACAAATAGCACGCATCCACCAAGGCGCGGAGGGGGGAGCGGAACAACAAGTTAAAGCAACCTAATGGCTGCCGCGCCACGTGATTCCAAGATGGCAGCGCCCATGCGAGGAAGGATGAAATGGTCTATAGTGTGTCCCAAACAGACCTTCCACTGTAAAACGAGCCGGAAAAATTGGCACCTTCAGATAGAACGTTCAAGCTTCCACCAGGGCTGTGTTCCAAATCTTACTCGAAGGAAACGAGTCGGAATAAGCTTGAATTTAAGCCGCCCAAGTATGTCCTCGATCATACTTACTGAGTACTGCCATTGATGGAGCCACTTGACATGTTCAGCCTTTCACCAACACCAAAATCAATGGCAATAACTGAGCATCCGCACGCAAACTAATTGAGAAAATGGCAAATACTGTTCATCAATACAATGGAACGCGGCTTACCTGAAGGGAAAAGGCGTTTCATGGAACTCAAAGCTATACTGGAACACAGGTTGTACGAGAACGTGTAGCCCAAAGGAGCAGTCAGTGAGATGCCCACCTTCTGCTCGAAGTCCATGGAGAAGCGCATGAACCAGATGTTGCACTCCTTGTACTCGAAGCGGTGCAGCACCGTCGTGTTGGTGTCTGTGTGGCGCACGTCCAGCTGCTCCAGGAGCCCCGGCTTCCAGCACACAATGCAGTTCTCACACGACTGCAACCAACAGGGCATGTAAGTGCCCTCGCCAGCTTGGCACAACGGGGGTAGGCTCCCCCGCTGCTAGGGGGCTCCCAACAGACGGTGCCCGACAGAGTTTCCGACAATGTGGGTTCTGTACAGTCCCCAAAAATAGGAATAATATTGAGCGAGCGCTACAATCGTAGCCCCTGGGAAAAGTCGTAACGAGAGGAAGTGCATGCATCAAAAAGTACAGAACAGGTGCCAGCCTGGCAGCAGCAACTATCCTCGCAACACCCCACTCGGGGAGGGAGGAAAGAGGGGCGAGGAGAAGTGCTTGCTGGAATTGGCACAAATAAGGAGCGCTTCCGTAAATGTGCACGCGTGCGAGCTATATGGTAGGATTGTGGCAATATTTGATTTTTTGAATGATATTTTATTTGATATTTACTTCAAGATGAACCGCGATATTCACATTTTTCGAAGTGTTGATGTGCAGCAGCTTAGCACCGTTTAGCGTGCTTCGTCCCGAGCGTCGGTGCACTGAGGAGAAGCAACACCTGTGAAGCTCGCTTTCGCGGGTGTTGCTCTTTTGCAATGCATGGGCGCTCGGTAAGAAGCGTGCTCGGTGGTGCTAACCCGCTGCAATCAACACTTCGAAAAGTGCAGATATAGCATTCACATGCTTAGGAGAAAAGCACACCTTTAAAGCGGGATGGCACACACACATACTAAGTGTATTTAAAAGAAAATTCGTGAATCTTGATATTTACATTGCAGTAAAATTTTCAAACCTGCATTAATCATTCGTGATTGTCTTTTTATTTTAATGCGAAAGCATTAACTGTCTCATGGAGCAAGCCAACATCATCAGCTTTGAAACCGCGCCAAACGGCACCTTAAATCCTCTCCCCAAGTGAATCCAGCTCCCAGCTATGAAACCTCACGAAAAGCTAGCCAATGGCACCAAAATTCCTTGCGGAGTAAAGCTGATGGATTTTCGGCTTCAATCCCATTGGCTGGCGCGCTTCGACAAGGCTCCCAATGGCCGGATACGCAGCGCCATCGGGTGGCCGGTCGTTGAAACTGCGCGTCCGTTTCAACTACCAGCCACCCCATGGCACTGCGTGCCCGTCAGCGCGCCGCTGCAGACGAAATAAGGGAGCGGAAGAATGATGTACATGCTTTCGCATTCACAACTCATAACAAGTGCTTAGGTGTACCTCGAGCCTTTTTCAAATTCGAAATTGAAGGACATTTACATATAACTAGCAGATTTATAAATCCCTTCAATTAGATATAGCTGGGCACCTCTGCAGGTCTAATTTTATGTCAAATGCAATATTTACCTGCCATCCAAATGTAGGCAGTGAACTTTCTGAGATCATAGTCTAAAAAATCTATTCCTTAGGTGCAGTCTCCCATTTATATAGCTCTGGGCATACTAAAATGAAAGAGAAAAAGGATTGATAAAACTACTGGAACACTGAAGTAGCATCTGTAAATTTTCACAAATTGCCCTCATCCCCGCAATGTTTTGCCTCAATTTCCAGGCGATTGGTCAACTTTTCTAGGTAGACTGACGTTCCCTGACCATATCATATTCTGTTCTGGTGAGTGCTATACCACAAAAATGCAACCATCCCTTAGTTTCAAAGGCACAATTTCTCCAATATGAAATGTGCCCCAGTCATGACTGAAATAAGGCAATGTCGATTGAGCATCATAAACATTAAAGTGCCTTAATGTGCATGTGTGACTAAGGGTGGTGACATCAGACAATTTTACTTTGCAATGCTTCTTTTTCTTTGCTCTAGAGTGCATGAAAGGGCATATCTCGTAGCATGAGCTGCCTGCTTTGACCTGTGCCATGGCAGCCTTTTGTTTTCCATTATTTCTTTGTACTTTTCATGCGTTTGTGTGCCAACAGCATTGGGTACCACAAAAAGTGGCACCACCTCCCCCCTCCCCCCTCCCCTCCCCTCCCTCCCTCCCTCCCTCCCTCCCTCCCTCCCTCCCTCCCTCCCTCCCTCCCTCCCTCCCTCCCTCCCTTCCCTCCCCCCCCCCCCCAAAAAAAAAAAAAGAAAGATGCCAAAACACAGATCTAACTAGCATATTTTCCGGACCATACATGTTTAAATTTTACCCGGTGCGGACTATCCACGGTGCGGACTATACAAGATTTTTTATTTTTTTTTCACTGTGATAAGACAAGAAGGATTTTATGGATAACAGAGTACATTAATGTTGACTTACGTACAATACAAGCTTCTTTGTGAGCTAAATACAGCAGCCATTTGTGAAAGTGTGCTGTGCATGATGACTTTTATGTTTGGATTAGGCACTGAGTGCAGACTATGTACAGCATGCAGACTATTTAAGCAAAAACTTCTATTTGTTACGTCACATTTGTTTCTGTGGACTATGCACCAGGTGCGGACTAAAGACCGGAAAATATTGTGCTCTAGGTGCGACACCAGACGTTAGCATAAAATATGCAGGGACCACCACCGTACCCTCTGAAAGCAACCTGGTTGGATACGTTGCGACTAATCTACAGGCACATACCTTGGAGAGAACAAAGTTGCCCAGCCAGCGAACGCAGTCGACATAGTTGCGATGAATGTCGCGTGTCGTGAAGTCCGGGTAGTGCTGCCTCACTGTAGCAAAGGGCCTGAAAAAGCAGAAATTAATTAGTATTCATCTGTGTACAAGCCGCTCTGGGCATTTATCGCTTGGGGGGCAGGCAAGGCAGACAACCAGTCGATTCACATGGAAAAAGAAAACAACACTAGAACCGCGCCGAGAGACGACTTGCATTCACGCGCCTTAATAAACTAGAGCGTTGCACGAGGGTTTTTTCGCAGAAACTAGTCTATAGTCGCCGACAGAACGAAACCGACGTGGTGTTTCTATCTGATGCCCAGCCTTCAGCATGTGCCCGTTGCCCTTCGCCGTGTTTTGGCTGTGTGTGTGTGCTCAAAGCTCATGAGGTGCCGAAGCATTATTGAAGATGGAAGGCTCGCACTGGAGGCGGGACAACCAGAAAGGCCCCCTGCCGTTTTTGTCCCGTCGGCAACCACAAAAACAATCGCGAGGAAACTGCAGGAGTTTCCCCCAAGATGTAGGGGCGCAACGAATACGCAATTCGGTTCTGTGGCGGAGCAAACTCCGCATGCCGATTCACAGGCACATGCAGCGACGGAGCTGTATGGCCCCCCGGGGAGGGAGTGGGGCCTTGCCGGTGTGCCTTGCTGGGGCAGTAGTGGTGGGAGTCGCGGATGGCCTGGGCAAAGGCAGCCGTGTCCAGCTTCCAGAGCTTGAGCGAATGGTCCATGCCGCACGACATGATCTTCTGGCCCAGCAAGTCAAAGTCCTGCGGAAGATGGGCAACTCTGTGTTTGACTTCACAGGTGCGACAGTTTCGAGGTGGTGCCTACGGCATGCAATCTAGTGGAAAGTGTCTAACACGTACGTGTTGGGACGTCACGAACCTGCAAAGGCTCGAGTTGGATCAGGTTAGATGTTTGGCTGTTTTTAAGGCTGGTTCGCTCACGTGCGCTTAGTTGCAACCAAGTGCGCTGCGCAGCCTTGAACTTCCTTGTGATGGGAGAATGTGCCGGCACACTGTTAAAGGGACACTGAAAGGGTATTCGCGCTCGCCGAGGTTTTTATTTAAGCACGACCTATAATTGCGTAACTACCCAGAACAGAATTTGCGGCTCAAAATTAGTTTTCTTTCTCCCCGAAAACAGCCGGTCGGCTGTTTTCGGGAAAACTCCACATTTTCCCCCATTTATCTCTTCACTTTGGGTGGGCATTCTTTTGTAACTTTAAAATAGACTGCAGGTTTTGTAGTATTTGCGAGATCAAATATAAGTACCATATATGAGAAACAATCATTTACAACAATGTCAAAAAAATTTTGAGCCCATAATGAAAAAAAATTATGCACAAAATAATTAGGAAATTTACGAAAATCACAAGCATTCTAGGGGTATTAAGCTATTGTCAATGCACTCTCTCGTCATAAGTGATCACAAGGCTGCATAATGCACTCAGTTGCAACTGAATGCAAGTATATGAACCAGCCTTGATGCACATGAGCATAAATTTTAAATAGTGCCGGTGCGGCCTATTGGGGAAGCGGTACTTTGTTGTAACAAACTTACTAAATAAATAAAAGTTTACCGTAATATCTCGGGAGATGCCCCTTCCCGAAAGATAACCACCCCTTGCTTTTGGCTCGCTTTCCTTCGTTTTTTTAAACACCGAAATATAGCCCACTTTTAGTACCGTAATTGCAGAGTTCGGATCAATGATGAGCTCAGCGTAAATGTGGCTAGTTAGCTATGGCGGGATACAAGCAAACATTGCTGACTGGGAGGTAGAGTCATCTTTGCTTCATTGCCCCATGCCACGATAACAAGTATGGCAGGAGCACGCAATCTAAAAAATAGCATTTTTCCCAGCTTCTCTCGGTTGCACATCGAAAGTTAGCCCAGTCCTTTTTTTTCACTTGATTTGTTCTTGGTTTTAGGTGGGCTTTTTCTCGAGATATTACGGTATATGTTTCCGTTCACATTGTGTCGATGCAGGTAATTATTCTCCAAAGTTTAAAACGAGCAATTGCATTCATTTTCCACACCAAATTTAAAATTTTTGCGTCAAAGTCGGGAAACGCTGCCCAAGAAGTCGAACTTGGTTGAATTTGGTCGAAAGTTAGAAGGCTCAACAAATGTTAATGACATCCGTAGACATATATGAAATATAAAATATAGACATATATGGAATATAAATCTAAAAACAAAAATTCGAAAGAGCCAAGACGCAGTTTATGCGGGAACCATGAAAAGCGACTATGGTGTAGTACTGGGATGAGAGTATTGCAAGGACAGGGTGGCTACAGCTGCGAATGTTTTAATCCATTTCATGCAAATGGTGACACAAGACTCTAAAACAATGTTAGGCTTCTTTTTATATGCGACGCCTTGGCCCGTCACGCATGAAGTGCCACGGCGGACGTGTTGACTGGCATGTCAGTGGGACTACATAAGTGTGTCCAACACACATGTCAGGTAAGAATGCAAAAAAAAAAAAAAGAGTCTTTTATAAATAAATTGCATCGTGTAAAACCAGAAACTGTAGAGCAATGCAAAATGCAGTCTGAATTTTCGAAGATGTGTGAATGGGGGGTCCAAGGGAAACTTGAGTCTTCAAGCCTGCTAGCTTCAGAACTCGACAACAGTCAGGACAATAGACAGGACAACAGGCAGAACATACAGTACAGCAGACAGAAAGGGCAATACACAGAACAGGCATCACAGCAGAACAGAAAGCAGGGAGGAAGTGCAACGGGAGAAGGAGGGGCCAGAAAGGTGGGAGTACTCACTGCGCTAAGCACTTCGTCCCTGTGCCCTTCCACCCCTCCAAAGATGGCAATGCACTGGTCCGTCTTGACATTCCACAGACGGAGGGTGTGATCTGAAACACAAGGAGCACATTGCCTGCAGCTTTTTTTCTGACATCTGTCAGGCAGGCTCAATAAAGCTCAGTTATTTCAAGAATGGCTGCAGGAGATGTGGAGTTCACATCATACTAAATTACGCACCGAGAAAATATGAATGCCCACATTGAATAATGACATGCCTACCCAAAACCCTGGAGTGCAGGGTGTTTGTTTGGGCTAGATATATGAATATGTTGCATACTCAGATGAATTCTAAAATTTAGAGAAAAAACAATGAAAGATCTCGAGCTTACACGAACACGAACACATGATCGCCACTTTAAAGTGCCCTTCCCATTGTTGCTGTCCGAAAAAAGGACTTACCTTTGCTGACGGACAGCAGGAGGTTGACGTCATGGGGATGGAATTTGAGTTCGTTGATAGCGTTCCCATGTCCGACGTAGTGCTGCGTCGAGGAAAAGCCCCATGTCACAGCCCAGTCTCTCCAAGGCAAGGCATCCAGGCTCATGCCGACATCCTGACCGGCTTTTGAAGCACCATGCTCTTATGCATATAAAAACTTCAAATGACACAGTAAGGGTGTTGAGGCATCTTTGCATTCTTAACCCTTTCATGGTCAGGTTTTGTTTCCAGAGATAAAAAAAAAAAACACTGCGCAGGCTTTCTTTTTTTTAAATTATCTAATGGGAGCATGTACAGTGCATGCCAGCTGTCCAGGTCGAAAATCGGTTAATGGAAATATTGAGAGCGAAAAGTTGTCGCCTTTCTATTATTCGGTTTCATTTTAGCGCAATTGCTTCCGCAACATTCCAGTGGTTCCAGACTCCAAACCGGTGGTAGTTTATGCAACTTCTCCATCGAAAGATGATCGCTCATCCTTCTAATTTAATTCTGAGAAGCGTTCGAAGTCTGAATCACAAGCAAGAAACGATGCTCCGATTGCCACCACCACCAGAGCAGCCAACACGTGAAGCGACCATCTCGTGAGTATTACCTATACCGAGTGTCAAACTTTGCACACTGTCAGCAGCGTCAGCAAGCCGAAACGAGACGCAAATATAAATTTTATAGTTTGCCAAAGACCTATCAAAAAGCAGCACCTACCGGGGTGTGCGCGGTATCGTGTTTCGGCGGGAATTTTCGACCGCGTAATCGGTGCCGTACACATAAAAAAGGACCGTCAAAAAGTTAAAATAAAGAATGGTGAAAAAAATAAATAAAGGGTTATAATCTGGCACCACGACCTCCTTATCTAGGACGCATTGGGAGAACTCGAAATAAAACCATAGTGCATTTCACGCTGTCCTGTCGGCCTCTGCCGCCCTCACCTTGGTGCACTTCATGGCTGCTGGGCTGATGATGCGGATGACGCCCCGGGACCCGGCCACGGCCAGCAGGGGGAAGCCCGTGACATCGTCGTACGACCAGGCGCATGTGTACAGGTTCTCTTCGGGCTGGGTTGCCAGGGGGTCAAGGCTCTCTCTCGGCGTGCTGGGCGAGTCACGCCCTCCGCCTATGCTGCCTAGAACGCATCTTCAACCGGCGCGTTCTAGGCAGCATTTAAAACTAGAGACCGCTAAAGGCATGGGTATGCTGGCGAGCTACTGTTGAGACCGGTTATAACGAAGTCAACGATAATCGGAGATCACTTCGTTATATCCGCTATTTCGTTATAACCGACTTCGGTTATAACGAAGTGCAAAAGGGAATGGGAAATCGCGATTACTTCGCTGTAGCCGCTATTTCGTTACAACCGCGTTCGTTATAACCGGTCTTGACAGTATCGCAGTCTTGCTGCAAACTTTAAGTGAAATTTTCCCAGTTTTAATTTTTTTTTTCTTTGGAAATACTGTTAGTTCTAAAAGGGGACTTTAGCAGGAAAGGACACAAAGTACCTACAAGAGAATTGCATGCATCATAATTGGCACTTTAAGTTCAAAACATAATGCAAAGGTTATTGAACAGTGCTTAAAAAAGAAACAAAATCAGCCATGTTTATAGAAAACACAATTAAAAGGAACAAAAAACATAGCAGACCAGCCCTGGTTATACAAAAGAAAACAAAAAAAAAATATAATTTTACATAACTCATCCCTATGTGACAAAGCATCTAGATGTGCTAGGAATTGGGTTATTGTGGCGACGCTGGTGCTCAAGAAATTTTGTTATATGCTTTAGTATAGTATGTTCTAGTAGTTTGCAGCAAGTACAGGTGAGGGAAACCGGCCTGCAGTTGGAAGGATTGGCAATGTCGCCACGCCTGCTTTATGTATTAGAATGACCTTGCATTTTTTTCCATTCAATGGATACCTGACAAGTGCCGAGACTTGTTAAAAATTAGGTACAAATATTCACTCATCCATTCAGCATACCACTTTAAGAAACTTGTTAGGTATGTTATCAGGACCGCTTCCCTTTTTTGTGTCAAGGTTGAGCAAGAGGTCGAGAATTCCCACTTCAGTTACGAGTAGAGGTTCCAAGACGCTGGTGTTAGGGTCGAGGTTACAAAGTTTTACATTATCTCTAGTAAAGACAGATTGAAATTAATTATTAAACTAATTTGCTTTACTTCGTAAATCTTCAAAGGTTAAACCGGGACGGCTTATTTTCTGGAGGTGTACATAGTTCCAGAACTTCTTGGGAGAGCATTTTAAAAATTCATGAAGGGTCACATAGAGATATTTATCCTTAGCTTAATTTATTTTTTCTTTTAACAATTTTACGAACTCAGAAAGTACAAGTCTGCTTTGCGCACTTTCCTTAGCTTAAGTCATTGAACTAGTTCTTAAGCAAGTCCAGTAAACTTGGTATCGTTGTTGCCTGTAATAATTGAGGTACATCCTAAGTCCTAAGACTTCCCTTTTTCTCCTAAGCTTGATGAACAAGAAAGATTTAGCAGTTAATTGGTGTAATCAACTTGGTTTTTCCTCTAAAATTGATGATTTATTTATATTTAACAGAACAGCTCTACAACAAACATTCTATCAATTTGGGGACATATGGTGGATCTTTGGGAATCATCATATATAGTTAAAGCTTTTTTAATAAAAAAATCACTCTAATAACTGCCCCCCCCCCTGTCCAAGAAAACGACGACCTGATTGGGATGCAAGAATCCACCATATATTTTTATTCAAGGAGATTTATTTTAAATCTAGTGGCAAATTCTTATTACTAAGAAATACATCTGCATGATGCATTTAAGTGTGATAGGAGAATAAATAAGACAAATGACCAGCTTGCAAGTAACACAACAGCCAGCACAGGTTCCAGTACCACTTTACTGTGCCTTCATTTAAAGGGACAATGAAGACGATTTTATTTAATTTGTTTAAATGTTTTTTTTATGCTTCTTGAGAACATAGCATGCTGCCCAATTTTTTGTAGACATTTGTGACGCGTATTTCTGTGCTAACGAAAGAAGTAAAGAAACCAAAACTGAACAATCTCCATTCTCGTTTCTGGGCCTCCAAAAATGGAGGTGACGTAGGAAGTGACGTCAAGTGTGAATAGTTGGTATCGGTAGTATTTAGGAGATCGAGACTCTGGTTACCGCGGTGGGTTATAGCGGCGCGGTGGCGCGGTCGTTTCGTCAAATATGTCAACGTAGACGGCAATGCCGCTCTCGCGAGCGAGTTCGAGCTTCCGTTCAGTGACCCAACACAAACGGAATGGGAGTACGTGTGTGGCGGCCTCCGCCATCACCCGACGGAGACTGCCCAGCCGGTAACGAGCGGCCCGCATGCCGAAGTGCCCATAGTTGCTCGTTGGCCGTTTCGCGTCCAGCATAGCAAAGAAAAAAACAATTAGGCTGCTTTATTTAAGGTTTAGTAATGATTTCCGGTCCGGTTTATACTTTTCATGGTTATTCGAGCGGAAATTAGAACAGTATTTCTAAACATCGCGAACCAAAACGTGATCGAGGGCACGTCTCTCGTTTCGACCAATCGCTGTGTCTCTTGTGACGTCGCGCTTCTTGGCCCCGCATCGGTCACGTGCGCTCCGCTTCTCCTGGCTTCTCCCGCAACTCTCGGGGCGTCGCCCCAGTCGATCCCGGTACAATCATTACCGCGACTGTTTATTTGATTTGCACGGACAAGTGCCGATTTCGGCTGAAATTTGGGCAACGTGGCCCGAGACGTGCCTGGAACCCAGTTCAATCGCCAAAAAGATGTCCGAAATTGCCTTCATTGTCCCTTTAATCAATATTCGTGTCAACTCTCTGGACCCCTGTGGTCCCTGGCTGCACGCCAAACTATTTCCTAAAGTAAAAAAAATATCACTCTGACGTTCCTCCGATGAAAAACACCAGCTCAGCAGAAAGATACATTGGTTCCTTAGAAAGGGTTTTGTAAAAATATATATCCATCCATTTCGCATTTGCACTGCTGTGACTATGCCACATTTTTGATCCCCTCTTTTCTCATCCCTTCGTTTCTCTTATACCATCATAATTCACTATCTCACTTCTTCACACTTTTTAGTTGAGGGGTAGTTGAGTAGTTGGTGCCATCTTTCAAGCTGCCAAACTTCCCCCAGATATAATTAATTTTCTCTCCCTCTAGATAGTCCATGAGAGAGCACAGGTATACCGAGGTTCAACCACTCCTGCCAGTAGACTGATGTAGCGCACAAAGGGATACATCTGGGTCGCAGTAGGACTGCAGCAACTTGATGCTTCCATTCTCCAGGCATTCGTAGAGAGTCACCTGTTTAAGGTAAGAAAGAAAAGTGGCAAGAATAAACACAATGTTTGTCAAAATCCTTGCTTCAGCTCATTATTTCATAGTTCAGGTTGTGGCTCCTATTAGCCCAATATCAATGATATGAGCAAAATTTATTTTTGATTACATCACAATGACAGCTTTTTCAACTTTTATTAGGTCAGTGCTAGCTTGTGTACATCTTGCTTGAAAGTTTACCAAAACATATGAAAGCTTCGTAACAATAGTGCCCACAAACACAGCCTTCTTGTGTGGTGCATGAAAATTGCACTTTGTCTAGCAATATCAATATTTACAAACAAAAAGAGATGCAAAAGAAAAAAATCAGAAATGTAATAAAATTATTTTTGTAGCCTGTCTTAAATGGACCTAAGTAAGAAAAATATTTAAATCTATCATGTTCAATGTAGCAGTGCGCATTGTAGATGATGGTGACCCTACATGCATTTTAGGAGGATAAAATGTTTGAATATGATGACTAGCTCTAGACTTCAGGCAATGGGAGGAGGAACAATTACAGTGCTTTCAGCAACATCTGAGCAGCACCATTTGTGAATAGCATTTAGATAAGAGTTGTCCACACCCTCTGTTCTGCAGTCTCTCAATACAGTGCAATCCACCTATAACGATACCACATATAACAATATACCACTTAAAAGAGATCAGTTTATCGAGTTTCTAGACTAGAAATGACCAGTTTCTAGTCCAGATACAACGATAATCGGTTATAACGATTGCATTTTTGGGTTTTCTCATTATCGTTATTAGTGGATTGCACAGTATTCACTATTCTTAATCTTGTAAGAGACAACACTGTGTCAAGCACAAACCAAAGGCTAACTCTTTCCGCTCACATTTATGTTGCAGGCATGACATACGGTCAATAATTCAAGGCCCACAGTAAAGCAGTTTCGTACTACTATGGAACTGACAACGGCTTGATACTCTATAACAGGGGCGGCGAAATTGCAGCCCACAGTCCACAGACAGCTCCTCTTTGGGGCTGATAGTGTGGCTTTCGTGATTTGGGGACAATCTAAAATAATTTGGGACAGAAATCATTCTATTTTATAAAAACCGAACAGTAAGCAACTGGCTAAAAAAAGACATACAATTAATGACTCTAGACTGTGGCCACCATGCAGTCAACGATCGTGTCAAAATAAAAAGGACTCATGACAGAGACAAGGCTAATCACAATCAAGCGTTATTGAGCCGGTAGCGTGTGTCTCTGGATGCCATCGTAGAGCCATTGGCATCAGTTTTGCATGTAATGGTCAGCACAAGGTATGCCCCTCATCTGCCTTCGCTGATGAACATGTCTGTGTGCGTCAAATTGTAAAGATTGGTTGAAGTTAATCAAAGTAAGTAGGCTTGATTAGTTTGTCAGATTCATGGAAGCCTTTGACTGCCAGGGTCTTAGGGTCTGATGCCAACAGGTTAATGCAGGAATCTCTCAATCCCGGCCCGTGGGTTAAATCTGGCCCGCGGAAGTTTCTGACTGGCCTGTGGCTCGCCGTGGCCCTTCCAATGAAGCCCAGCCCATAGTCCGCTTCTAGTAGGCCTGCTGCTACCAGTGCAAAAATAAGCATGTGTAAGGAAACGGCACTGCAACGTGCACCAACAGTGCAAATCAAGATACCAAAAAGAGCGAGAAAAAACTGTTTATCGTAATGCGGGTCTTCTTGCCATATTAATCATTGGATACTCGTATCACCACCTTTCCTAGACACGTTTTATATCTAACTACGTACATGAAAATTCCTTTGCATTCTCAGTACATTGTGCTTAGTGTCCTGCATCATAACTATTGCAAATTGCTAGCATCAGCTCTACCATTTTCATTAGTCTTCTATCCTGTTTCAGTATGCCAGTTTCATTGTGCTTTGTTTTATGCTTGGTGACTTTTATAGGTCCCAATGATTGTGCAATGTCATAATTAGCTTAATATTGAATTTCAAACTAAAGTATATGCACTCATCCACCTTACTTTTTAATTATTACTCTTTTTTATTTGTATTTAAATGCTTATCTATAATTATTCATTTAGTATTTCCTCCTTTATATTTACTTATATCTATTTTCTGGCTCTCGAAACTGTAACAGATCCCCAATCCGGCCCCTAAGTCATATAGTTTGGAGACCTCTGGGTTAATGAAAACAATGTGTTACTGCAAAACTCTATTGAATGTATATCTGACAAAATCCAATTTATGGAGGGGTGTACAAGATAATGCAGAAAATACCAAAGAAAAAAAGAAAGAAAAGAGAAAAAGAGTGCGTTTGGGTGTAGGGGGTGTTTACAAGGTGCCCCCCCCCCCCAATTATCTTTCTTATTTACCAGCACATACTCAGGGTGGTTCAACGAAAAATGATTATTTCGTTCGAGGCTCTTGGACCACGTCCAATCTGGTCACTCCTGCTCTATAAAAATAAAACCTGATAAACAACTAAGAAATTATGAATGATTTAAAAACAATTATATATAGCCTGTCATCTTGATATAATAATTTATTTCATATATCTTAACTTCCTAATCACCATACATTTAATATGAGCAAATATGCCACAGTTGGATCTTTGTTTCATGACTAATTATTTTGTATGTTTATTGACTACTATTACCTATGACTTGTTTTACTGTGCACGTTTACTATGTTAATTTTCCTGCTTCTGCTGTGTAAGGTACAAGGGCAGAGAGTCCTTCAAGCTGTCTAGCATAGCATTTTTTTTTTCGGTCCCCATGATTACCTCTAGCGGGAATAATGATTCTTATTATGTAAAAGCCCTGGCTGTTTCTGGAAGGACCCTCCACTTACTCACCCGATTGCTTCCGACGACCGCAAAGATGTACAGACCGTCCTTCAGGTGTGGGTTGAACTGGACGCCAAACAGGGGCTGGCCATGGTCCTCCTGGGGGACGATGCTCACCTCGCTCATGCCTCGTGCACAGCTTAGCTCGCACTCAAGGTTGGTTATGAACACTTGTGATGAGAGACCACACTTCTGCCATCAATCGAGCAGCCCCAAAACACTTCCAATATGCATAGATTTCCAAACTTTGTATGCATCATTCTTTCATCGGGGGTCTGAAACACTTCTGACAATGTTATAAGAAACCATTTGTCATGGATACAGCATAGGCTTGGCCTCGCAAATAATGCAGAACTTTCAGTCTAGTAGTTGTACGCAATTCCAGGGCTACTTGATAGGTGGTGCCAGTAGGTCAGCGTGTTTGTTCTCTTGTAAGCCGTCACAGTCAAACACGGATGTGTGAGCCAGCCTTCAGGAAGGTGGACATGCACACAACATGCCACACCCGAGACACATTCTTTCCATATCTTTCGGGTGTGTATGATGCGAGCATCACGCAATAAAAACAATGATGCTATCAACTCAAAGTGGAATGGCTCAGCAATTTCGTTTCCTCCCTCAAGATCTAGGATGAATTATTCCGCAAAGTGAGTTCACGAACAAGTGATACACGACTGTATCCAGTTTTGAATTCATTCCTCAAATGCTGGAATGAAAACCTATTCATCCTTCCTTATCACTTTTGGAATGAGTTCCTGTAGTGCTTTAAAAGGAAAGTATTAATGTTGCAGTTGAGAAAATACAACACCGTGACATTTACGCTGCGCGTATGCATTTTTCTTGAAACATTGCTAGGATCACCAACAATAAGTGAACAAGCAAGATTATCTGGACAACACTGTGTTACATGAGGTTGAAGATCGCTGATGGAAAGACAGTGTTTTTGCTTTCAAGGAACCACAATACACTTCTTTCGATTTCGCTAAATATACTGCTTAGACATAATCTTTGACGTTCATAAAGATAGCGCACCCCCCCCCCCCCCCCCAAAAAAAAAAAAAAAAATGGGCATTAGTTTTTTAGCTTTGCATCCATTACAAAAATAAACACCACAGAAAATTCAGCAGCGTTAAACCTCCGCAACCCGCAACCAAAATACAGAGCCAGGTGTTCTTCCGCCCGCCTGTATTGCCAATATTCAGCATAACCATGTGTCTGGGTTGGCAATGCTTAGTGCAAGTGATGTGCTCCACACATTGTTAGTCAGGTAATTTCCATCACAACACTAAATAGCTACAAACACGAATGAATTGAGTATTACAGGCACTAGCCAACCAGTGACGTGTGCTCATGTCCAATTTGTGAACATTGTTTGGTCGTGATGCCCTCGACGCTGTTTGAAACCGGGTGGATCACAATAACGTTAGAAAGGTCTTATTATGATCCACCCTTATCCATCTTATAAAAAGAATAAGATCACCGAAAAATAAAAAAAAAAGCAGACCACTCTTATTTTTTAAATTTCACAGTGCGAATTCCATTTTTTGCTTCCAGCTTGCATTCTAGTTCTTTTGTGCACCACTATGCAATATGCAGTTAGTAGAACTCAAACCCCATATCATTTCATGGTCCATTCACGGTCACCCTGCTTGCAAAGGATAAGACCGTCACTCTCACGGATGTTAATGTTGGCCTCTTCTCAGAGTGCTCACTGCCGGTTACACACAAACAAGAATGTTTCAATTGACTGAGGAGAGGTTTGACATTTTATTGCAGTTGGAGGTGGGCACGGACATGCTGAGCGTGTTGGTGTTGTGAAACACTGGCATCTACATATAAGTGTTCCCAAAATACACCTCACAAGTGCTTTTTGTTAGTCAAAATGTTTACTCTATATCGCTTACTTTTTCTGTTTACTTGTGTCTTCTATATTACCTGTATAATATGTCTGTGGTTTATAGTTGAACTGTAATGTGGCAACCTTTATTATTAATTTTTTGTAGTACAAGGTGAGTCAAAGCAATCTATGGCTGTTTGAAAGGATGGCATAAAATTGGTTTCTGACCGTATCAAGCTAAGATATTGCACAGAGGTGGACGAAGAACATACATTAAGGGTATAAAACTTTCACTGAACAAACTTACATCAGCAAAAAGTTAGAAATTAAAAACTTGACATACCTAGCTACGGTGGCCGTGTGCTAACCAAAGGTGTCTGATTGGAGCAACAACCGATAGATGTCGGCAGTGTTCTCTGCGTCGACAGGCAGGGGTCGGCAGTGAAGGCACCGAATACAGAATTTTCAGCGTCAGCTTCAGTGATGACGGCACTGTTGCCAGTGGTTTGTTTCGGAGGTTCCCCTCCTCGTTGAGGCGCCTCACCCAGTGCAGAGTTGTAGGGGAGCCCGGAAGTCGCCGCCAAAACTCTGCCCGAAAATGCCGGCGGACCTCTTTTGTCCTGTGGAACTCCTCCTACCAGAGAGCAACCCTCACTCGCTTGTTGAGAGCTAAGCACAGCATGAACATCCCAAAACCGCTCGGATGAAAGTTGCAGACAAGGAATGAGATACTGTAACAACCAGAAAGTGGAAAGCAGATGTCGACAAGTGTCCAAAAATAACTGTTGAGAAAAAAAAAAAGGAGAAAAACGAGACAACACATTTGTTTTGTTGTTCCAGTCTGATATTTTTTTTTTTTTTTTTTTTATTATTGGTAGAATGGAAATAATTATGCACTGACAATTCATGAATTAGAAGGGTGAATCGCTTCTGGCTCAGAAACGTTGTCTGCTATTGCCAAAGTCGAGGGAAGCGCACATCGTGGCAGCCTATAATCTTATGTGCCGCCATCTGTCGGCTGTGGCGCCAATCAGACGCCTCTCGTTAGCAGACGGACGCCGTAGGTAGGAATTTCAAGTTCTTGATTTTTACCTTTTTACTTGGGTATGTTAGTCCAGTAAAATCGTTGTACCCTTTAATGCACCTTCTTCGACCACGCCTGTACGAAATCTTAGCTCAGTACGTTCCCAAACCGATTTGTGTGGTCCCTTCCAACAGCCATGATTCCTTTGCTTCATGCTGTAGCAGATCCCCCTCTCATGTAATGCACTTCATTCAAGTGCCTTTGAGGATTATTAAGTTGAACTGAACTGAATCACAGCATTTCGTGTATATGTTGACATTCCATTGACATGACGTATGATACAATGAGAATGATGACAGTACTATCGGGGAAAAATGAAATGCGAACAGAGGAGCGCGTGGCTCGCGGTACAGGCTGCGCCGCCTGGAAGTGAGCCTAGGAGCGAGGGTGCGTGGCCTACTCCGACGTGTTCACGCCGCTCCATCTGCGCTCCCCAAGCTTCAGCAGTGCGCCTCTTAGTGCGCTAAAAGCTATCACCACTATCTTTGCTGGCTCAGCGCGTGCGGTGCAAAGAAGCTCGCCGCACTCGCCGAGCAGGCAAAGATAGCGGTGACAGCTTTCAGCGCACTGAGAGGCGCACTGCCGAAGCTGGGGGAGCGCCAATCGAGGGACGTGAACACATCAAAGTAGGCCACGCACCCTCGCTCCTAGGTCCACTTCCAGGCGGCGCAGCTTGTGCCGCGAGCCACGCGCTCCTCTGTTCGCATTTCATTTTTCCCCGATAGTACAAAGAGTTACCAAACAAGGAGAATTAAACAAGTCTGTGGGGCCGAGAGGTAGTTCCTTCCCCAGCGCCCTTACCTTGTTGGAGTTTGGGGGGACACACTCCATGAGACGTGCATAAAATGCTCTTGAGAGCTCTGCCACCTTTGAAAGGTTCATCAATTTTTAATAAAGAGACTAACGCCCCGTTTAGCCTAACACGTCCATGCCCTTGCAGTTGCGTAAATTTCAACGGAGAAACTTCACAGACCTCGCGAAGACGGGCGCTCCTATCTCACCTTGATGTGCGTGGTGCATTTGTAGAGCAGCTTGCAGCGCTTGTTTTTGTTTCTGCGTCGCTTGCCACGACGCCTGTTGGTCGGCGTATCGCTCCTCGACGTGTTGTCCGCCGTAGAAGCGCTACCGATACTGGAGGTTTCGTCCTGCAAGAGGCGTCAGAAAGTTGTACTGCGTCACACGGACAACGGCCGCCAAGAATTTGGAAGCATCGCCGCTTTAAAGAACATCGTGTGTATTCGTTGGTGCAGTGCGCGAGGTAACGGTGCTGAGAATAATTATCCTAAAGACGGCATCTTTCATGTTCCCAATTGCCGGCACGAACTGAACACTTTTAATGGTGCTTCGACTGCAGCAGGAAAGTGCGACAACGTTCTAGCAAGCGATAGCCGGTTTTTGCAATTTTTCTGTTACGAATAAAACGCCGCCATGAAAGCTAGTCATGCGGTTATCCGGGGCACATATTTTAGGCAGTAAAGGTGGGTGTCCATCGATAACCCATTTAAATCAAATGCGAGCAAGTGCCGATGTCGCGTTCGCGCCAGCGGTGTCGCAGTGTACACGATCGTTGCTGACGCGACACTGAGTACGATCACACGCCGACGCTAACAGCCGCTAAAGCGCGGATAACTAACAGACGCAAATGACAGGCTTTTGAGAAAAACGCGAGCTTTGAATGAGTCAAGAGGACGAGAACTCTATCCGACTGGTCCGCGCGGCCAGGGCCGCAACCAGGGGGGGGGGGGGTTAGGGGGTTCTGACCCCCCCCAAATTTTTTTCTGGGTACAGCCCTCGGTGCACTGGCAGCCAGCCTATGTTAATCTCCACCTCTGCGCACGCGCAGTGGCGCCGGTCGGCTACCGGGTACCAAACCGGGACCGGTTCTCCGGTTTGCTGTAACTCTCCATTATATGCCACCGATGCACATGATTCATAGGCGAAAATAAGACAATAGACACTTTCAAAATGGCCGCCATTATCCCCGAAACCCCCCCCCCCCCCCCCGAAATTTTTTTCTGGGTACGGCCCTGCGCGCGGCCAGCTACAACACAACGTTGCAGGTAACGCGCGTCGCAGAAGCGGACACCAAGCGAGAGGTGGTTAGGGTTCGTCAGGTTAGCAATTCGAAGACGTTTACGGCATTAAGCTAAGGGGTAATTATTGCAGGTGCTCACGATGTCGTCCGGAGAGTCATCCGAGTGGTCGGACTGGTAGACGAGCCGCGGTTGCCTGGTGTGCTTGGCGCAGCTCGAGCTCGCAGCCTGATCGCCGAACTCAATATCAGACATTGTCGAGGACACGAACAGAGAGTCGGTCAACTTGTCGCGGATGCACTGTTCATGGTTCGGGCAGTATGCAAGCGGATTTTTGTTTCAAAAGGCGCGAAGCAGTCATATTTGCATTTGTTTACAAAAGCACGCCGCGCGCCGCGGACAGACGGAAAGAGCGGAGAGCGTCGTGCGCAGGATTACGGCAGGAAACTGGTGGAAGCCATGCCTATTTTTGTTGTATTAGGCGGTTACCTGTGCCACCTAGCGTAGAGCGTTTGTTCTAGCTGTTTCTAGATTTTAGGGTGCCTTCGTGCCATTTGAAGGCGCTTATGACTGTCATTGTGATAGACCTGCTGCTAAGCGCGTAGCTGGCGTAGCTTTGGCAGCAAACATTACGCACCACCGTACTTTTTTTTTTTTTTTTTCTGCACGAAACCACAGCAGGACGCGATGACCTCACGTGCAAGCCATGCATTTCATTTAACATTTATTTATTTATTTATGTACAATAAAAGCCCCCATGGTCATTACATAGCGGGAACAACAGTGCAATAATTTGAGAAAAAAAAAAAAAGACGAGAAGCAAGGCACACACAAAAAAGAAAAAAATATATATGCATGCGTAGAAAAAACCTTTAGACGCATTCCGGCACTTTCAGCAGTAATTGATATATATATATATATATATATAGAGAGAGATGAAACATACTAGACGATAATTTCAATTCAACTTAGTACTCAAGCACCATGTTTAGAGCGGCAGCAAAAGTATGGCAAAAGACTCATAATCACTGATAGAAGCAGTTTCCCTTGGAAGGCTATTCCAATCCGAAATGGCAAGGAGAAGGGGCGTGATTTTTTTAAACGTTAGACAGTCCATAGATCGGATTAATAAAAAAAAAATGATAAAAAAATAATAAAGTGATTTGAACGGGGCAATTAATGTTGGCCGTAAGAAAACTTAAATATCAATTTCTGTTTCAGCTCGTCGATCTCGTATCCAAATTTGCTCACCTCGAAACCTCCGTTTTACCTAGCTAGCTCTTGATTGAGTATAATACACTGGCAGGCTGACCACCATCAAAAGATATTCCTGCTCTCTACAAAAAAAAAAAAAAAAAAAAAAGGGTATTGTCTTACACTCCTTTGTCCTATATATAATGCACCCCAAAACTTTAGTTGGACGGTGCGGTATAACTCATTAAATAGCTAAAGTACGTATCGAAGACCACAGAAAGAAAACACTGAGGTTTTTCAGTAGAACCAAGAAAACCCCAATTATTATTATTAGCTTGTAGTCAGTCACACGCACATTGACTATTTTAATAAGTTGTAACACACGACTATAAAGCCTGCCGTGAGTACCGTCAGATCGAAGTCAGTACGCTGTGCGTCGAACTGAAGTTTTGGGGTGTCTTATATGGGAGAAAGGGTGAAAAAATACACCCTTTTTTGTTTAACCCGTGAAAAAAAGGGGGGGGGGGGAGGGTTGTTGCGGGGATTCGCTTATTTCTTAAGGCGTTAGCGTTAGTACCCACATGACAGGAAAGGGCTAACGGCGCCCGTCTGCGAGCAAAACAGTGGAAAAAGAAGCCCGCCACGTAGAGAGGAGGAGAGTAGTGAGGGACAAAGGCGAGGGGGAGTTGACGTCACGGGGTGGAAGCCAATGCGCGCGCGGATACTGCGGCGAGTTTCAACTTTTCAGGTGTGCGGAACCCGTATGCCTTTCTGCAATAAAATGGAGTGTTAACCAAGAACTAGTGTTGGTCTAAGGCGGCGGCAAAAGGAGACAGATTGTGAACGAAGGAGAAGGGCTGCCGAAACCGGTGAACAGCGAAAGCACTGTGAAAAGGACACTGAACCTAGGAAAAATTTTTTTCTACCTGGTTAAAACAGGCATGTCTCAAAAAAAAAATTATCGTCAAAAAAATCTGTTTTTTTTTTTCTTTCCTTTGATTTTGTGTTGTTTCTGAACGCTCACTACTTGGGTACAAGCGCTATCGTCATTTTCCTACAGGAGTACAATTCCGGGTTCGCCCGCAAATAAAAAAAAAATGTATTGTAACATAAATATTGGGCAAACAATTTTAGAGCGCAGCTCTTGGGCGCCCGTTTCCGGCTTGAGCGGCGTCGCCGTCGCCGTCAGCGTAACCGCGACCCCCCCTCAGTACCCTTCCCTACACCTCCTCAAGAGCTGTGCTCTAATTCGGCGTTACAGGAAGTTGTGAACGGCTTTATTTTTTTTTTTTTTTTACGAACAATACCTTTTAGACGCGCCTGTCCTAACCAAGTAGAAAAAAAAAATTGTTTTCCCAGGTTTAGTGTTCCCTTAAGGGACATGCAAACTGGCGATATGGTCCGTGAACGTTTCACCTCTCAGTCTAAAAAGCCGGGGAGACTTCACTCCTCGTCACGACGCATCACGGGAAGTCACTGCGCCTGCATCAGTTGCGTAGTGACGCACAATGTTCTGTGCCGGGCAGCTCATCTGAGCCGGTGTTTATTGCGTTATCGTTTATATACACTGTAGGGGCGTCGCCGTAGTTGCTGATTCACACGCCGCGTCTTATCATGCCACTTTCACACGATACAGCGCCCCGCCCCGTGACGTGTTCTATGACCAAACCACTGGATGCTACCAATCACGGTCACGATGGTTAGGAGCTTGATGGAGAGGAGGTCAAGGTTTCGTTCGGCAAGGCTTGCGTGCATGCCAGAGGCGTCGTGGCGTAGAGCGAGGGAAAAGAAGGTGAGAGAGGAGGAAGTGGACGCAACGCTGGCGAGGGGAGGGCGGTTTCCTCCTCCCCTCGCCACCTCAGCTTTGCATCTATTTCCTCCACTCGCCACTTCCCTTACCCTCGCCCTATCTTTTTGAAGAGAGTGGGCTGGCCAGTCAGATCGCTTCCCCCTTTCCGGCTCAACACGGCTTGCCACGGCTGGTTGTTGTGTTCAAACCAACGTTACTAAAACACTCAGTTGGGAAACTCGCCGTCGAAACCTGGGCCGCTAGCGTCCACCGAGACCGAGCTAAATGCGACAACAGCGCCACTCTTTTTCGTTTGTCTGTACTGTGGTCCCCTTGAGCTCTTTGAAAGCCTGTTTTTGCGTAAAAACAAACGGAAAAGACTCTTTTTGTATGGAATTTATTGGAGTTTAGTACCAAATGATGGGCGCGTGATGTTTTTATCATCTTTAGTTCGCAAGGTTTTGCGGAACAATTAATATTGTTTTTATACAACCATGCCTCAGCGGGCCTTTCAGGTAGCACGTCCTGACCTAGGTGCATTTTAACGTCAGTAGTTGAACGCGGCGCGTCCGCCGGGGAGACGGGGGTGGCACCCCTGTAACCTCTACCGCTGTATCTGTTCTTAAGCCAAAATAGAAGTCACGTGCAGTTCTTCGAGAGGCCGCTGCGGGAGAAATGGTGGCGTTGTGTTCGTCATTAGCTCGGTGCTCGGAGACAGATTGGGGCCACTTTTTCAAAGCTGTCTCTATGGGAGTTTCCCAACTGAGTGTTTTAGTAACGTTGGTTCAAACTAAAGAACGGAGAGAGAGCCCAGCTTTTTTGACGGAGCGGTGAAACGTTTACAAACCACGGCGCCAGTTTGCATACCCCTTTAGGCACTGCAACAAGGTGTGTAGCTGGGCTCGTTGGTTGATCATGTTACAATAGTATTAAAGCAACGCAAGAGAAGAAAATAGACGAAGGACCAGTGGGAGGAAGAACAACACAGACAGCGCTGCGTCTGTATTCTCCTTCCACTGGTCCTTCGACTTTTTTTAGCGCTGTTTTAATACCGTTTCCCCTTTAGGCAGCGAATGCCGCTGCTAAGCGTACAAGGCGGGCGAAAGAGACAGAGGAGCGGAAACAGCGCCCAAGGTGTCGAACCGGAACAGAACCGAACCGAAATCTTCGCCGCCATCTTAAACTAAACCGGAGCTGTACCGAAAAAAAAAAGAATGTAATGGTAACCGGCTGAAAATGGTTCACGGTATCATTTTTTTCTTCTTTTTTTTTTGTTAGTTTCGTAAAATTAATATATGAAAATAAAAAAATTGGCAGCTGTATTTCTTTGTATGAATCAAATCGTCATAGGCTACGTTTACACGAATGCGATCGTAGTGCGTCGAATCGAGAAGGGACCAATCGCACGCAACCTGTCCTCTTACTTCTTCCTCTTCTACTCATCTGCTACCAACCAAAATAGTCAAATTTCGATTCGATGTCGCCTCCATGTAAACGCAGCTAATACATAATTTGCAATGTATGTGCAATTGTGGGTTTCCGTGGTACTTTTGTATTGGCACTATGATTAATCATGTGTCACGTGGTCACGTGACATCATGATGTCAAGACATGCTGTCAGATACGTGACCCCGAGACGACACGTGAAGTGGGCCCACGGCTCACTGCGTCAAGTCGATTTAAATTGAGAACGTCACAATATCTATTAACGTTGCTGACACTGTGACGTAACATGACGTCACGACTTCGCACCGAAAGTCACGTGACACTGTGATCGTACACGATTTGTATGACCCCGAGTTGAGAGGCCGGGTTCATAAAAATCAACATCGACAAACACTCGGGTAATTGCTCGTGTTCACTTAGCAATGATAATTGCCCAACCCTAACAATATCCTATGCTTTGCCAAACCTAGCGCAGGACTATGATTAACACTGACGGTATATAATTAGCGTCAGATCAGGTGGTCGCTTGCTCTAATTGCAAGTTGAGGAGGGGAAAGTTTTTCTTTCTTTCTTTTTCTGCATCTGGCATTGCTCGGCGGGGAAAATTAATGGATGTTTTTGCAAGTTATGAATGTCGGGTTTTACTTTTTAACGGTATTTACTGAAAGTACAAAAATTGTCGCACGACCCATGTCGCACCCGAACATGATCTACCTCAAAAAGAGGGTTTTGTTTGCCTTTCGTGATTTTATCTAGGAAACCGAAATAGCGCGGACAGTTATTGAGAGCAATAGATATTCATCGAGAACAACATAGACACGGCATAAAAGTAGAAACGTCATTATGCGATAAATTGACATCATATGCATTCTTCAACTCTGAAATTCTGTATACTATACTCGTACACCCTGGTTGTATAATATCGCGCTAAAATGAGCCTTTAATGCAAGACATGTTTGGTTAATCTAATGTTCTTAACGACCCCTTTAGTGTATGTGTACAATACACAATGCACGTTTGAGTATAGCAATTATATGACCATAGCATGACAAATCATTGCACCACCATGTATATAGTGCACTTTTATAATTTGGAGTGTATTGTAGGGTGTTTTGTGCAGCGCTTAGTTTATATGACAACTGTGAA